CAATATCAATAAGAACTTAAGCAAATAAAGATCACCTATTTATATAATGCCCTACTCATACCGAATATTATATAACAAACATATGTATGTCTAAAGAATGCATAGAACCATTATGTCCTGAATGTATAGTAGGACATAATGAGCTACATATAATAAATAATACAAAATCAATGTTGCAAAGTATACTAACAATAAGATAATCAGAACAGAAAAATATAGAAAACATAATGAAAGAAATGCTTATTTAAGAAAAAAATTAATTTAATAATTTTTAAGAAAATATAAACAATTGGTTTAGGAAAAATAATGAAATATTGAATTAAAATGAAGAAGATTTAATTTATATAATAAAAAACTATTTTGGGAGCCTAAAAAATTAACTTTAAGAAAATTATAATTAGTTAAGTGAATCTTTTAATGAAATTTGTATTGAATTTTAATAAAGATTGACTTTTTTTCAAGATTAGATTAATTAAATTTCCTCTTCGTTTTATATTAAAAGCCTTATTCATAATTTAGAATATCCTCTTTCTGTTTAAAATGAAATGTCAAATATTCAGAAAAATTTAGATTCTTTATAATCCAAAATAGGAATAAATATTTAAAAAAATACAAATATTACATAGAATTTGTAAAATTTGTTAAGTAATTAAATTAATTTTTAGATATAAAAATAAAAGATATTCAATTCAAGTTAAATAAGACAATCTTCATAAGTTAATATTTCTTCTCATAACAATGATTTCTGTTAATAATAAAAATCTTATAAATCATCGGTTTTTACACTAAATTCTCCTTCAAAAATAATAGAATAATCACCTTAAAAGTTTATTTTTTAAGAATAAAGTCCAAATCTGTCTTTAATAAAAAATTAAGATGGAAATACTAAATTAAATTATGATGAAAACTATAATGAAATAAAAGCAAAATTACAAAACTTATAAAAAAGAGTTAAATAGATAAAAGAAGATTAAACATAAATTTTATCTTCTAAAAAGAATGATAATAATATAAAAATAAGTTCAGTGAAAAAATAGTATAGTTATGAACAAAATAATTAAACTAAAAATTATATTTATACATCTCCACATTCTTAATAAAAAAGTAAAAAATCAAATAATAATAATAATAATAATAACAATGATAATAATAATAATAATAGTAATAATTAAATATCTAATTGTAGATAAAATACAAATGTAAAATTATATAATAATATAGATTTAATTAATAATTATGATTCATTATCTAATTTTACAAACGATCCATACTTACAAGAAAATTAATAATATTAAGAAAATTAACAAAATATTATAATTGAAGAAAATTATGAATTAATGCCTTTTTAACCATAATTTTTTTATAATTTTTGTGAAAACAATAAATTTGTTTAAATTATAAATTTTTACGAATTTTTTAATTCAAATAATGATTGTGATAGAATACAAAATTTAGAATTAAATATTTCCTTTGAAATACCTAAATATTTTGCTTTTTCTTAAGTTCCCTTTGATAATTTAGTTTTTATTTCAGGAGGTTTAATTAAAAATTAACCAAGTTCTGATGTATTTTATTTAAATAATAATAAATTAATTAAGCATTCTACTATGCTTTTTAAAAGATCTTAACACGGTCTTCTTTATTGTAATTATAAATTATTCGCTATAGCTGGTTTTTCAGAAAAAGATGAAGATTCTTCATTTAATATTTGCGAAAGTATGGATTTTGATACCAAATAATGGTTTTAAATTACTAATTGTATATATAAAACAAGCGGATCTGCATTTTGTATTTTTGGAAATAGATACATATTTAAATTTGGAGGAAAATTTAATGTCTCTTAATATTGTAATTAGGCTGAATTCTATGATACAATGAATGATACTTGGCAAAAAATATCATATAGTTTGCCCTTAGAAAAAGTTTTTAATTTAAATATTGGTTAGTTTAGTTTAGCCGCTTAAATAAATTCTTCTTAAATAATAATTTGCGGCGGATAATATAATAATGAATATTAAAATTAATGCTTTATTTTAAATGTTCCTTCATCAATTGTGTATAATGAAGATTATGATGAAAATAAAGAATTTCAAGTTTAAAAAATTCAAAATATGCCAGTATGTATTGATTTTAAATAACCTTAGTTTTGTGTTATTGATAAAGGATTTGTTGTTTTTAATTAAATGGCTTATTCTTTTTTGATTTTCGATAAAAAATCTTGGAAATAAATTTGAAACTATTGTTATTATTTTATATTACATATATTATTTATTAATATCGTTTTTTTTTTTTGAATTTTTCTTTTATTTTTTTTTAAAAAACCAATTAAATAAAGACAAGAAGAAAATAGATAAATTGCATTTTTATTTTTTTTGGTTAAGTTTATAAGGATAATAATAAAGAAAAAATAAAAAGCAAAAAATAAATACAATATTATTAAATTAAATATAATTTTATTTATTAATAATAATATATATATATATTTTAATAATTAAATAAAATAATTTTTTATTTATTTTTTAACATATATTATTAAAAACTTATTAATATATATAATTAATTTAATTTATTTAAGTACAAATTAAATAAATAATATCTATTATCTTTAATTAAATTTATCCATTACTTTTAGACATTATTTTATTGTTTTAATATTTTTTTAAATAAAAAGCAATCGTGAAAAATAAAAAAATAAAAAATAAATTATAGCCTCTTTTTTTTGTATGTTTTTTTTAAAAATAATGTTTGCTAAAAATATAATGTAATATATAATATTTTTCTTAAATATAGATATTTTATTATATGAAATATAATTAGTAGAAACATATATAATCTATAAAATTCTTTTATTAAAATTGAAGTCATTGTGTTTATATATATTATTATTAAATTTCTCAAATATTAATTATTTATATTCCTAAAATTTTAACAAATGTTTTTTTCTCTTTTATAGAAACAAACAAAATAAAAAATACATGTTTTTTTTTTTTTAAAAAAAAAAAAATATCAATTTTAAGTTTATTTTGAATTTTATAACAACTATTACTATTATTATTAATCTTAAATAAGATTCATAGATTTCTAAACAACCTATTCAGGATTAGTAATATTATAATTAACAATGATATTTTTATTTTATCCTCCCATACTTTTCAAAGTATCAATATATCTATAAGCCAAATTAAACTCGGCAGCATTTTACCCACAATCTTTTTCAATAGCAAAGCTTAATTAATTAATCCTTTATACAATAGCACTAGCTTAAAGTTAAATTTCTTAACTTTTTGCCTCAGCATTTAAAATCTTCCTTTTTTTTGCAGCTTCAGCAAGATTAATTTCTGCAACTTTTCTACCTTAAGAAATCAATATATCAGCTCTTTTTTTCCTTTCTGATTCAGCTTCTAAATTCATAACTTTTTTAATAGTTTCCGATATTATTATATCTTTTATTTCATATCTTAAGCATGTCACTCCCCATACTTCAGTCGCAGCTTTTATTTATTCTAAAATTTTTTAGTTTATTAAATCACGCTCTTCAAATGTCTAATCTAATGTTAAATTTCCTATTTCACTTCTTGTTGTACTTTATGCTAATATATATGCATAATTTAAAGGATCTAAAGCTCCATATGAGCATTTTATTGGATCATCAATCTATTTTTTAAATTTAAAATATTATTAATTTTATCATTTTTTACTTTTAAATAAAGAACTCCATCTATTGATACTATAACATTATCTCGAGTTACTGTATTTTATGCAGTTACTTAAAATGCTTGCTCTTTTAACGAATGTTTATATGCTACTCTTTGGACGAGTGGCAATAAAAAACTCAAACCTGGATTTAATGTTTTACTATATTTTCCTAATGTTTCTACTACATAAGCTTATTAATGAGGCACTGCTACAACAAATTTATTTATTACATTTCCCATTGAATTATTTCGTATTTTTCTTTATTTAAATATATATATTTTTATATGTATCTTATTTTTTATTTTTTATTAAAAAAAAAAAAAATGAATTTTCTATATTTTATTTCTTTTTTGGAAAATTAATAAGGAGAATTTTATTTTTATTTGAAAAATAAAACATAACTTTAAAAAAGAAAATATTATTCATAAATTATTATTAAATTTAGTATTTAATTGTTCTCTTTTATCCTAAATATTTTAAATAATTAAATTAATATTAGAGTCAACATTATCTTATTTAATTATATTTTGATATTTATTCTTATATAATTTTGATTTATCAATATAAAATAAAGAATCTTTACTACTTCTTTATGTAGATTTAGCTCTATTTTATTCATTGTCTACAATTTTGCTTGTTTTTTCATTATTAACAAGAAATGAAATTTTCCTATTAGTATTTAAATCCTCATTTTATACATCCAAATTTAAATTATTGTTAGCAATTTATTTTTTTTAAATGTTTTAATTATTACATTTAGGAACTTATTAAGAGAAAGATTATAAGTTAATGGCTTATTAAGATTATAATGATTAAGTATTATTATTATTAATAATAATTTTAGGCAAAATTTATTTTGCATTATCCTAAACTAAAACATTATTTTTATTGTTTTGCATATATTATAAAGGTTTTGTATAAATATATTATTTTCTATACCCAGGTCTAGTTTCGAGTTTGTACTTTTTATTATTATCAATAATCTATTAAATATGCTTTTACATTTATAAATGTTGAGTTTATTTATTATATTCTACTTCCTTATCTTTTTGTTTTTATAAGATTTGATTTTACTATTCATTATACATTTATATTGAACTAGGTAGTTAATAAATACTTTCTTTACAATTTATAAATACATGATTTAAATCTAACATATCTTTAAACATTGGATCTAGTTTTGGATGTTTTTAATAGTACTCTTTTGGAGGAGATCCTAATTAGAAAAAATCTAACAAATTTTTATATTATTTAGCTTAATTTTTTATTTCTTTATGCTATTATCTATATTAACTTAATTATTTTAATTATTATAAAAAGTCGTCTTCTTTACCATTCATTGTTTCAAAAGCATGTCTGATCATTTTCTTTTTTCAAATGGTAATTATCTATTTTCATATTATAATATATTTGATATGCAAGGTGATATTTAATTACAATTCAATTACAAATTCCCAAAATAATTATTTTCTAATCTTTTTTAAGCTTATGAATCTATTACAGAATCAGATGTTAATTATGTTTTTTCAAATATTTATTAATCTTATTTCTAATCAACTTTTTCTTTTTTAATTCTTGAATTTATTTCTCTTATTTTTCTTTAAGTTTATTTTTTATATATTATTATCTATTTTTATCTTAATTACTAACAATTAATTACTACTCTTCTTAATTAACAATATTATTATTTTTTTTGTATTTTTGAAAAATTTTTAATCACTTATTTTTATTTTAATAAAAAACGAAAATTTAATAAATATATAACATTAAAAAAATTTACATTTTAGAAAAAAAAGATTCAGCATCAGAATTATCAGATATTAATTTTTTTATATTATCATCATTATATTAAAGTTCAAATCCGAAAAAGTTTTGAGGTTTAAGTTATTTTATTTATTATTCTTAGTTTTAGATTAGTTAATCATATTTGCTAAAGTTATTTTTATTAAATATTTTATTAATGCTTTAAATTATATAAAAGTCGCTTACAAAAATTCCATTTAATTCAAAAATTAAAATATGATAGCAATTAAATTTAAAACGCAAATCAAATAAATCTCTTTGTTTTGGAAAATATAAAAAAAACAAATAATGATTTATATATGCTAATGAAAATATTATATAGTTTATTATTTCGTCCTTTGGTTAAGGCAATTAACTGAATAATTTTGCATATGTTCTACTCATTTTTTTACTTAAATATTATACTATTTCTTCTTATTACTCATATTATAAACATTCTGGATATACTGTTGCTAATATAAAATAAAAACTTAATTTTAATAATTTATGCACTTTCTTTAAGGACATTATTTCTTCGAATTATTAATTTATTTATCTATTTTCGATTCTTATTTTTTTAATATATTTTTTTTTATTTTTATTTTTTTTACATTTTCAGTATTTTTTATTCTAAAAACTGTTTAATTTTAATTTATTCATTAATTTAAATTGGAAAATAGTTTTATTTATTTATATTTAATTCTAAAAGGTCGTATTTGTTATTTTGATCGATTTCATTTGCTGATATACTTATTTTTTTATTTTAAATGTTTTAATTTATTTAATAATTTAGAGTTTCGTTTATTTTCATTAAAAAAAAAAATTAAATATTTTTATTTTAATTTTATTTTTATATTTTTATTTAAATAAAATATTTAATTAATATAAATTAGATAATAAAATAAAATAATTGGTTATTTAATCCAATATTATTTTTAATAATTATAAATCAAAAATTTATATTCAATTATAAATATAACTTTTAATTATATTTAAATATAAAATAATATATATATTAAAAAAAATGTTGGTAATTTAAATAAAAAAAATAAAAAATTAAAAATAGAAATAAATTATTAAAAAATAAAAATTAATAAATATTTATAATATAAATATTAATTATTTTATAACAAAATAAATATTTTGCTTACATATTATTACTTTTAAAAAAAAAAATATATTATTATTTATTTTATATATATAATTAATTTAAATTTAAAAATAAATTTATAAAGCATTGAATATATATAAATTATTATTTTCGTTAAAATATATTCATTTAAATTTTTTATAAAATATACTAAATAAAATATAATATATGATTTTAAACGAAAATTGTAAATAATTATAAATATTATATTTAAATTTTATACTATTTTATCATCTTATTTTTTTAATTTATATTTATTTTTATTATTTTTTCTCATTGATAATTAAATTATTAGTCAATTTATAAAAATTATAAAAAAAATAAAATTATTTTAAATAATAATAATTTATTATTTGCAAGAAGCTTAAATTTTATTTTTATTACATTATAAAAAATTATCTAATTAATAACTTTTTAAATGAAAATAAATATATTATATAAATAAAATAAAACATAAAACAAAAAAATTAAGTATAAATAAATATAATAAAAAAAATTATTACTTTAATATTTTTTTTTTTTAAAAAAAAAATTAGTATAAAAGAAAAAAATTAATAAAAAATATTGAAGAAAAAATGGATAATTGTTAAAATAAATAAGGTAAAATTAAACAAAACAAAAAATATGAGAAAATAAAATCATCATTTATATTAAAAAATAAATAAACTAAAGATATAAAAATTTTAAATTTAATTCGATTTTATAAATTTTATAAATAAAAAATAAAACAAATAACATAATAACTTTATAATAAATATTTATATATAAAATAAAAATAGTAATTGACAGAAATAGTTTACCTTTATCAACTAAGACTTCATTAAAAAAGACAAAATTAATAAAAAAGAGACTAACAGTAAAATAACTTCCAATAAAAGTATAAATTAAACATCTATTTCCTCATAATCTACATCATCTGCAACGTTGAGTTAGTAAGAAATACTAAAGAATGTTAAATTTTCATAATATGAAGATGAAATAATAATGAATTATGTGTAAAATTGTGGGAAATAATGGGTAGAGTTAGCCAAAAAGCTAACTGGAAGAACCGAAATAATGATAAGAAATAGATATTATTTAAAAATAAATAAACTTAAGAAATAAAACACATAAAGTTAATAAAAATTGTAAATTAAAGAAAATTTAAATTAAACAGTAAATAAAAATCATTAAGAAAATATATAAAAATAAAATAAATTTACATAAAAAGAAAATAACGAAAAAATAAATTTTAATATAAAAAATAATTAATAAAGAGTTGAAAATTTCAATAATAATTTTAATAGCTTATCTTTTGAATATAATAATAATAGTTTTTTTTTTAATAATAATTTGTTGATAAAAAAATATAATACAAATAATAAAAAATTAATTATCTTAAAAATTAAATTTCTATGATTGAATAAATTCTTAATTAATGTAAATAAGAAATAATTAAGGAATTTAATGAACGTAAAGAAATCTAATAAAATTAAATTTTTAATGGAAATTATTATAATGATTAAGATTAATATTTTAATGATTTCTTTCCCGAAACACATAATTAATATAATATTTAAAATAAAGAAAATGATTTTCAATAACTCTTAAGTGATTAATAATAATAAATTTTTTATTTATAAGATGAATTCGATTAAATTTGATTTAAAATTATAAATAATAATGCATTATATTTATATAAATATATATATATTTATATTTATTAGTTAAAGTTAATTTGTTTTTATATTAATTTATTAAAATATTTATATTTTATTTTTTATTTTATTATTTTATAACCATTAAAAAAAATGAGTATTTTTTTATATATATAACATATAATTTACTTATAAAAATAAAAAAACATCAAACAACAACTAATAATAAAAAAAATAGGTAAATAAAATGAAAACGAGCAAATAATTTAATTTTAAAATACTAGGAAATAAATATTTAAAATACTTGAATTAAAAGATGTTTTATTTTAATATTATTAAATAGTTAATATATAATTCTTATAATATATTTTAATAAAGGATAATATAAATGATGACATTATAATAGAAAAAATTACTAAATATCAAGAAAATATATAATTATTAAATAAATAAATAAACATACTTACATAAAGGTTTTTTTTATAATAATTATTTATATTATTATATAAAAAATGCATTTTAATTTTTGATAGATTAGAAAAAAATGATCAATTTAAAAATATTGAAGAGTAATATAAAAAGCTAGTTGATAAAAATTAAGATTTATAAATTTAAAATAGTAAATTATGTTCTACATATGAAGTAATTTTTTTATTACATTAAATATTAATTATAAATAAAAAATTTAAATTGAACATAATTAATAATATTTTTTTTTCTTTGATTAAATAATTTTTTCATATATTATTATTTTGCTTAATTTTTATTTTGATTTTATATTTCTTTAATTTATATTTTTAAAAAAGGAAAAATTAAAAATATTGAATGAATAAATTGAATTATTAAATAAAAAAAATAATGATAATAACAAATAACAAGAAAATGAAAATAATTAATTGTAAAAAAATTAAAATTATTAATAATAATTAGAAATTGAAATTTCTTTATTAAAAAATCAAAACCAACTACTTTAATCACAAATAAATCAAAAAGAAGAAAAATAAGTAAAATTTTAATAAATAGAAATAGAAAGGGACACTCTTTTATAAAGTGAAGAAACATTAAAAAAAGAAATAGAGTTAAAAATTTAAATTATTAAACATATTAATATTTTTTTAAAAAAGATTGGTTTCTAAATAAATGCAATAAATCAAAGATTAATAATTATAAAATGAATAAGATTATATGTTAAAATATTAAGAAAATTTAAAACAAATATAAGAATTTCATTTAAAATAACAAAATGTAAAAATAAAATATACTTAAATATACCTATTTTTTTTTTTTTAAATTTATAAGATTTGTAATTAAGATTTGTTAAAAAAGCAATAAAAAATAGCATAATTAAAAGAATAAAATGAAACACTAAATTAAAAAAATATAGATACAGTATTTAAAATAATGTAATAGAATGATTAATGTTAAATTTATTAAATGTAATTAAAATAATAGTTAGCTTAAAATTAAGAGTATTCACAATAAATAGAAGACTATGAAGAGCAAATAACTAAAATCAAAGAATAAAATTAATAATTAATAAAATAACATAATGAAATTTAATCAAAAATTTTATTTATGGAATAAGAAAGCAATTAATAATAAATATAAATCGAAAAATTGAATAAACAAATAGAAAAAAAGAAAAAAAAAAATTAATAACAATAAGAAATTTTAGATTAATATTAATAGGAAAATTAAAACCTTAATTAAAAAATGAAAAACTTATTAATGGAAAATGAAATATTGAAAAGGAACCAAAAAGTAGAAATAGAAAAGTTTAACATAAAAATAAAAGAAATCTAAATATAAAATGAAAAATTAAAAAGAGAAAATAATTTAGAAATGACATTTATTCAGTAAGAATATGAATAAAAAATAGAAAGTTTAGTTTATAAATAAAAGTTTGAAATTGAAAAAGTGAAAAATATAATTAAAGATTAAGAAAAAATGTTTTTTGAAAAAAAAAATTAAATTGAAAAAGAATTTCTTAAATAAAAAAATTAAATTTTAGATGAATAAGAAAATGTCAAATAATAAAAAAAAATTATAGAATTAGAAAAATAAAAAGTTTTAGCAAATTTCGAAGAATCAGTTTTAAATATGGAAAAGTATTTACTTATTTTTATTTTATTTTTTTGTTATTATATTTATATTTATATTTTTAGATTTAAATAAAAATAAGAATAAGCAATTATATCGTATAGAAAAATAATAAATGATTTAAAATAAAAAGTTGAAAAATAAGAGAAAACCATATAGGAATAAAATTTAAATAATGAAGATTTTTAAAAGAGTATTAATTTATTTAAATAAGAAAACATTAAAATATTATCTGAAGTTAATTTTTTATTTTATTAAATATATAATATTTATTTTTTTAGAATAAAAAACTTATATAAAAGCTTAAAAATGTATAAGATAATTTCTATGTTTCTCAAGACGAAATTAAGAAAACAGAAAAATTAAAATTATAACTATAATAAGAGGTTTTTTTAGTTTTTTTAATTTTTTTTAAAAAAAAATAATAGTAAGAAGTATAAAAATCAACTTAAATATTAAAATATAATAAATTATCTTAGTTCGAAAACCATTTAATACCTGGTATTTTTAATAAAAGTTTAATATATTTACATATTTTGTTTTTATAGAGCTTAATAAAAAAATTGAAAACTAATAAATAGAGGTTAAGTTATTAAAAGATATGCTAAATTCTGTGAAAACAGTAATAAAAGTAAAAGATTAAGATTTATTAAGATACAAAATAAAAGTAAATTCACTTAAAAACGAAAATTTAAGCTTATTGAATGAAACTACACCTAATTCATAAAGTAATAGATTAAAATCATAAAAATAATTAGATTAAAACAGTAGAAATACAGTTACAAAGTTAAAAAAATAAGTATAAAATCAGTAATATGTTGTAAACTATTAAACTTAGAATAAATAATATGAAAATTTATAAAGTATATAAATAATATATATAAAAAATATATTTTTTATTTATAAAATTTATATTTATTTACATTCAATTTAATTAACACTATTATTATTTTATATTATTATATAAATTAATTTTAATAGACAATTATTAAGAAATGCCAAGTATAATTGAAAAGAAGAATAATTATGATGAGCAAATGAGCGAAATATTTTCTAAAAATGAAGTATGTTTTTATTTTAAATAAAAAATATATAAACTAAAATAATATTAATTATATAACTTAAATTTTTTTTATAAAATTATATTTATTTAATTAAAAATATAATAAAAAGTTAAGTCTGCGAAAAATAAATGAGGATACAGATAATTACTTAAAAAATAATGATAAAGTTTTAGAAAATCAAAATGAAGAAGTTTAAAGTAGTGAGGAATAAATTAAAAATAAAAAAACTAAAATAAATATAGGTTAAATTAAAATTTTAAAATAAAATATTTAATAAAACTAAATAAAGTTAAAAAAAAAAATTCTAAAGAAAATATATAGCTGAAAAATTAAATTTAAGGACAAAATGATGAACATAATTAAAAAGATTAAGTTAAAGAATAAGTCAAAGAGAAATTAAAAAAAAAATATAATGAAAAAGAAGAAGAAGAAGAAGAAGAAGAAGAAAAAGAAGAAGAAGAAGAATAAGAAGAATAAGAAGAAGAAGAAGATGAATAAGAAGAAGAAGAAGAAAAAGAAAAAGAATAAGAAGAAGAAGAAGAAAAAGAAGAAGAAGAAGAAGAAAAAGAATAAGAAGAAGAAGAAGAAGAAGAAGAAGAAGAAGAAGAAAAAGAATAAGAAGAAGGATAAAAATAAGAATAAGAATAAGAATAAAAATAAGAATAAGAATAAAAATAAAAAAAATAAAAAATATAAAAATAAAAATAAAAATAAAAATAAGAATAAGAATAAGAATAAGAATAAGAATAAGAATAAGAATAAGAATAAGAATAAGAATAAGAATAAGAATAAGAATAAGAATAAGAATAAGAATAAGAATAAGAATAAGAATAAGAATAAGAATAAGAATAAGAATAAGAATAAGAATAAGAATAAGAATAAGAATAAGAATAAGAATAAGAATAAGAATAAGAATAAGAATAAGAATAAGAATAAGAATAAGAATAAGAATAAGAAGAAGAAAATCAAGATAAATAAATAGAAATATGAATAAAAATAAAATTCTAATTAATTAATATATTAATTAAAAATTATTTTTATTATTTTTTTCAGTAAAATAATATAAAAATTTAATAAATTTATTTAAAATAAAATATTATTTATAGTAAAAAGATATTATTTTATTTATATTATATTTTATATAAGATAAAAATAATATTTTAACTTCCTAGAAAAATTGATAGGCTAAAATAAAAATATATTAATTTATTTATTAATTGAAAATAATAATATTAAACAATTATATGTTAAATTTAAAAATTAATTTATAATAGATATAAATGAATTATAATTTTTTAAAAAAATTAAATTTAAAAAGAATAAAAATTAATAATAATTAAAAAAATATAAAAAATTTAAAATAATATTTAACATTAATAAAAAAGAAAATTATGTATATACATAAAAGAATATAACTTAGAATATAAATAATATGAATAAAAAAAAAAAATATCTAGAATAAAAAAATTATATATATTAATAAAGAAATAAATAAAAATTGAAATAAAAAAAATATATAAAAAATAAAAAAAATTACTTATTAATTTATTAATTTATTTATTTTTTTTTTTTTTTTTTTTGGTTTAAAAATTTTTAAATATTAATAAAAAATATATTTTTTAATAAAGATATGATATTTATATGTATCTACCACTTTATATATTTATATCAATTTAATACAGGTCTAACAAATGTATTTCTTTTGGTTTTTATTTTAGAAAACTATCTTTATTTGCAGACTTCAAAAGCTTCAAGTTATTTTTAAACATCCTTTATTCTTGCTTCTTTAATCCACCACATTGGATCAGCTTCTAAAAATTCTTTAAATAAGCTTTTATATGGAGAATTTGAGAAAAGGTTTAGAATAAATTCATTGTTCAAACTTTATGTTGAGAAATAAGCATTAAATTCATCAAAAAATTATTTATTTTTGCTATGGTTCTTATTAACTACCCTTCTAAAGCCTTTAAGGATATTTTTTGTATAATTACTATTATTTTATTATTACTTTTCGATTTAATTTTTATTATTTAATTAATCTTCTTCAGATTTTTGAGATGAATTCTTCTATTTATTTATATTATTTGAATTGGCCTTTTTTTATTTTTTTAATTATTAACTTTTTTTATAAGTATTCTAAAAATTAGATTCATTTTAGTTTTCTCCATTTTCAAATTCATTGCTGTTTTCTTCTATATCTTCTTCCTTTATTTAAATATCTTGAGAATTATTTTTATCTTATTCCAAATTGTTTTAATTTTTGAGATTATTTTAGCTACTTTTTTAGTTATATACTTATCCATTACTTTCATTATCATTATGGTTGTATCCCTTATCTTAAATAAATGAATAATCAGTCTAAGTTTATTTTGTGTTTTGGTTTAATTATTAAAGTTTCTTTAGTTCACCATTTTAGCATTAATGACATTTACTCTAAAATAAATTCTAGTCAGTCATTTAACTTAGCAAATTTATATTCGGTAAAGTTTGTTAAAGCATTAAATATTGCATGTGTTATTGATATAATGGCAACACAAAATTTTAAAAAGTTTAATTCAAATTGTTTTAGTTTTACATATTAGTTTAAACTTAAGGCACTTACTTTGTCGATTATTACTGAGTGGGTTCTGAATTTTTTTAAGAATCTTCATTTTATTAACTTTGAGTATTTAATTGTTCTTCCATTTTTTATTGTTTTGATTAAGTTTTTTTTTTTTTTAGTTTTTTAAGTTTTTTTTTTTAAGTTCTTATTTTTTTTTTATTTTTTAATTATTTTAATTTTTTTGATATTGATTTTTTTTTTGATAATTTATTTATTTATTTTTAATTTTTTTTCTTCATTTTTTTAATTTTTTGTTTTTTTGAGGTATATGTATGATAAAACTATTTATTATAACATAAAGTATACAGAAAAAGAAAAAAAAAATAAGTGATTTAAATTTAAAAAATTTATTATATAATAAAAAAATTTAATATACAAAAAATAAAAAAGGAATTCGCAAATAAATATTTTTAAAAAATAAATATAAAAATAATTGAATATAATATAAATAGCCTGAAAAATACATAATATAAATGAAAAACTACAATATATTAAATTTAATAAGTATTTTCTATAGTATATTTTTTATAAACTATATAAGTTCATTTTATATGAGCTATATCTTATTTAGTTTAACTTATGTATTTAAATAATACACTTAAAACGATTTAAATATGTTTTTTAAAATAAAGGTTAAATTAATATATGTAATGAAAATTATTTAAAAATTTATGTTATAGTTTAATGTTTACTTTTTTATTTTATTTTAAATATTTTTAAAAAAATAATGTTATTCACTTAATAAAAATAATAAAATATATATTTGAATAAAAAATTAAATGTATAAAATAAATATTTAAAATTAGATTATTATTATCAAACAATAATTATTAATAATTTTAAATTTTATATTTTAAATATATATAATAAATACCTATTTCGTATATATTATAAAATAAAAATACTAATACTGAATTTCATAATTTAAAATAGGTTTTATTAAATTAATTTTTTTGATTTTGTTTTTAATTATATTTTTATTCTAGCATTACAATATAATTGATTTAATATATATTATTAAATCAAAGAAAATAATAATATTATAAAAATTAATATAAAGATTTATTTAAAAATAAATACAATTATTTAGAACAATTTTCAAAATTATTTGATTTTATATATATTAAATATTATTTTACATTTAAAATATAAAAATAGTTAAAAATATTATATTTCAGCTATTGTTAATTAAAATAAAAATTTAAAAATAATTTTAATATTTTGTTGAGATAAATTTACATCTAACTTGACAATAAAAATATTTTATAAATTAATTTTATTTTATTATGATTAATAATAAATAAATATATTTTGTCATCAAATGTGTTAAATATTAGTATATTATTATAAAATAATATATTTTTAATCATTAATTTATGAATATATTTTAATATGTATTATTTATAACATTTGAAACTATAAAAATAGTTAATTTTATTTAAAATATATTTTTAATTATTATTCATAAAATTTTTTAAGTATGAAACTATAACATTTTATTTTAATTTTTTATATTTATTATCTAAACATTAAATTATTAAATTTATATAATTTTTATTATTCTTGATTATTTAATTCGCCATTAAAATTTTTTAAAGGAATTATTCAGAATATATAATATATATATATAAGTAGAATTTGATAGTAATTTTAGCATAAGTCATTTAATTTTAGAATTAAAAATATTCATTAAAATCTTTAACTAATTGCTAATTTTCTTAATAAATTTTATAAAAAATCGTCTAAATAATTTCAGAGTATTTTACAAAAATTAATATTTTTTATATTTATTTCATTTTCTTATAATAATTATATCTTAGAAAATATAATAAAAATAATATTATGAAAAAAAAAAAAAAAAATAATATATATATTAAAATAATTATATAATTAAAACAATATAGAAATATTTTATTTTTTATTAAATTATTTACTTTTTTTCTTTTATTGAATTCGTTAATAAAGTTATGTTTTTTCTATTATTTTAAATATTTTTTATTCGAAATTATTCATTCTTTATATATTTTATATATTTCTCTTTTGATATCATTAAAATTTAAATATTTACTTTAATTACATATTCTATTTTTTCTCATTCAATTTATTTTATTAAATTGCCTTGTTTATTTATATTTAAAAAATTAGTTAAATAGTACTTTGTATTTAGTCTAAATATAATATATTATACCTTTCTTATTTTAATATTATAATGTTTTTAATTTACATTAAAAATATACAATAATTATTATTTAAATTTTAAAAGTTTTAAAGTATATCTTTTGAAATTAAATATTCGATCTTTTTAATTTGGATGCAATATTTATAGGTAATATGAATATAATAAATTAGTATTTGTATATAGTTAAGGATTCAGAAAACTCTATACAAGCTTATTATCTTAACTTATTTCAAAACATTATTAGTAATCATATATCTTAATTTTTTAATTTTTTTTAATATAAACCTTAATTAAGTTTTTAATTTAAATAGGTTTTATAATTAATTGTAAAAATATGATTTTCATAAAGTATTAAGATGAAAATTAAATACATATAAAATAATTTAAAAGAAACAATTAATTATAATAAACAAATAATTTTTATTTAATTGAATTTATTATTTTTTTATTTTAACTTTATATCTTTTAAAATATATATTTATTTTATTTTTTTAAAGATTTAAATAATAATTATTTGAAATACATATATTTATAATAATTTTTCTATTAATATTTATACTCTTTTATAAATTAATTTTTATTTCTTTGTATAATAATGATTATAATATATATTAATATATTTAATTTATTTATTAAAGCTATATTAAAATAATGACGTAATATATTTTATCAATTTTATGATACAAAAAATATGAAAAATTAAACAGCTATTTCAAAATTTTATATTTCATTAATATTTTAATTTTAATTTTTAAAAGTTTATTTTTATAGAGGAATTTTAACTAATAAAAATATAAAATTTTGATTTATTAAGAAAAAAGTAATAATATAAATATGCAAAAAGTCAATAAAGATTAATAATAAAAATATGATTTAAACATTATAGGAATTTATATATAAATTAAAAAAAAAAACTTATTTTTAATTTTTTATTAATTACATAATAAATTTTTAATTATAATTTAATAAAATATATATTCTTTATATATTTATATTATTATAAAATATACTAGAAAAAAATTTTTATTTTAAATCTATTAATTATTAATATTAAAATTATATATAATATTATATTTTGTTATAAATAAAAAATAAAATAAATAAAGATTATAAATATTTATTTTTTATAAACATTAAAAACTATTTAATGATATAATAAATATTTTTTATATAGTTAATATATTCATGTACATATAGTTAAAATTTTTAAATTTTTATGTTTCTTATGCCATTTATAAAACAAATTAAATGATTTTTTTTATTTTTATTATCATTTTAAATAATGAACAACAAATAATATATTTTTTAAAAAGTTAAATATTAACATGTATTAATTTCTAATAAAAATATTAATTAATTTCTTAAAAACTGTAACTTATTTCAAAATTAAAAAATATATATATATATTTTTAAATATAAAAAGCATAATATATATATGGCTTCAAACGATACAAGATATATTTTTGTGGTAGAATGGTACGATAAAGCAGCTTCCTTAGTCCGTACTTATAATCTGACATATTTTACACACGATAAATCTATAGAAATGGTAATAATAAGCAAAAAAAAATTATTTATATAACTTAGTCATTAATTTTCCTTTTTATTTTCAAAAGTATGATTTAAAAAATAAAAGAGTATTTTTAAAAAGAAATGAATTTCCAATGGATGAAAAAGAGTTTTATTTAGGAAATTTAATAACAGTATTTTCTCGTTAATTAAAAATTGTAGATTTTGCAGATGTATTTACTCGCTAAAGATTTTAAGAAGCTAAATAAAGGTTTTTTTGTTTTTAAATAAAATAATTTTAAATATTTATAATAAAAGAACATTCGCTATGATAAAACCAGATGCATATAATCATTTGGGAAAAATAATCTCAAAAATAGAAGAATCTAGTCTTTTAATAGCAAATATGAAAATGACAAAATTTTCCATATAAGATGCACAAGGTTTATTTTTAAAGGAATAAATATGTATATTTATTAAAAAAATAAGAGTTTTACGCTGAACATAAAGGTAAACCTTTTTATGAAACTTTAACAAACTTCATGAGTAGTGATTTTATAGTTGGATTTGAATTAGTAGGTGAAAACGCAATAAAAATATGGAGGGAACTTTTGGGACCAACAAATAGTTTAGTTGCAAAAGAATAAGCCCCGAATAGTATTAGAGGACTTTTTGGAACTGATGGAACGAAAAATGCATGCCATGGAAGTGATTCACGTATTTAAATAAAAAAAAAAAATTGATTAAAATAAATAATAGCAAATAGTGCATTTAGAGAATTAAACTTTTTTTTTTCTGAAAAATCTCAATTATAAACTACTGCTATTTTCAATAATTGTACTTGCTGTGTTATAAAGCCTCATATTGTAAAAAGCAGATAAGTAGGCTAAATTATTGATTATATCTTAAGAGAAGGATATGAGATTTCTGCTCTATAAACTTTTACTTTAGATCTACCTTCTGCTGAAGAATTTTATGACGTCTATAGAGTAATTTATTAATTTTCTATTAACTTAAATATTAATATGTTTTTTTTTTTATTTCTCTTTAATAGGGTGTAGTTCCTGAATTTAATAGTTTAGCTGAACATCTTACCTCGGGTATGTGTGTTGCCCTTGAAGTTAGACAAGAAAATGTAGTTAGTAGCTTTAGGTAATTATGTGGACCTCATGATCCTGAAATTGGTAAGGTAATCTGCGAAAATACAATTAGATCAAAGTTTGGTATTGATAGGGTTAGAAATGGAGTTCATTGCACTGATTTAGAAGAAGATGGAATTTTAGAAGTAATTTTATATATTTAATTTATTAATTTATTTATTATAATTTTGATAGGTTGAATACTTTTTTAATATTTTATAAAAATGAATTTATTATTTATTTATTAAATTAGAACATATATAATTTAATTTTTATATTTTTTAATACAACTATTTATTTATTATTTTTATTTTATAAAAATTGCTATTATTGAAGATGCTTTATTTTAATTTTTTATTTTATAAATAATAAAATAAAAATAATAATAATAATATTAAAAAATGTCAATTAAATAATCTTTTAAACCTTTATTTTAATAATTTGTAAACCATAAAAACCTCCTGAATACTTTTGCATATTCAATATATTAAAAATTTGAACTTATAGAAGAAAGTCATGAATTATTAACAAATGATAATTAAATTTTATTAAAATATACAGTCCCTTAAAATTTATGTAATTTCTTCGGTGTAGTTCACGGAGGAGCATTAGCTACTTTAGTTGATTGTTCGACTACTTTGGCAATTTTAAAAAAAGATTAATTTAAAAGGTTAACTACAACAATTGAAATATCCTAGCACTGTTTAAATCCTTGTAATTCAGGCGAAGAAATATTTATAAGGGCAGAATGTTTAAAAATGGGTAAGAATATCGCTTTTGCATAGTCAGAAATTTTTAATTCGTCAGGGAAAAAATTAGCTGTTTAAGGAAGATAATCAAAACTAGTTTTACCTAAATCTTGGGAAAACTAACCTCTTCCAAAAGAAAAAATATGAAAAAATATAAAATAAAACTTAAATAAATAAAATAAAATTTAAAAATGTATCCTTTTTTTAATTATTTATAATTTTTATAAATAAATATTAAATTTGATATACATAATTTTTCATTTTACATAAAATCATAAAATAAATTTTATTTTTATTTTAAGTTTATCCCCAAATTTATTTTAAATATTAATTTCATTTTTTTTTAATTTTGATTATTTTTTATATAAAATAAGATTTACTATTATGTCATAATTGTTTAAAAATAAAAAAAAATTAAGTTTTTAATTTTCAATAAAAAATTAAAACAAATATTTTATAGTATGAAAAGTAAATTAAAAAAAAAAAAACTATAAAATTTAATATACAAAAAATAAAAATATATTATTTAATTTTACATTTCCAATATTTTTTATAGATTATTTATGTAAAATAGTAAATGGTACAAAAAATAGATTTAAAGTAAATTTATTTAATTTTAATTTGACATATATATGCTCTCGTTTAATTATAATTTATTTTCCTACATCTGGATTAGAAATATTATATAAAAAAAATTATAATGTAGTTTTTATAGAAACTATAGTAAAATAAATTTTCAATCCTAAAAAAAAACTTAAAGGTTTAAAAAATGATTAAAAAGCACATCAGAATAATTATTTAATATTTAATTTTATGATAGAAAATATGACTATTTCTAATTTTAAGTAAAATAATTTTTTATTGTAATAAATAGTAATCTAAAAAAAAATAGGTTAAAAATTATGAAATAGTAGATAATAATTCTCCTTCTATGGAAATATATTTATTATATGCAAGGAAATACATAATATTAATAAAATATTGTAATAATATATTGAGTTAGCAGGGAAGGGTAAAACTTGATCAATCATTATACTCAGTGCGAATTCATATTTCTTAAGAAATAATCTATTAGGCTAAAAAATATTCTACAAAGAAGGATTAAGAGTAAGTTAGCCTTGCTAGATTCGATATGTTTACTATTAAATTAAATATTAATAGAATAAAATCTTTATCTAAAATAAAAACTATAGATATTATATAATTCATTGAAAAAATAGAATTTAATGATGATGCTAATAGACCATTTTTTAATTATATTGCATCGAAAATAAATAATTAATATTTTTTACCAAGAAAACTATTTTCAAATAGTAAAAGTTTGAAGATAATAGCAATTAATTAAAAATTGGATTCAAATAAGCATAAATAAACAAAATTTTATGGAGGTGTTTTATTAAAAATAAATAATAATGGTTTTTATTATATTTTATAAATAAATATTATTTATTTTTATAAAGGAGCATTGTCAAAATACCAACATTATAAAATTCAATGCCTTTTATTCAAGTGTTCTTTAATTTAAAATTTTAGAATTATAACATAGTTAAATTGAAAAATTTAAGATTTACAAAAGAATTTATATTTAAGTTAAAAATAATATTAATAATTAATTAATATTTTATAAGAAAAAAAATTAATAATATTAATTTTACGGATTGTAATTTTTATGATTATACCTATTAAAAATCTCTTTTTTAAAAAAAAGAGAAAAATAATTTATTAAATTCTAAATGTTTTTTTTTATATAAAATTATATTTATACTTTATCCAACTAATATAAAGAATTATAAAAAGATTCATAGACTCGAAAATATATAATATTGATTATATTCTTAATTACACAAAATAATAGCATATATTTAATATTTTTAAATTAGATATAATAGAACTTTTCAATTACTTTAAAAGTAAAAAAAAAGCAGATTTAATCAATATATGTATAAATAATTTATTAGCAATTTAATATAATGCTACATTTTAAATACTGTTAAAACTAATTAAGAAAGTGAAAAAATATAAAAGATAAAAATTTAGATGATTATCTCTCTGATGATACTTGTGATGTACATTATTAATTAGAAAGAAAAATTCTTAATGCAGCTTATATTTTTGAAAATAATAAAAAAAATATTAATGGAATTTTAATTAAAACTGTAAATAAAATACATAAATATAATTTCTTTATTAATATGAAAATAACTTAAATATATAAGCATATATTTTTTAAATTTATTAAAATAAAGAAATCTTTAAATTTAATTATATATAAATTACTTTAAAATATTCTTATGTTTTTTTATAAAAGTTTATTTATTAAATATTAATAATTCATTAAACATTTATATTTTTTTTTGTTGTAATGTATGAATAAAAATTTATTATCATTTGAAAACCATTTATTAATTTAAAGAAATAATAAATAAATTAAAAATATATTATTAATATTTATATAATCATTTAATTTACATTAAATTTAAATATATTAATAATAATTAAAAAAAATATAAGTATTAATAAATTTTAACGAAAAAAAAAATGAATAAAAACTATTAACCAATAAAAGCATTTCCATTATATAATTAAAGTATGTACAATAAAAAAAAAGTGAGATCTTTAATTAATAAAATAATGTAAAGCCATAATCAAGCAATAAAACAAGAAATCATATATCAAGTAATATATCTTAAGAAAAATAATAAAATTTAAATAATTATAATTAAAATTATAATAATGAGATGAAAAAATCAAAAAGTTCAACAATTTTGATTTAATAATAGAATTAATTAAATAAGCATAACAATTTAGAAATATAAATATGCGAAGATTAAGCTTATAAAAATCATAAAAGAACATAAAGTACAGGAACTTTTAATATTTAACAATAAAGTTCTTTAAATAATTAAAATTTTCACTCGCCAACAAATTCATAATAAAATGGGAAAAATATTAATTATTTTTATACCGATAACAAAAAAGGAAATAAATAGAATGAAAAATAAATTGATTATACAATAACTTAACCATAGTCTGTTAAAAATATTTAGAGATAACCCCAATAAGAATAAAACAATATATAATTTAATAATACTAATGACTAAAATATGTAAATAAAAAGTGAATATTTTAAATAAAAATAAATTTATATATTTATATCTATTTTCTAATATTAAAATAAAATAAACTAATTAATATTTATTAAATAAATAAAAAAAAAATAGAAAAATAATACTTACAAATAGATAAATTGCCTAAAGTAAACAAAAATGATATTTTATTTTAATCTACATAGTAAAAAAACGAATTTAACATTAATGATTTAAGCCCGAAAAAAAATACAAATAATAAAATAAAAAATATAAATTTAATATCCCCATATTATTAATATTAAATGGGAGTATAATCTTAAAAATAATAAAATAATTTAAATTAATCATCTTCATTTTTAAGAAATAAAACACCTAAGAATAATTATAACAATGCAAATGTAAACATAAATAATTATATGACTAATCATAATAACAATTAATAAAAATAATAATAATAATAATAATAATAATAATAATAATAATAATATGAATAAAATCATTAATAACCCTAATCAAAATAAATAAACAATCGTGAAAATATTGTTTAAAAAGATAATATGGCATTTTCCTGTTTTAATTTTTTAAATACTCCTCACACTACAAAAAATTTATAATTATAAGGAGGAATGGACCTTAATTTTAAATATGCGAACCCTTTTACGAAAAATCCATTAACAACAACAAACAATAACAATAACTAAGGTAAATTTTCTTTCTAACATAATGAACAAAATCAGAGAAATTCAAAACGCTCAAATTCAATAAGTTTGAACGAATTAGGAAATAAAAAAAAAGAATATTCAATAACAAATATAACTAATTAAAACTAATAATAAAGTAATCATAATTATTAAACAAAACCAAAAAAATTTAACGTTTCATCTTTTTCAGTTAAAACTAAAGCAGGAGCTCTTCCTGGGAAACCTGTGAAAACAAACTAAGATAGTTATATAATATGTTAGAATTTTAACAAATAAAAAAATTAATTTTTCTTTAGTGTATGTGATGGCCATGGGATTAATGGTCATTTAGTATCATAATTCATAAAGAAGAATTTATCATATAATTTAGAATTTTTTTTATAATAAATAAATATTTAAGAATAAAAGAAAGAATAAAATATCAAAAATTGTTTAACTTAAGCTTTTTAGAAAACTTCTTTCGGATTAATTGATAGTGGAATCGATATTATGTTTAGTGGTTCTACTTGTGTCAGTGTTTACATTACTTAAAATAAATATTATTGTGCTAATATTGGTGATTCTAGAGCTATCATAGCACAACATTAAGATAAAAACTAATGGGTGGCTGTACCTTTATCAATAGATCATAAACCTGACTCAGCAATTGAATATTAAAGAATTATTTAAAGTGGAGGAAGAGTTGATTGCTTCAAAGATTAAGAAGGGAATTGTGTTGGACCTTCCAGAGTTTGGATGAAATATGAAAATATACCTGGATTGGCTATGTCAAGATCTTTTGGAGATTTTGTTGCTAGTTAAGTTGGAGTTATTTAAGAACCAGAAATTTTGTCTTTTGATATAAAAGAATAAGATAGAATTTTAGTAGTTGCTAGTGATGGAATATGGGAATTTTTAAGTAACTAAATGGTTATTAATATGGTTTAACCTTTTTATTAAAAAAATGACACAGAAGGAGCTTGTGAAAAGCTTATTAAAGAAGCCGTTAGTGCATGGAAAAGAGAGGATGATGTTATTGATGATATTACTTGCATTGTGGCTTTTTTAAATAAATGAATTTTTTATATAATTTTATTTTTTGCATTTATTATTATATATTTTTGTTTTTTTTTTACTATATTTTTTTTATTATTATATTTTTATTTTATTATATGTATTTTTTTCTTATTTTTAAATAAGAGATTAATATAAAAAAAAATTAATTTATGAAATAAGCTATCTGAATATCTTGTTTTTTGATACTTAAATGAAAAATATAAAATTAAGATTTGCATTTAATATAATAATAATAAAATTAATAAAAATATATTAATTAAATAATATTTTAATATAAATAATATATTACAAATATATATCACATTTTTTTGAAAATAAATGAATATTACAAATAGTAACTAACTTAAAAATAATTTGTAGATAATCTAAAATTTAACAAATTAGGTTAATTATTTTATAATTTTAAATTTCATGGAGTTTAAATTTACATAAAATAAAATAGATCAATTTATAAAATAAAAATAATTAAAATAACTAAGGTAAATATAAAATTAGAAGGTCATTCTTTTATAAAAAATATATATATTTGAAATATATATATAAAAATATAAATAATAATAATAAAGATGAAATATTATAGCAAAACAATGAAAAAAATAATAAATAAATTGAAATTAATACATCTGTTGGGAAAAAAATGGTATAAAAATAATTATGAAAATATAAATTATATATAAAAAAAAATAATTATATTTATATATATATTTATAAAAATTTTTATAAATTATATATTATAAATATTTATAAAAATTTTTAATTTTATATATTATATAATTTTTCATATATTTTTTTTTTTTATTAATTAAAGTATATGAATAGTTTATTAAATGAAGGTATATATATAATTTTAAAATAATTTTTTAAATTTATTTTAATTTAATATTTTTAAATATTTATATTTATTTAGATAAATAATGGTAATGGTATTCATGTTCTTTTTTATTAAAATAGAATTTTTAGAATCATACAAACGTTATGTCTTTAAAACCTAATGTGAGTTATTAAAATACAAAAAATTAGGTTTTTTTTTTTTTTTAAATATTAAATAAATTTTAGAGTTCACATCTCAAATGTAAATTAAATATAAATATGGATAAAAATTTTATGATCGATAAATAATTTGGATGGAACTGGCATAAAAGTTGGATTTTACCATTTATAAATATAAATATTGAAGTAGGAAAATAATAATAAATATATATATAAAAATAAAAATTAAGTTTAATGATTTTCAATCAAATAATTAATTTAATGTTTCTGAAAATTTATATGTTTAATTATATGCAGTTGTAGTATAAAATGAGAATATTAACAATTTTCATTTATTAGATGTAGGATTGAAAGGAAAAACAAAATAATTTTTAGAAGCAGGTAGTACAAGCTTAACAGGAATAAAATTTAATTCTACATCTTATAATAATTTTGTTCAATAATTCATTTTTGTATTTTATTTTTATAATTATTTATTTTTAGGGAAAGAAAATACATCTCGTGATTTAATTATGTGCTTAAAATTAAAATGATAATTATTTAAAAATAATTGATTGTTAAATATCTCCTCCTATATTCGTAGACTCAAGAAAATTTGCTCGAGAAGAATAAACTTTAAAATAAGATATTAAATATATTAGTTTATATGAAGTTTTTGAACCTGAGAATTTCGAAAAGTAACTTTTTATTAGAAAAAAATGTTAGAAATAGAAAGTTGATAAAAATATTTAAAATGATCTTGAAGGAATTATTAATTACCTAACTGCACCAAACATAAGAAATAAAGTTTATAAATAAATAAAGGATTTATAAATTACTTTTTTTTTTTTTTTAGATTAAAAATCCACTTTTTCTTGCTTATAAATTCTCAAAATGTATATAATTATACTTTAAACTAAATTATTTTTAAAGCTATAACGAAAGTATTATATTGCATAAAATACTAGATTTATTTTAAAAAATATAAAAAAATTATTAATTTGGAAGAAAAATAAATAAAGAATAACGCGAACTTGAAAATATTTAAAGATAAAAAGAATAGAAACCATTAATATTGTATATTAATTGTCAAGAAAATTTGAATATTTAAAAAAAGGTTATTTAAAAAAATATTATATTTTTAAAATAATAATGTATTTTTTTAAGATTCTTAATTCAGTTAATGAATTAATTTAAGATTAATGTATAGATATAGTATTCGATAATAAATTACTTCTTTCTAATAATAATTATATACCTTTATTAGATATCAATTTAATAAAAAATGAATATGAATTATGGTTCAATTAAAATAACAGTCAAATGAGATAAGAAAAAAGTATATTTAATAAAAATTATAAATATATATTATAAAATAATTAATAAAAAAAGATATTAAATAAAACTAATTAACATAATGTAAGAATTAATAATATTTAACTAATTTAAGTGATGTTAATAATAAAAAAAAAAAAAATCAAATGTTTAATAAAAATTATTCAGAATTACAAAATGTATATGATACTTAAAATAAAAGTTAACCCTTTTTACTCCAATAATAATTGATAAATTAAGTGCTTTTGTAAAAAAATAATTTATTTTTTAATTAATAGAATCTAATGAATTAATATAATGTTGGTATATGATACAATATATTTTATATTTTTAATATATTTTTTTATAATATACATAATTTTTTTTATTTATAGAATAAAATCTTTAAAATTAAAAAGAAAATTAATTATCTCAATTACAATTTACTTAATAAAACTAAATATTTTAGATTTTAAATCAAAATTTAGAATAAATTAAATAAAATGATTAAAATTCGAAATTAAAAAACGTTATTATAGTTTGTAAAGAAAATATTAAACAAGAAAAATTAGAAGACATTAATAATTGAAAGAAAAAAATAAAAAAAATTAGGTGCAAAAATTATGATATTTTTTTATAAAAGGCTATTTATATGATTATATGTATTATTTTTATTATATTTAATATTACTATAATATAATAAAATAAATTTCTTTATATTATTTTTATTTTTTATTTAATTTAATAAAATATTTTTATAAAAAATTATTTTTTAATTTAATACATATTTTTATAAATTTCCAATATAATATAAATAAAAACATTAAAAAATGGAATAATTAACATAACAATAATTTGAAAATCAAATAGATGAAATATTAAATTAAAAATATGTAAAATATAATAAAAGTTTTAAAAAAAAATTAAAATATATATTATAAGTTAGATAGATTTTCATAAGCTTAGGTAAATTGGTAAAAATAAAGGTTTTTTGAATAAAAAAATAAGAAAAAAAGCATGGTTTTTTTATTATTAGAAAATTAAGAGGGTGAAAAATATAAAATAAATTAAGAAAGTATTAAAAATTAATATTTAATAATCTTAAATTTAATTAAAAAAAAAGCTAAAAGAAGTAATTATTATAATCAAATAAAAATGGACACACAAAGGTCAATATTATTTCTGAATAGAAACAAAGAATTATTATAAAATAATTTGTATAAATAATCATTAATTATAAATATATATTTTTTTGCATTTTAAAAATAATAATAAAAATAAAGTGAATAAAAAAAAGAAGAACTTTTTAATATAATAGAAAATATAATGGTTAATTAACCAGAATTTCAATATTATTAAGGATTTCATGATATTGCATCTGTTTTTTTAATACTTTTCGAAAAAGAAGATGCATTTGCTTTAACATAAAAAGCTGCGAATACATTTTTTAAAGACAATTTAACACTAAGTTTAGAAGATAATACCTTTATTTAATTAGATATAATTAACTATATAGTTAATTAAGTTGATAAATAATAAGGATATTATCTATAACACCTAAAAGGACCGATTTTTGCTTTAGGATGGATTCTGACATGGTTTGCGCATAATTTAAATGATTTAGAAACTATTTAAAGGATTTTTGATTTTATATTATGTTCGGAATCTTATTCAATTATTTATTTATGTGCGGCTGTTATTTTATATACAAAAGATGATTTATAATAAAAACTTTTAAATACAGAAAATAATTCATAACATTCGGATTAAGATTAAGTTTTTTTTTTTTTTTATTGCTTATATTTATATTTTAATTTTTAGGAAGAAATACTTAATTTGTATTATTAAGATTAAAACCTAAATAGTTTAAATTTAAATTTTGAGGAGATTTTTATTTTAACTGATAAGCTTTAAGTACAATATCCTTTTTAGAAAATATTAAAAAATTATAAAATAAATAAAAAGAAGTAAATAGTTTTTTTTTTTTAAAAAAAAAGTTTAAAATATAAATATTAATTCAAGTTCAATTACATTTTCTGATTAACTTTCTAAATTATTAGTTTCTAGATATCCTGAAAAAAAAAATATTATTTCAGCAGAAAATATAATGGAAAAAATAACTTTTGGTTTAGCTCTTACTACAGCAGTAGTAGGAGTAGGATTATTTTTAGGGAAAACTGCAATATATAATTAACGTAAATGAAAATGATGAAAATCATAAATGTTATATGAATAAATAATATGAAATTTAAAAAAAAATTAATAATATAAATAAATATAATGTTAACTAATTATATACATAAAAATAAAAAAAATTATATAAAATTATATTATATAAAATGTAATACAATTTATATTAAAATTAAATAAAAAATAAAAAATAAATTCAATTAAAATTAAAAACTGAAACAATAAAAGTAAAAAAAAATGATATAATTTTTAAATTAAATAAAAAACATAAAAAATAAAAATTATAGTAAAAAAATATTAAATAATAAAATAATATATAAATAAATAATATATATATATATATATATATATATATATATATATATATATATTTAACTTTAACTTTTATTTTTTATTTTTTAATACCAAAAATTATTTACTTCATTTTTTATAATAATTTTTTTTAATTTTTAAGCATTTAAATTGTATATTTTTATTCTTCTAATTTTTTTAAATGTTATTTTAAATAATATTATTTTTATTTTTTAAAAAAGTTTTATTTTTTTTCTAAATTATAAATTTATTATAGAATCGTTACTTTTTAAGAGTTAAATATATTATTTGTATTCAAGAATTATTTTTTATTTAATATTTTTAATTTAATTATAATGCTTATAAATTTATTTATTTTGTTGCGCATTTTCTGTTTGTTTTGTTATATTAAATAAATTATTTTATAAAAAAAAAAAAAATATTTTTAAAATATTTAGAAAAAATATAATTATTTTTTTATAAAAAGCTTTTAAATATAGACATATTTTTATATATTAAAAATTACGAATTATGTTATATGAATGTAGTTGAAATTATTGATGTAATATCATTTGCTTGTATATATAATTTGCAATATAATAAATTTAATATATACCGTTCTTTAATATATAGATATAAAATACAAGATTAATTAGATAATAAATTAAAATTAAATTATAATAAAATTGATAAAAATGGTATATAAAACAGATAATTAAATTAAAGAAATTATGTAAATAAAAATATTTAATAGAATTTTAGTTTATATTATTTAATAATATATGTTTAACAATTTTTTATTTTAGATATATATTATTATTTTACTGATTAAAAAATTCTTAAGCAAATTCATATACTATATTTTAATATTACATAATATATATAAAAAAATTATAGTAATTAACTTTAAAAATATTTATTATTCAAATTTTAGGTTCGTCGAATTAATAATAAACAGCCTTAACTTAAGTATATTCAAGCATTCCCTCTTCTCCATTATCTTTTCCAAATCCAGATTCCTTATAGCCACCAAATGGAATATAAGATTTAGGTATACAATAATTGTTAACAAAGATGGTACCAGCTTAGATATCTCTAACTAATCTATCGCAAACAGACATATCTTTAGAAAGTACAATACCTGCGAGACCATAATTAGTATTATTAGCTCTTTTAATAACTTCATCAAGAGATTTCCAAGGTTTAAGTATAGCTAAAACAGGTCCAAATATTTCTTCACTTGCGATTTTCGAATTATCATCAACATTACAAAAGATAGTAGGTTCAATAAAATAGCCTTTATTTCCATATCTATTACCTCCTATAAGTAACTAGCAGCTTTCCTAAGTTTTAGCATGTTCAATAAAGCCGAGAATTTTATTAAATTAAACTTTATTTATTTAAGGACCATGGTTAGATCCTTCAAAAGCGTCTCCTATTTTAACATTTGAATTGATTGCTTTTAATCTATTAAGGAATTCATTATATATGGATTCATGTACGAATAATCTAGATCCAGCAATACAACATTATCCCATATTATACATAATAGCATTCCAAGCAATTGCAACGGCTTAATCTAAATCAGCAGAAGGACATACAACAACCGGAGTTTTTCCACCTAATTCTAAAGTGACTTTCTTCAAATTACTTTAAGCACTTGCTTCCATTACTTTTCTTCCTACAATAGTTGATCCAGTGAATGATATTTTGCCTACTTTTCTACTTCTGCTTAAGGCTTCTCCTGCTATATTTCCATAACCAGGAACTATGTTAAATACTCCTGGGGGAAATCCAGCTTCGTTTATTAATTCAGCAACTCTAAGAATTGTTAAAGGTGTTTCTTCAGAAGGTTTGTGTACTAAGCAATTTCCAGCAGCTAAAGCAGGAGCAAATTTCCATTCACACATTAATAAAGGAAAATTCCATGGAGATATTAAACCTACTACTCCAAATGGTTCTCTACGTGTGTAAAATAAAGTATTATCTTAAGAACTATATGATTTTCCAGTTGTCTTATCAGCCCATCCTGCATAATATCTTAAATTATTAACAACTTCTGTTATATCAGATAAAGATGCATATAATGGTTTTCCATTATCAAGAGATTCTAAAGAGACTAATTCGTCTAAATTTTTTTCAATTAAATCAGCAAGTTTATTTATGAGTAAGCATCTTTCACGAGTTGTTGTATTTTTCCATTTAGAAAAGGCATTTGTGGCAGCATCAATAGCTAATTCCACGTCTATATTATTAATATATACATATATATTTAAAAATTTATTTTTTTATACCTTATTCAGTAGCTTCTGCTATATCACATATTTTATCTTCTGTAGAGGGATTATATATAGAAATAGTTGTTTTTTTTACTCCGTCAACAAATTATCCATTTATAAAAAGTTTGGTTTAGAATCTAGTAGGTCTTTTAAATCTATTAATATCCATATTTTTTTATTTAAATATTATTTTTAAATATTTTTGTAAAAGATATTTAAAAAAAAATTAATATATCTTTTAAATTTTTTATTTAATGATAATATATATAAAAATTAATAATTTTTTTTACGATTTATTAATTTTTTATTTTTTTTAATAAATAAAATAAATATTTAATAAATTCTTAAATAAAAATAAATAAATTATAAATCAATAGTAAATAAAATGCAAATAATAATTAATTAATTAATAAAAATATGTATCTTTTTTGTTGTCTATAATTAAAAACGAAAAATAAAATAATTACAAATAATAAAATTTTTTGTATATTATGAATTAATATCAAACATTTCATATTATTCTATACATATTATTTTTTAAAAAATAAAATAAAATATATAATACGTGTTAAAATTATATTCAAGTTTAGTTTGTTAAATATTTTTAAAAAATATATATTTTAAGTGAATAAAATAAAGAATTATCTCTATAATAAAAAAAAATATTATTTACTTTTTAATATATTTTAAAAATATTTTTCATTATGTAATTAATTTAAAAAACTTATTAATTAATTAATAAATTAATTATTAATAATTGTTTTTATATCTGTATTTTTAGCCATTTTTTTACAGCCGAAGCTATCACATATAGGAATATATCCACTATATATCAATAACCTTGTGGAGATCGACGCATGCAGACAGTGTAGATCGACATTTTAGGTATTTAATTTGATTTCGCTTAGGTATGGATAAACATAAACCACACCTTTATAGGCTCGATCCCGGTCCCCACCTTTTATCTTAGCCGACTTAACTTAATTTAATTATTCGCTTTCGCATCTTACTGCACTATATGAGGTTAAATTTTTTTGCTAATTATGATTAATCTAAAAATAAATAATTATATATAAAATATTGTATTTTAATTAAAAATATCTTATAATAAATATATTTATTTAATTTACTTATATAACTTATTCATTGTAAAATAATTAAAAAATAAAAAATAGTAAACAATGTAGGTAATATCAAAAACAATAAAATCACCTAATGAAAATATAAAAAAATTATAAACTGAATATAAAAACTAAAAAATATAACTAGAAGATTAATAAGTAAATAAAAAATATTTTATAAAATAAAAAAATAATAAAAGAATATGTTGTAAATTTTAAGCAATTAATAAAAACCCCAAAATATATCAGATTCAGAATAATTTTTAAAAATTTTCGGACATTTATGTTTCATAAAAGAATACATAAATGAAAATAATCAATATTTAATTCGACAATTATATATGAATTCATAATTATAAACATATTTAATTAATTAAACGATAACAAAGTAAGGAGAAAAGATTACTTAATTTATGTTAATATTAGAAGGTTACGTCGGTTTATATTTAAATAGACAAAATAAGTTGTATAAAATAAAAAAACTATACGCAGGAGACACTATAGAAACTCCTACTTTATGTGAAAATGGGGAATATTAAATGACAACAATATGTCTTTCAGAAAATGTCAAAATTTTAATTTTATCAGAATAAAATTTCAAAAATATATTTTAAAAAAGTGAAATAGAAAAATATGAAAATGAATTAAATTTTATTAAAAATATTGAAATTTTTGAATCATGGCCTAAAGCAAATCTCAAGAAGCTTTACATGTGTTTAAATAATTTTACTGTGAATAAATCATAGGTTATATATTAATAAAATTAACCAAGCCGAGCTATGTATATAATTAAAAAAGGAGATTTCGGAGTAATGTATATATGAATATACTTATTTATATTAATTTTTTTAAAAAGGAATATAAAAAAAGACTTTCATGGAAAAAAAAAATAATGATTAAAGCGATTAAGAATATGAAAAAAATGTTCCCTTTTTAAAAACTGAAAGAATTAAATAAAAAAATGATGAAAAAATAAAAAAAAATTAATTATCCTAAAAATTAATATAGCTTTTGGGTAAAAATATTATATAAATAAATTCTGATTTAGTTGCAATACATTCAGCTTTTTAATGTTTTGGTTAAAACGAATTAATAACAAATAATTTAAGAAAAACAAGTGTCTTATGTAATTCCGAAGTTGGAGAATTATTACAAATTAAAGGTCATTATTTGCTTTTATTAGCTTAGGAATCTCATGAAATAAAACTAGACATGATAAAGAAAATAATGTTATATCAAAAAGCTTTACAAATAAAAAATAGCATTTACAAGTTATCATTTTAATATGAAGATTAATTAAATATATACTAAAATAATGCAAGATCAAGCCAGAATATAAAAGATGACAATGATTTAACAAAAAGCAAAGAATTGGAAAAATAAAAAATAGAAAATAGAAAAAGCATATAAACAAATTAATTATTAGAAGAAAATAAACATAATAAATTTACAAAAGAAAAATAAAAAAGACATACAATAAGTTGTATTTAAAAAAGTTTAATTGGAATTAAATATTAAAAATAATATAGAAGTAACAGTAATTCTGAAAATAATATAGATCTAAATTAATAAATATACTCTTTAAAACATATAAATATTAAATTACCTAATATAAATAAAATTTGATGAATTTATTTTAAAAAAATGAATTTAAATATTTATTTATTTATCTTTTTATATTCAATATAAATTATATTTTCCATGGAAATAAAGTACCTTTAAAAGCAAATGCTCACTATTATGTTTTTCTCCTTACATATTAATTTTTTCTAAAGTATATTTATCTTTATTTAAATGGCATTTTTTTGCACAATCTTAGCATAAATCAACATATCCTTTATTTTTATCGAAAGGCCCTGGAAGACAATTTAAACAAATATATCTTATTTTCGGATGTATTTTACAAGCATTACAAATTATCATTGCATGACTTGGAAAAATAAATTTTTATTCAACTTCAGGTTGTATATCTTTACCTAATCTGTCTTGATCAATATTCTTTTATTTTTAATATTTTATTTTTTTAAAAAAAATACATTTAAATATTCAGTATTTGAAGTATTTATTAATATTAAATTATGTGGCACTTTATATTATTCTATATTTTTTTTAGAAATATCTTTTTCATCCCCACATTTCAAACAAACATAATTATTCAAAAAGTAATTGAAATAATAAGGTTTTTCAAGTTTATTAGAACAAACATGACATTGGTTTCCTTCCTTAATATCTACAGTATCAATTATGGTATCTTCTATTTCTATAAGATCATTCTTAGGTAATTTTTCTAATATTTTTTTTAACAATAAATTATTGAATTTTTCCTAATCATTAATTCTAACAGCGTACTTTAAAACAGGTTTTTAGTAAACTTTTTTTATTTAATTTCCTTATTAATCGAATACTTTATATCTAACCATACTTATAGAAAACAAAGGTTAGTAATCTAAATTAAGATCGAAAAATTCTTACTGAATTTCCTTTTAAAAAAGATTCTTTTTAACTTCTTAATAAACATTTTTAGGGTATTCTTAAATATCTTCTTAAAGATCAACTCCTGATTAAATTTAATGTATTTTTTAGCATAAAAGATCGCCACTTTTTATTACTCCTGTAAATTTATAGTTATTTTCCTTATCTAATAATAAAATATAGGGAACTTCTCCTATTTAGAATTCTTAAAGTTCTTTTCTATCTTTAGGAATTCCATTTAAATAATAAAAATTAAATATATTATCTTCTTAGAGTTCTTTTGCTATTTTTATTGAATTCACATTTTCTTCTACTATCGAAATAAATATTATTTAAACTTCTTTTAAACTATCTTTTCTTAGTTTCAATACTTTTATTAATTATAAGCAAAGTTCATCCCAATGAGCCCAAAATATCACAAGACCAACTTTTCCGTTTTGTAAGTGTATTTAAGCATTTTCCTATTGTTCTATTCTATGCATATTTTCAAAAGGAACATATTTGGTGTTTAAATAAGTCTATTTTAAGCCTTAGTTTAGTAAACCTATTAGATTTTTTTTATATTCACCTTTTTCTTTTAAAGATTCTGAATATTACTAGTATTCTTCTTTTATTTATTATAGATTTTGTTCGATTTAAGGAAAGTGACTTATTTCTTTATATTATTTTAAGGTATTTGTACGATCTTTTATTTAATTTTTTTTTTTAAAACAAAATTAAACTTTTACAATTAATTTTTATTTTTACCTATAGTTAAATAATTTTAAGGTGTTAATTTTAAAGACAAAGAAATTTCATTTTACAAATAAACATTTTTTAAACCTACTTTTTCATGTATTTTTCCTAAATTACCAACGTGAATAGGAAGTTATAATTTTAAGTCAATTATCTTTAAATAAAAAAAATAAATAAACAAAAATATAAATAAAAAAATACTTATTCTTTAAGTTTCATCAAAGGAATAATACCCAATATATTTTTAAAAGCAAGAAATAAATTTTTTTAGTTAGCATTAATTTTCGCATAAAGAATAGGTTTTTAATAAACTTTCATTTTCTACTCATTTTCAAAAAGACTAATTTTTTACTAACAAAGATTTAATTTTTACAAGCATTCATTTTTCTGTACAAATTCAGTCAATTCTTAATCCCATATTCCCTTAAATTTTTTAAACTATTCCTTATTCAATCCATCTGAAGTATCTCCTAACAAAAACTCAACTCTATTTTAGATATAGTTTTTTTTTTCACACCCAAAAAAACTAATAAGTCCATTCTATCCAACCAAAATAGCAAAAGGATAAGAAGAAATTTTAAATAAAGAAATCAAATGATGATTTTAATCATTTTCAGTAATCTTTAAATTTTTAAAGTTCTCGTTATCATTCCACTTTTATTACTTTATTTTGTTTTAAGCGTCTTCTATTTTATCATCTATACTTATTGTTATTACTTTTAGTTAATCTTTGTATTTATTAGATATTGAAAATGCCTTTTAGACTTATTAATATGAACTTTTTTACTATGAAGACCATAAAATTATTAATAATATTTAATTTTATTAGTGAACTAAATGGGTAAGTTGACCTGAGTTCAAGTCTACAAAATTGTCTTTTATTTCAGGGAATTTATCTCCTATTCTCAAGTGGTTATATATTTGAAATTTTTATAATATTAAGTGTTCTTTTGGTTTTAAAAAGCCTTCTTTAGATATTTCTCTAGAAAAGTCTTTCAACTTTTGTATTTCTTCAAGGTTTTAAGATAGTAAAGTACCTGATATTGAGGCTTCTTTAGTAAGCTTTTAATCTAGAAGTTAATGATTTATCTACTTTCTTAATATTAAAGGCGGTAAGTTTTATTCTTTTAATTTTTAGAGGATTAATTATATAGATTTATCTTTAGTTTCCATTTATTTTTATTTCTATTTATTGTTTTTTTTATTTTATTTTTATTTTTAAATTAATTTTTATAATGTTTTTATTTTTGTGTTAATTAATATTAAATATCACATTATTTTTATTTTAAGATTTTTTATTTTAAGGTAAGCAATAAAAAAAATGTTAATAATTAAATTTTGTTAAAATTAAATAATTATATTATATCTATAATTAAATAGCAATTTTTATTTTTTTTAGCAAAAAATAATAATAATGAAAATAAAATAAAAATAATATATATAATTAGTATCTACTAAAATTTTTTAAAAATTTACACAAGAAAATACAAAAAAATTATTAATAAATTATTAATATAATTTAAAAAATAAAATTAATATTTTTAATAAAAAATATTAATTAAAAAAAAAATTAATTAACAATAAATAAAATTAATAAATATAAATTTAATAAATATTTAACTTTAATTAATTATCTCTTTTATTTTACATTTATATTTAAATTTTTAATAGAATTTAATTAACAATTTAAAATATAAAATATATAAAAATTAAGATTTTAAAAAAATAAAAAAGACAACTTTTTTTAACTTAATAAATATATTCATAAAATTATGTCAGAAGATTTAAACGAAATAGATTTAATTATGTTTAAAAAGTTAATTCAAGATTCTAGTTAAAAATAATTAAATTTAACATTATAAATTAATTTTTAATAATAAATATATATATATATATATATAATAAAAAGATTAATTGTTTTAAAAAATAAGAAAAATATCAGATGATTCATGCAAATTAATAGAAGATTAATTATATTAAGAAGCAATTTAGTAGCTTAAATAAGCAGAAAATATAGCAGAACTAGCAGCTAATTCCGGAAAAGCGCTTGATAGAAACTTATTAATAATTTTACTTTATAATATTGCTTGTGCATATTAAGGGTAGTATTTTTTTTTAAAAAAAAAAAAATATAAAATAAAATAAAAATTATTAAAAAGATTATGGGAATTAGATAAATGCTATTAATATATAGATGGTGTAATATATAATTTAGAATAAGGTTTAAAAGAGCAAGAATAAAATGAGAAAGAATAAAAAAACGAAGATTTTTAATCATACAAGATAAAAAAACAATCATTTTTAGTAAAATCCTATTTATAAAAATGTGCTATATTATCCTAATTAGGAATGTATAAAAAATATGAAAAATAAAACAATAAAAAATAACAAAAAAGGCATAATATGGCAATAGAAACTGCCTAAAAAGGCATTTAAATGATCGAAAAAATATTTAATTTATTAACAGAATTATCATAAAATTAAAAGTATGATAAAAAAGCTAACTTTTCGTGTGAAAAAACTGAAAATACAAACTAATACAAAGCCAAAGAAGAAATTTTATATACACCTTTAATATATGAAAATGCTTAAATTTTTTTATAAAATTTTTCCAATAAAAATCTTTTTAATATAGAAATAAATACCAATAATTATAATTAATTAAGACAATCAAGAAAATCTATATATTTCTGGAAAAATAATCCAAATAATAATGAAAAAAATATGAGAGCAGAACTCTAAACACCAATAAAAGATTCAGAAAACGAAAGTAGGAGCATTTTGGGAATTAGAAATAGTTACCAATGGATCGAGTAATTCAATATCGGATCAATTATGCATATGGTATAAATTTAATATGATAGTTTTATTTATTTTGATGATATCATTTATGAACTTTCAAAAAAATAATTAATTGAGAAAGTAAGTTTTTTTTTTTTTTTTTTTTTTGTAAATAAAAAAAGATGCTTTTTTTATCTATTTGTTATTTTACTATTGCTACTGAAATTAGGTTTATAGAATTAGATAAATATAAAAATTAAAATAACGATAATAATAATACTCTTGAAAAATAATAAATTAAAATAAACAGTGAATAATATAGATAAAGTGAAACTTATCATCTTAAATCTATTGAAATTGTTTGTTTAGCCATAACATGCTAATCTCCTTATATAAATCATTTAATTAACAGCTATCATAAGCACTATAATTCTTAATTAGAAATTATTGTATTTTTGTTTATAATTAATTAAAAAAAAAAAAAAGGAAGAAGAAGATAATTCAAATATTTCATATTAATCTACTTAAAAAAAAGAAAATTCATATAAATATAATAATTATTTTAAAAGCACTTAAGATTTTTCAGAATAAAAGTTAAATATATCTAATAATTGTGATAATAATAATTATGATAAATAAACTAAAAATCATAAAATTTAGCAAAATAATTAAGTTTTTTCAACTTAACCAAATAAAAATAAAAAAGTTAAACATTTTAAACAAATTTTATTTGTCTTATATATATAAATATTTTATAGAAATTAAACAAAAATAAACTTTTTTAAAAAACAAACTTAAATTAATCAAATAGTATAGAAAATAATTTATAAAAAGATTTATCATAAAAACGTATTTATCCGATTTTAAATGAAGTAAATGAAAAATAACTAAATTAATAAAAAAAATTAAAGAGATTTCAAATAAATATCAATTTCTAAATATATAATAAGAATTTGCTGATGGAAAATGTAAAAAAAATATGTATATTATATTTATTAATAATTTTTTTATTTAAATTTTGTTTTTACTTCTAATTTGTTTTTTTTTAATTAAAAAAAATTAGAAGATATAAAATTATCACCAAAAAATTTATTTAAAAATATGTTCTGTTCTAAAATTATAAAAAAATAATAAAACAATAGTTAATAAGAATAAATAAAAGAAAAAAAAGTCAATAAATTAAAAGATGTACAAAAATAAAATTAAAAAGAAAAAAATAATTAAAAAAATCAAAATAAATAACTTGATAATTAAAAAAATAATAAAACCGAAGTTAGTTTAACTCCAAGATATTATAAAATGGATTTTTTGAAAGAATTTATTAAATGTTCAGATAAAAAAGTTGATCATTTAAATTAGAAAGAGTTTTTAAGCATGAAAAATTGCCTTAGTAATATTGTTATTCCTAAATTAGATTTAAATTTAATTAAAAATCTTAAAAATTTAAGAATTGAAAATAATTATAAATTTAATTCAGCAAGAGACTAATCTTCGAAATGAGAACATTATATTCTTAAGATTTTGTTAAGAAAATTTTTTATCAAAATACTTCTAATTATAATTTATAAAATATATATAATTAAAAACTATATAATTATAATTTAATTTTCATATAAAATAATTTTTTTAAAATTGTATATTTCACATGAATATTTATTTAATTAAAATTATATAAAAATTCGATTATATTTTTAAAAATAAAAACTTTTAACAAACTAATAATTAAGAATATATTATAGTAATTAAATTAAAAAAATATTTATATATTTGCTATAATAAATATTTTGTATTTGTATTCATAAATTAAATATTATATTTTCCGTTAAATTTATGTTGAAAATTATTTGTTAATTTACAAATAATAATAAAATAATAAATAAAAGATGTCATATAGATATAAAAATTAAACAATATTAGAAATAAACCAAGCCTTAAGTTTTTCATAAACAATAAAATCATAAAGTTCAACATAAAATACTTAAAGAAATAGTTTAACACCAACTAAAAAGCCATTAGATATAATATTATTTAAAAATAAATTTAATTAAATAAAGGACAAATAAAATTTTATAAAAGTAATATAAAGGAACTTTTAAATACTGATTAAACTTTAAGTAAAAATAAAATATAAGAAAATGAAAAAGAATAAGAGCAAAACATAGAAACTAAAAAATATTTATTAAAACAAGAAAATTTAAACAAAATAAAATAAAAAATAATAAATTGTGAAAAAACATAATTCATATAAGAGAAACAAAGAAATAAAAAATATATAGGTTTTGTTAGCGAAAAAAATTAAACTTTAGAAATATTAGATGAAAAAAATTTAAAATATTAAAATAAATAATTAAAATGTAGATAATATAAAAAAATAATCCTCGATTTGTAAATAAAAGTTTACGCATTAAAATAATCAAATTAAGAATTTATATAATAAATTAATTCTTTAAAATCTAAAGTTAGTGAATAAAATGTTATTGCTTATTAAATTTTAAATGAGTTAGAAGATATTAAAAGTAAATTTTAAAATTTATTGAATTCAAAAGAAATTTTACAATTATTTGCTTCTTTTTAAAATAATTTATAATTTAAAGATTTTCAATTGAAAAAAGAGTATTAAGCCAGAGAAACATTTAATAATATTATTTGTGATGAAAATTATTTTTCCTGTTTAAAAGAAAAAATTGACTTTAATAAAAATTAAGATAATAATATTCTATAAGTATTTTTTTTTATTTTTTTAATATTATTTGTTTTATAAATTTTCTAGATTGTTAACCTTAATTAAATTATTTAATAATAAGAAATTGAAAAACTTGACTTTTAACTAGAAAATGCAAAAAGTTTAAGAATTTAATCTGAATTAGAAAATTAAATAAATTTCTAAAATGATTAAATCGAAAATTATTAGAAAGAAATTAAAGAGTTGTACTAAAATATTAAAATGAGAAGCGAAAAGTTTGAAAGTTAAGTAAATTTTATTTTTAATATAAAAAAATTAATTTCTTTTAAATTTTAATTTATTTTTAATATTTTAAAAATACTAATTAATCATAGTTATTAGAAATTCAATCTTTGAAAAAACTAATTCAAAATAATTAGAATATGTCTTTAAAATAATCTTGAATATTTAAATAAAAAAAATCAAGAAAATTAAATAAATAAAAATTAATATAAAAACATTAATTATATTAAAAAATATATCACTTCTTCTGATGTTTTTTGTTATCAATTCTATATTTTTTTTTAAAAAAAAAAATCAATTAATCAATCAAAAAAAAAAAAGTATCAAAATTCTTTTTTTGTTATTGATTAAGATTTTAAATAAAAAATAAAAAAACACAAAAGAAAGTAATATATTTTTTATTTTCTGTATAAAATATAATAATTAATGAATATAAAATTATAAAAAATAGTTTTTATAATTAAATTAAAGAATATTTCGCTTTAAATTTTTCTAAAAAATTATGTTAATAAAAAAAAGTATTTTTGGATTTTTAAAATATTATTTGTTACATTTTATTTTACTAAATAAAAAATTATATATATATATATGTATTTAATCAATTTATTTTAAAATGTTTAAAGATCTTTAATGATTTTGCAAAATCTGTTTTTTCTAATTCTTTTAGTTTCTCATTTATTTACTCTTGTTTTAGTCTTTGTTTAAAAATTGCATTATAATTTGTCTTGTATCCTTTTAAATCATTTCCAGCCTTGTCAATTCTTATAGGTTTAGATAAATTATAATCAACTTTCCATTCGTATCCAGTTCTTTATATTTAATATTATTAAAAATATAATAATTTTAGTTTATTACTATGTTTCAGTCTTTGGTACTTCTTATGCTTAACATCTTGAATAAAGTGAACGCAAGCAAGCTAATACTAACTCTTAAAATTCTAATTCGTCTTTAAGCTCAATCCAATTATCGATAAAAAGCTTCGCAAGATCTGTTAAAGGTTTAGCAAAAGTTAACTTTTATTTTATTTTATTTTAAAAAAAAAAATTATGTCCCTTTTTTAGTTTTTTACTTCAGAACATTTTTTGTATTTAAAAACGTTTTGTTAAGGTTTAAGATTTTTTTATAAATAACCGAATTCAAAACCATAAGTGCTTGAAATTTATGTTTTTCTATACATTTCTTCTGCTTTTTAGAAACTTATTTTTATTTATAAAAATATATTAACACTTCTTTTTTAATTACTCAAATTCTTGTTATTAATGTAACTATTGTAATTAAACTACAGGAGGTTTTGCTCTATTTATAAAAAGATATTAAAAATATTAAATTTCAATTAACTTATATTTACCTAAATTTTTTATGTCCTTTATGCTTAAAAATAGCGCCTATAAGTTATAATCCTCTTGCTTCTTTTTCGTTTGCTGTGCATAACCAATCGTTATAATATTTAAGGTATTCTTAGCGGATTATTTATTTTAAAATTTATTAGTAGATTTATGGATTTTATTAGTTTAATTACATATTCATTTTTTAATTTTCTTCTAAATAAGTAAGTTATAAATTTTTAAAAATATTTTATATATATTATTTGATATAATTTAATAATATAATAGAATATTTTTTATATTAATTTAAATATTTTTTTATAATAACTATTATATTTTTTTATTTTAAAAGATATAATTTTATTTATTTTAAAATTCATATAAATATATAAGTTTATAAAATTAAAATATGTTTTTAGTATTTTAAAACAAAATTTTATTATTAAAATTAATCAATCTTTTTTATCTTTTTACTAAAAAGCTATTTCTAAGAAATTAGGAATTAACAAATATGGTACTTCTTTTACATATTATTAATATCTTATATTATTTTATAAATCTATTTCAAGCTTAGTAATACAATAAAATATCCCTATAATAACAGCAAAATTAAATTAAATTCTTCCTAAAGTTATAACAGTTCCGCTTGTTAAAATATTTAAAATTATATAAAATTGCATTGGAAATCTACAATATTAATTATTATATTATTTTTTTTAATTCTAAAAATCATATTTTTTATGCTTTAATATTACCTAAAGTTGTTAAAATCCAAAAATGTCACTATTTTTCACAACAAAAAATAAAAGTATTATAGAAAAGATATTTAAAATACTAAATAAAGTACTCAATAAAGAATATTCGAATATTATTATATTTATAGGTTACCATAATCCTAAACCAAATATAAAAAAAAACAAAAAAGCTAAGTTTTACATAGGGTATTATATTATTCTATATTCAGGAAACAGTTTTTCTATAATTTTGGAGTAATACGGCGAATATATAAATTAACAACTTTTAAAAAATATTAAGAAAATTAAATTATTAAATAAAAATTTTATAAATTCTTATAAAATAATTTATTCTTATTAAATATTTATATATTCTAATATGTTAAATCCTAAATTATAATGAATTCCAAAAAAAATATATGCTTAAGGTTTATCTTATAAAAAATTAATGAAGAATAAATAAAAAATTATCCCCAAAAACGAACTCCAAATGGTTAGTAAAAAAGCTATTATTTTACTTATAAAATTAATTTTTAGTTGCATTTTTTTTATATATATTAATATATTAATTATGAAATTAAATTAATATATTATAATAATTAATTATTTAATATTTGTTATAAATTTTTATTTTGTTAAAAAATAAAAATATTTGGAAAATAATATAAATAAGTTAAAAATTAAAATATACATTTTAAAAAATATAAATAATAGATAATATTTCATTAATTATTTTTGAATTTTTAAATTTTTTTGAAAGAAGAGCTAACTTAAATTTTGTTAGTTTTATCTTGAAAGATATTAAAAGCAGATAAATTTTATTAAATATTTTTCCTAACTTAAGGAGATGAAGGATTTATATTTTAGAAATCTTCAACTTTATGTTAAATAATAGTTAAAGGAGCCCTTTTAACAATAGGGGTTTTTTAATTATCAATTTATTTTCTATTTTCAGAAATAAAAAGATTTTCATCATTTGATTATTACTTTTTGATAGTAGTAAAATTACTTTGAATTTATTCATAATTTTTATTAGTTTAATAATTATTTTGCAAAAGTTATTTACTAATCATTTAATTTTATAATATATTAGTAAAATATTTAAGTAATAATAATTTTAGATCATAATTTTAATCAAATTATTCATTTTATTATTAAAGATTAAAAAATTGCGTTTATTATTATTACATAAGAAGTTATTATAATACTTATTATTATTATTATTATTATTATTATTATTATTATTATTATTATTATTGATATTAATTTTAACATATATATTAATTTTATTATTTATATTATTTTAAATATTATTTATTCTATTAACTTTATAAAATTATTAATTCTTATTAATTTTAAGAATTTTAATTTTTTTAATATTAATTATTAATTATTTATTTTCTTTGTAAATCTTATGAATTTTTTTATTGTTATTATATTTGCACTATTGCATTATCATCTTTTATATTATTTTCTATTTTTATAGTTTTTACTATTTAATTTTCTTCTATTTTTTTTTTTTACTAATTATTTCTTTAATTTTTTCAATTCTTTATTATTTTTTGCTATTTTATTATTTTATATTTTCTGCAAATTTATTTAAACCATTTAAACCTATCCATTCGAAAGCTGGTTTTTTGTATCTACTAAAGATGTTTTTTTATTAATCCTAAGCTTTTGAATACATTAGCAATATCATATAATCTTCTCACCTTATATTAATTTTATATATTATTTTAAATATAAATTTTTTATTTTTACTTTTATTTATTTTATCTGATTTTTTTTTAAAACTCAAATAAATAAAAAATTCAATAAAAAAATAATAATTTCTTTTTTTATATTTATTGAGTTTTTTTTTAAAAAAATACAGAGAAAATAAAAAAAATCAAAACAAGTAGTATATTATATTATTTACTTTTGTTTTTATTTTATGCTCATCTATAACTTATTTATTTGAAAGCTTTTTAGCAGCTTCTTCTAATGTCATAATCGATTTCCAATGTAAGAAAAGTTTTAGAAATCCAACAGATAGTATTTCTAATGATTTAGGTCTTTTTAATTAAATATTTGTTAATTATTCCTATTATTATTCAATTTACTTAATATCTAATTATTATTAATTATACTAATTATTTATAAAATAAAAAATTAATTATAAAAATAAAATATTTATTAATATATAATTTTATTTTTTTAATATTTTAAATTTATACAATCGAAAATATAATATATACTTAATCGATTGATTCATAAACTTTAATAAATCCATTCCATTTGTAATTATTTTTTCCTTTTCTTGAAACTAATTTTAAGCTTTCTAAAATATTAATAATATCGTATATCCTTCTTCTTTCCACACCTTTATATTATTTATAGTAAAATAAATTATTAATTAATTTTTTACCTAATTAGTTTGTTATCCTGTCAAGGCTTAACAAAGATTCTTCTTTATCTAAAAATAATGATAAAAATCTTTTAGAAAGTTCTTCAAGGCTTTTTTCTTTTCTATTAATATTTAGGATTTAATGTTTTTTAATTTGACTTGTAAAATTATCATTTTTTAATGTTATGTTTTCTGATTAAGATAATGAAGATTCAGTTTATAAATTACTTCTTTTTTAATTATTTAAATTTAAATAAAATTTTATAATAAAAAATAATAATTAAATTTTTAAATATTTGTTTATGCAAGTATAATATATAAAAAATAATTTTTAATTATTTACTTTAACTTAGGATTATTATTTTATTTTAAAAAGAAGATATTTCTTTTTTTCTATTTAATTTTATTTAATATGATTTCTTATTCTAATTAATATTTATTCTTTGTTAAAATTTAGTCGTTTTTAGATGTATCAAACTAGAGATAATTTTAGTCAATAAAATCTATTAAATTTTAGTTATATATTTGAAAAAAAAGAGAATTTATATACATATAAATTCTATCTATATATATATATTTGTATTTTACATAAATTATTATTCTAATAATTAATTTCACAAAAAGGTTAAAGACATTAAAATGTATTCATTTATTTTTAAAACTAATAGAGTTTGTACTTTTTTTTATTTTTTATAAATTTTTATTTAATAAATATTTTGCGCTTTATTAATATTATTATTTTTTATTATAATCAAAAATTATTTTGATTATAATTTTTTATTTTTAATTTTATTTTTTTTAAATTTCAAATTTAAATATATCCAATATAAATTTTTTGCAAAATAAATATAAAATATTATCAATAAAAATTTAATATTAGAGTAATATAATTTTTGAAAAAAATATTTATTGTATTTAATAATTTAAGTTTCCGCTTTTTTTTATTTTTAAAAAAAACTAAAATAATATTTAAATATTTTATTTTAATTGATTTTCAAATTTAGTAAAATATATATATGTAAATACAAATATCTTAAAAAAAGATATTAAGTCAATTTCATAAATAAATATGAATAAATAAAAAATCTATAAAATATATTATAACATTAGAAAATACTATTTAAAAAAATATTTATCTTATTAGTATAAATTAAAAAATAAATTTTAATTTCATTAAAATTAAAAATAATTTATTAATTAAATCAAATCTTAAATAGATATTTTTAAAAATATTCAAAATTTAAAAGTTAATTTAATATATTTATGTATATATATTATTTATTTTTTAGCGTTTTCTAATTATAAATTTCAAAACCAAAATTCGATTATAATAATTATTATTAATTAAAAATGTTAAATAAAAAAAAAATTATTTATATTATAATTAAAATAAAGAAAATATTTACTTTTAATTTATGAATAGAATAAATTAAAATTTATATAGATTTTTCTTTTAAATTTTTATTTATATTTTATTCAAAAATTTAAGAATATAAATATATTATAAAAACATTTATTTTAATAAATTAGAAAACTATCAATCTAAAATATAAAAAGGTTAAAAAATATGTAAAATTATATTAATTATTAATAAAAATTATAAAGATTTTTATATAAATATAAATTTTAGTAAATATAATTAAAATATACTAAAATAAAATTATTTTATTATATTTTTTTTTAATATGATAAAGTCGTTTGCGCAACTTTAATTATTCTCAATTAGGACATAATTATAATTTTAATCATAATTTTATAAAACAACGTATATAAGATAACCAAAATTAAAATGCAGAACAGTCCAATAAATTTATCCTCCTCCTGGATTAAATTTAGAGATACCAAGTAATATTAATGATAAATTTATAATATAAACTAAATTATTATTTTTTTGCAAATTATTAGAAGATTGGTCTTCTGAAGAATTTTTGAAAAGAATAGGGAACGGAACATCTGAATTTGCAGACAAATTTAAAGATATAGATTAAATTTTCAAATTCTCATCAGTAAAAATTTTAAAATCCAAATAAAAAATTGTATCATAAAAAAAAAATATAATTAGAGATAAATGAAATCAAAAGGAGTACCATGCAAAGCAAGAAAACATATTCAAAGAATCAGAGAATAATTAAGAAGAGGATTAATTACATTTGAATATTTGGGAAGAAGAACATGCTTAGAAATATAAGAAAAAAATTAAAAAAAAAAATGAACATTTAATAAGTTAAATTAATTTTAAAAGGATAATATAAATATTTAAATATAAAAAAATTAAATACATTTATTTTTCATCATCTTTATAGATATTAATTATAAATTTTTTATTTATGCTAATATATATAATTATTTATGTTTTTTTTGTTTCATAAATTAAATTTTTTATTAATATCATTTTCCAAATTATAATTTAAACTATAAATCCTTTTTTCAATATCTATTTTGAGTTCTTTTATATCACTATTTCTTAATAAATAAAATGATATAAATATTTATTTATTATAATAAAATTACACTTCATATGTACTATATTCTTTAATAAAGCTTTTTAATGGTGAACTTCCTTATCTATTATTTTGTCTTTATTCATTCAAAGTTTAATTTTCGGAATATTTAGTATTTCCCATTTTGTAAATAAATTAATTTTTAGTATCTATTGGCTTTTCTATCATTTCTTAAAGCTGAAATTCGACTTTTTTCAGTTCATTTGTAAGTACTTATATATCTTACTAATACTAGTCATTTTTTTATTAAAATTATGCTTACTTTTGTTCATATTTTTAATTTATTAATTTTGTTTCCTATAATTTTTCGTCCATAATTTGTAAAAGAGAATTACTTTCTTATAATTTAGATTCATATTCTTTAAGTTTTATATCTTAGTTCTAAATGTAGGTTAATAATTATTCATTCTATTATTATAATTTTATTTATTTAAAATAAAGATATAAAAAAATAAAAATAATAAAAACTTCATTTTAAAATCGAATATTTTTTTAATTTATTTATTTATTAATTTCTTCTTATTCGTTAATTGTTAATTAAAGAAGTTCAATTTATTCTAAATTTTAATTATTTTGTTGTAGATAATTATTATTTTCTTTTTTTGAATCTTTTATTATAAAAATTATAAAATATAAAAAATAAAGTTTACTATCTATTTCTTGCTTTAATTATAAAATAAGATTTTATTATTTTTCTAAATGTTATTCAAGCTAATTTATTTTGTTTTCGTATTAAGATATTAATTCGATAGTTTCTTGTTATAAAGATTATATTTTTTCTTCGTTTTTTTATTTTATTTATGTGTTTTCATTTTAAAATTGTAATATGCTTTCTTATAATGTTTTATTTTCTTTATTTAAATTGCCTATTTGGTCATTTTATTCTTATATTTTTTATTTGAAAGTGCCCAAAAGTATATTTTAATCTTCTAAATTTTAATTCAAATAGTTTAATTATTTTTAATAAGTTATTTTTTCATTTAATAATGATTGTTCATTCAATTAATATTAAAGTTCTATCGAATTTTCATATTTTTTAAAATAAATTATAATTTAATTTGTATTTATATTTTACTTTATTTTTATTTATTTTATGATTATTATTCAATCAGAATTTTTATTTAATTTTTTAAATTCTACTTTTGTAAATTATTTGCTATTTAATAAAAATTTTTGAAAAACTATTTTTAAAATATAAAAAATCAAATATTAATTAAAATTTTTAATAATATTTACTTTATGTAATTTTTTATTTTTAAATTAAGTTAACTTATAATTGTTCTAATGTTTATTTTTAATATATAAGATCCAATCAATAAATATTCGTTTTTATAAACTATTATTTATTTAATTTTCTAATTTTTTTTTGTTTTATTAATAAGAAATTATAAAATTGAGTTATTTAAATCCTTTTTTTAAGCATTTTTTTTTCAAAATATTTTTTTTTATTTTATTTTAAAGATTTTTTTTAAAAAAAATAAATATATTTTTTATTAATAATTTAGCCTATCTTTATTAAAATTTATTTATTTTTAAAGCATTTTAATTTTTAATAGAAATATAGTTTTTTAAAGAAAATAGAATTCTTCTTTTAATATTTAAAATGTTTGTATTTTAAATCTTTTTAGAAATTTTATTATTTTATATCCATTTTTTAAAAAATTTAGCTTTTAAGAAATAATTAAGTTTTCTTTATATTTTCCTTTTTAAAATTTTTTATTTATGAAAATTTTAAGACCATAATTAAAAGATTTATTTAAGTTTAAATCGTTAATATATTAAAATTTTTTATTTTGTTTTTATTCTTTTAAATCTTTTTATTTTATTAGATTTTTAAATTATTAAAAATAGTTTTATTTCAAATATAATTCATTTTATTATTATATTATATTTATTAAATTTTAATTTCTTATATTTTTTTAAATTTAGTAATTTTTAAAATTATGCCATTACTAAAATATTCTTTATTTTTAAAATTTATTACATTTTTAATCATATGCAATCATTTGATGTTTTGTTATTTAATAAATTTATGAAAATGTGTTTATTGATTAAAAAGCTTTTTTAATAATTAAACTTTAGTAATATACCAATGCATTAGACTTCTATTATTTGCCTTTTTTTTGAATTAAATATAATTCTAGAATTATTAAAAGCATTTTAATAGATTAAGTTATTATTTTTAACAATTAATATATTAAATTTGCTTTTTAAATTTAATATTTTTTTACCACGTTTACAAAAACTTTTATTAACTTTAATATCTAATAAATCTTTTCAAAAAACATACTAAATAAAACATTACCAAACCCTTTACAAAAATTAAATTTGAAATTTTTATTATAAAAATTTGATATTAATTTATTATTAATAAGCAGATTTGATTAAATAAAATATTTTTCCTTCATTTTTTAATTTTATTTTTTATTACATTTTCTCAATTTTTTATTTCATAGTTTTCTTTTTAGATTCATTCTAACTTATTTCTTAAAGTTTTTTTTATTAATTTAATATTTATAATTCTACAAAATCACATTTTTATTTAAATTTTTATAATTCTTCATTTTGTAATTCCAATATTTTTTATTTTTCTTAACTTTAAATAAGAAGATTTATGACATTTTATTTTTCTTCTTGAAATTTAGCTATTTGCTTTTCCTTAAATTATAATTTTTTCTATAATAAAACTTCTGTTTCTTTAGTCTATTCTACTATTTTATTACTTTAAGATTATATGTTTACTAATTCATGTATTTTTGAATTTAAACTATCACTTAATTATTTAATTAAAACATCTTTTTCGCAATTCCTTAATTTAAAGGAATTTGTTGGATGGTTTGAAAATTCCTTTTTTTATATTTTATTTTAAATAATGCAATTAATATTTTTTTTTATTTTTACTGATTATTTTATAAACTTTTAAGAATTTTAAGTGTTTTTAAAAGAGTTATTCATAAGTGATGATTTTTCAGAAACTTTAAAAGAAGAATTTTATTTTGAATTTGAAAGTTGTATTTATTTGCAATTAGAAAATTAGTTGTTTTCTTTTTAAAATTTTTTACAAGAATTACTTTTTTTTATTGTTTATGTTATATTTTATGCAATATTAGATTTTATTTAATTTTTGCTTTCTATTTAATTTAATAATTCCTATTTTTTAAAATCTTATTTCTGCTTTAATTTTTCAAATGCTTAATATAAATCACCACTTTTATTATAAAATATTAGTTAGATTAATATTATATATTTATTAATTTGTTTTTAATTTACTTTACTAAAAATTCATTTTATATTATGTAAAGATCATTCAACAAATTGATTTCTATACATAATAATGCTATATGATCACATTAATCTTTTAAAGAAAAACTTTAAATCATTTTATTAACATTAAAATTTATAGGTTCATCAATTTAAAGCTTTTATCTTAATTCATAGTGAAGTTTTACTTTTTTACAAACCTTTATTTAAATAAAAAAATATAAAAATATTTTAAAAAATATTGACATTTTGCAGTTATAATAAGCTAATATAATTTTCTAATAATATTTAAAGAATTTCCTATATATTTTAGAATTCGATTTCATTTTATTTTCTTATAATTTTATTTATATTCTTTTTATTTAAGAAAAATTATGAATTTATATTAATTTTGTAAATTATATTTTTTACTTATCCATCTAATTATTAAATTTAAGTTAAATAGTGTGTTATTATGGTAAAATAATGATTTTAATTTTAAATAAAATTTCCTTTTAAAGATAAACATTATAGTTATTACAAATCTTTTATATATAAAATATTTTCAAAATTTCTAATCTTTTTTTATTTTATTTTTTTATTATAAATTAATGCATATATATTTGTTTTTTTACTTAATTTTAATCAAGAATTAATACTCTTAATTCAACAAATTATTAAATTCCTCTTAAAGAAGATATTTAATTTTAGGATAAATCCAAAATCTATATTTATTTGGCATTCTTTATGTTATCAATTTAATAGATGTTTTTTTTTTGAAGTTGAATTTTGTTTTTCTCTCTACTTTAATTGTTTTTTAAAGCCTATGACAACTTTTTTTATAATTTAAAAATATAAAATTAAAATTTAATTTATAGCAATTATTTAAAATACTCTTTTCATTTTATAAAAATTAATTATTTTTTTTTATATATTATTTGTAAGAATGATATAATCAAATTTTTTTAAAAAATTTATTTTTATAAATTAAAAAGTATTTTATTTAATAAAAATAAAAATAATATTAAAGAAAATATTATAGGCATATTAATAAATGAAAATTTTATATAATAAAATTTTTAAATTTAAACTTTTAAAAAAACTAGTTTATTATTTTTTTACAATTTATATTTTCAATTTGTTTATTTATACAAATTTTTATCAATTTCAAACAAACTAAAGTAATAAAACTTTATTTTATTTAATTTTTTTTTGTTAAAATCTTTTATTTAAAATTCAATCAATTATTTATTGATTTTCAAATGAATTTCGTTTCCATTTTCTCTTTTCATTTATTTAAAATTCTTTGAGTTTTTAAAGAAGCATTTAATTTTCATTTTAAAGATATTAAGCCTTTTTTGTAAAATTTAGCATTATTATAAAAATTATATATGTTTTAATTTTTTACAATTTTATTATTAATGGCTTCCTTTTATTAATAGTAAGAATATTAGTTAATATTAATATTATTTTCACAATTTTATGGATTTTATAAAATTTCTTTTAGTTTTTAATTTTCATATTTTAAAGAATTAAATTATTTAGTTTGATTTTCAGCGTCTTCAATTTAATTATATATTTATTTAATATTTTTATCAAATCTTTTTGTAGTTTTATTTATATCTTCTTATGCATTTTAAATTACTATTGAAATTTAATTTTATTAATTCTTTTCAAAATCATCCAATTATTTTTATAAATACTTTATATCCTTAAAAAAATATAATTTTTTTAACTTTTTAATTTTATTTTTTTAATAAAAACCTTTATCCTTTAATTTAATTAAATGTTTAAAGTTTTGTTACTTTCTAATAGTTAAAGAGCATTTTATTGAATATTTATATATTTATTTGATTCTTCTTTTTATAAATTTTAATACTTTTATATTAATTATTACTATTCAATTTCTTGACTTTCAATTTTTTGTTAAAACTTTTAAATGTCTTATTTTTATTACAATAAAAGCTATTCTATCTCAAAATCTTTATTTTTAATTTCTATTTCAAATTATTTTTAAGTTTGAATTAATTTATTTATATATAATTCTTCAAAGTGACTTTTCCAAAATTATCTTAATTCCTCGTTTTTATTTTAAAGTCTTAGTTTTTAAAAGTAAATAAATTATATAAATAAAATTTACTTATTCTAAAGTTCTTTATAATTTAAATCTAAAATATTAACTTATTCTTTTAAATTTTAATTAATTAATATAATACTTTGATTTTCCTCAATTAATTTTTCTATTTTTTCATGATAAGATTATATTTAAATGTCTAAAAGTTATTAATATTATTATTAAATTTATTTTTCATATTATTTTTAATCCTCTAATTTAATGCATTTATTAATTTCTAATTATTCATTTTATTAACTTTATTCTAAACTGATTTCTAATATCGTTTCAAGGTTCATTTTAGACACCTATTATTATTTTTTCTGGATTGAAAATGCTTAAATAAATATATTTTACTATTATAATTTTTAATTAATAATAAAATTCGAACAAGTATTTTTTAAATTAAAATCTTTTTATATTTTTATCAAATTTTTATAAAATTATATTTTTTTTTTATTATAATTTATAAAATTTAATAACAAATTATATTCTTATGGATACTTTACAAATGATTATTATATATATATATTTTTAATTTAATTCAAAATTAAGAGCAAGTAATACAATTTTCTTTTTGATTTAATTTTTCATCTTTTACTTTAAAATAAGTTTCTTATATTTTTTATATTTGTTCAGTTTATAATTTTTTGTTTGAAATTTAAACTATATCCTCATCCAATTATTAAATAATATTAGAATATTATTTATCTTTTTGAATTCTTATAAATGAATAAAAATTAATATATATATATATATATATATATATATATAAAATATATATATATATATATATATATTTATATTTATTTATATTTTATTTTTTATATTATTACATTTCTTTATATTAAATTATTGCTTCATCAATTTTAGTTTATATTTCTTATATTTAAAATTCGATATTTTCTAATTCTTTTTATTGTGTTTAATTATTTTGAATTAAATTATTTATTTCTTATTATTTTTTCTCAGAGGTTTTTTCTAATTAATTTATTTAATTAGTTACTTTCTTTTATTATTCATTTTATTAATCACTTGCTTTAGTCTTTTAATATTATTATTGTTCTAGTGAAATAATTAATTACCTTTTATTATCATTTTATTTTTATATTTATATATCAAAATTTTTTTTCTTTTATAAAAATTGATTATATAGCTATAATTATATATATTTTTCCTCACAATCATCACAAATACGTTTAAAATCTTTTTAAATTTGATTTTGTTATTATGATTAATCCAGAACTGATTAACTTTTTTAAATAATCAAATCTTTATTTTATTTTATTTGTTCATTTATTTATAAATGTGTAGATTGAGGATTTTTTCTTTTTTTTTAAGAGTGTTCTAAGCATACGAAATTCCCACAAAAATAACTTTTTTTTTTATATTAATATATATTTTATTTTAATATTAAACCATTATTTTTTTCTATTTCTTAAACTAAATTTACAATCTTTGATACATTTAGATGGCGCTGATAAGGCTATTTATTTCATTTCTTCTTTTGTTAAAACTCTTTTAAATATTTCTTATAATTTTTATAATTATAAAAAAAAATATTTAGAATTATTTCAGATGTGTTATATAAATTTTTTATTATTTTATTTGTCTACAGTCATATTTAAATGGAAATTCTGGTTCTTTGATACTTTCATATTATTAATTTATCATGAAAATTTATTATTAAAGCTAAGAGTATTGATTATTCTCAATTTGACTCATATAATTATAAAAGACTTATAATTTTACAAAATAATTTATTATAAAATAATTATTATATTATATAGAAAACAAATTAAATATATATTAATTTTATTTTCAGATATATAGATATAAAAATTCTTATAAATTTTAATCATTAATTATTTATATTTAGATTTTATTTATAATTTTTATACATGTTATTATAATATTTATATTTATTTTTTAATATAAATTCTAAAATTTTATTTGTTATAATATTTATTTATTATATTAGTGTTTTTTTTTTAAAAAAAAAAATATTCAAATTATTTTTAAGATTATTGAGATATTTTATATATTTATTAAAAAAAAATAAGCTTTATTAAAGATAAATTATGAATTTTATATTTATAAAATTTAAAAAGTTAAGGAAAAAAAATAATTATTTATAAAAATTATATATTAAAATTTGTTTATTTTATTATCTTAAAAAAATTAAATTATTCTAATATATTTTATTGTATATTTTATTATAGATTTTATTTATTTAAATAATATAATTTTTATCCTAATATATCTTTATTTAGTACATATTCATGATTTCTTATTTTTTTTATTTTTTTAAAAAAAAATTAATTATTCAATAAAAAAAATTTATAAATAAAATAATTGCTTTATTAAAAGTAAAATTAAAAAAAAAGAAATATGACTAAATGAATAATATCATTTGTATAAAAATCTTTTTCAAAAGCTTCTAACATTTGAATCAACATTAAATTAGAAGCCAGTATTTTTCCTAATATCCTCCAAGTTGCTTTCTTTAGCGATTTCAGTTAAAACAAACTTTCCATTTATTTTTTAGAATACTGCTTTATCAGTAATAATCATATCAACAACTCCTTTAGCAGTTAATGGATATTTACAAAAAGAAACTAATTTTTATCTACCATTAGAAGCCACATGTTCAGTTAAAGCAATAACTTTACTTCCTGAATTAGCAAGATCCATATCTCCAGACATACCCCGAATAGTTTTTCCAGGAATAATCCAATTAGCAAGATCTCCGTTTTCACTAATTTACATGGCTTCAAGTATTACTAAATCCAAATGACCTCCTCTTGCCATACCGAAACTTAAACTACTTGAAAAGATACTAGCACCAGGATTTAAAGTTATTGATTCCTAAAAAAATTATATTTAATAAAATAATATAAATAAAAATATACATGATTGGCATTAATTAAATCAGCGTTTTGAGCTCCTTATGAAGGATATTTTCCTACTCCCATTACTCCATTTTCCGAATGTACTTCAAATTCAATATTTTTTGGAACATGTTATATTGTTTGTATTGGTAAACCATAACCAAAATTCACAAACATTCCATGTTTTATTTCCTTTGCAGCTCTTTATAATATTTTTAATTAATGATCGACTTAAGTTAATTCATATTCTTCATGAAGTATTAAATTTTAAATTGTATTTATAGGCTTTTCACTCTTAAATATTCTATTAACGAATACTCCTGGAAGATGAACGTAATCTGGCTCAATTTATCCGTTTTCAACTATTTCTTCTACTTCTGCAATTACTATGTTTGCAGCAGTCCCCATATCAACATTAAAATTTCTTGAAGACTGAATTTATTTATTTTTTATTTATTTTATTTTATTTTTACCCTATTAAATACAAGGTTTCCATATTTGTCTGCTTTTTAAGCTTTTATTAAAGCAAAGTCTCCTTTTATTGATTTTTCCATTATATAGTCTTTACCATGAAAATTTCTTCTCTTATTTTTATATAAAAAATTAATTAAATAATTTATATCTATATATAATTATAAAAAGATATATTTAATCATTATAAAAAATTATAAATGAAATTAATTTATCTCAAAATGTATTTTTTTTAATATAATTGATAAAAATAAAATAAAAAAAAAATCTTGGTGCTTTTTATTTAATATTTTTTATAAACAAATAAACTAACTATTGTATTTAAAATATTTTACTTCTTTAGGTTCTGAGATGATTTCAGACTCTTTAGATCCTTTCATGTATTTAATTACTGCACCTCCCATTTCAACCATAGTTTAGCATCCGGCATTAGTATAAAAAGCAGGGATACCATGTCCTGCAGCTCTACATTTTTCAGCCAGAGTGCCTTAAGGAACAAATTCAACTTCTAATTCACCCTTTAAATACTATCTTTCGAATTCTTAATTGTCTCCAATTTATGATGTTATCATTCTTCGAATTTAATGCTAGTGTAATAATACTCCTAAACCTTAATCTTTTGTACCTTTATTTATGATTTTTTAATATAAATAAATAGACTAATATTTATTTATTAAATTTATTGTATTTTGTATTTTTACCACAATTATTTGAAACGACAATTAGTCCAGTTGTTCCATTCATTTTAATAGCATTGATTAAATTTTAAGGAACTCCACAAAGCCCATAACCTCCTACAAGTATAGTAGATCCGTCTTTTATATCTCTAGTTGCTTTTCTAGGACAATCATATAATTTACTTTCAAAGAATTTTATACTTTTAAAGTTTAACTAGCGAAATATTTTTGAATACTTTATTAATTATTACATTATATTATAATTAGTATTTTAATATAAAAAAATAGATTTTTTTTTATTTATTTAATTAATATATATATTTATTATAATTATGAATTTATTTTTAATTAACTATATATATATTTTTATTTATATTTTATAATTTTTTTTTATAATATATATTTTAAATAAATTTTTTATTATAATATCAGTATAATATATATAATCTAATTACATTTAATTATTATAATGCATTTTAATTTTAATAATTAACTATTTTTCTTTTTTACATCGATATTTTACTTTTTTTATAATTTTTTTTTTTATATTTAATTTAATTTTATTTTGATTTTATTAATTATGATAACACTGTTTAACTTCTAATATTAACTTATATAGAATTAATTATTTTTTAGTTTATAAATAAATATTTAGTTGCATTTATGTTTTTATCTATATGAAATATATTGTTATATAATTATTATAAATTCATTTTTTGTGGTTATTTTATTTAAATAACTTTTTTTATTAAATAAAAAAGGATTTAATATTAATATTGTATTAAATAAAATTAATTAATTAATTAATTTTAAAATAAAAATAAAAAGTAATAAAAATGAAATAAAATTCTAGCATGTAAAATATTATATATTTTTTAAATTAAATGCTATAATATAATAAAATAATAAAAATAAATTCAACTACATTAATATTTTATATTAAAAAGGATGAATTTAAATCATAATAACCAAAGTTTATCTTAAAATAATAATTTACGATCAAAAAGGTTAATTATAATATTAAATAAAACGTATAAATTTAAAATTAATATATATTTATAAAATAAAGTGCAGATAAATTCAAATAATCTTCATATTCACCAGATAAAACATAGTTTTCTTCTCATTTATATTAAGAGTAATTTAAAAATAAATTTAGGATTTCATTATGATTTTAAATATATTTATAAAGTTGTAAACTATAACCTGTTTATCCAAAGATCGTTGACAATTTAATGAGTCTAATGTGCAATAATGTAATTAAAAAAAAATTATAATCAATATTTATTATATATTATGAATATATATTATATATTTTGTATAAAACTTACTCATTTTTAATATAGAAGTTAGAATAAAACAATTGTCCTTATAAGTTTTAAGATAAAGGACTTCCTATATTAATTAATTATAGAGCATTATAAAATAAACAAAAGGTAAAAAAGCAGCAAAGAAAAATAAATAATTTTTATATAATTTTTTTAATTTATTTTACAAAAGTATATAATAAAAAAAAAGTAACTTACAATTTTTGATATTACAATTATTTTTATTAAAAAATTATTTTTTATAATTTTATTGTTTAAAATTAAAATAATTTATTTATTAAATAATAAATAGAATCTTTAAATTCCTATAAATTTATTAATAGAATACTTTAATTAATGGATAGATATAATGAAGATACAAATAGATGTAATTATTTAGAACCTTTATGATTGTGCTAAACAATACTATCCATAATAAATAAAATATTTAAAGTAAATAATAGCATATGATTAGAAATACATGAAATATATGATGCTTTCAATAGGCCCTTCTAGAGAAATTCACTAAAATAACGAATTAAAAAAAATAGAAATGATTATTTAAAGGTATATAAAATTTATAAAAAAATATATATAACTATAAAAAATAATAAAAGGTAAAATTTGAAATTAACGACATGTTAACATTGCTTTGATTTCATACTTGAATGTGAGAATTATGTAGAGAACTTACTTTGTAATGAAAAAGTTTAACCGTAAGAGAATGTAGAGAATGATATAAAAGAAATAAAAAGGAATTATAGAGAATTAATAATCGATGCTGAATGCAAATAAATATATTAAAATTTTACAAACTATATCTAAGCTAATTTTTTGAATGATTTTGTTTAACAAACAGCTTATTCAAAAAAAATATTTAACGAATATTATTAATATAAGTATACAGTAAATAAATTTACTTTAATATAATTAAAAGATACAAAATAATTTACTCAAGAGGAAGCAATTACTGTATTTACTTAATATTTTCCAAAAGGAGAAGAGTTAAGGGAAAACTTAATTAAGATTTCTTAATATAATCTTTTTTCTTTGAAAATAAAAAACTAAGCAAATTCATATAAATGTGATATGCAAATTACAAATTAAAAATTAATGGAAGTTTTACTTAATATTCCCTATTTTATAATAGAAACTATTGAAAATATAATATATGGAAAGTTTTGTTTAAATATGAATGAAGAAGCAATAAGAAAACAAACAGAAAACCAATTCTAAGATATAGGAAATTTCATAACTTAAGTACAAAAAAAGGTTCCAGAATTAAAAGATAATTTTACTTAAGATGAAAAGATATACTTAGACTTAAAAGTTAAAGTCTTTTCCTTATTAGATTTTTATAAGTAAAACTTTTTACCTTTTGTGTAGGGATTTATAAAGAATTCGGGATAATAATAATTGATTTTCATTGATGTTGATTAATCTTAATTATTTAAAGATTTAAAAAATCTTGCAGTAAAAATAATGGATAAGTATAAAGAGTTAATTAATTATATGATAAGACTTCGAGAATAAAATAAAATGGATAAAACCCCACTTAAAGAATAGAATTTTATTGAAAAGGAAATGTAATTTTTAGATGAGTTCAACTCTTAAGCTGATATATTGTAAAACAATTTATATAAAAGCTATTTTTTTAATAATAATCCTATTTCTCTCTTTGAAAATGAAGGTATTCAATAATAAAATGGATTTATTGAGGAATTTTAACTTATTTTATACTAATCTAAACGTATTTTGACAAATTTAAATACTAAAAATCCTCTTAATAATGTTTTTAAGAAAATAAGCATTAAAGATCCTTTAATTAATGCGGTTTTCAGTTAATAGTTAGCCCACATATTAGTAAATATATATATTTTTTTTTAATTATTAATTTTTTATAAAAGGATTAAATTTACTAATAACCAAACGTTGAACTAATTGAAGAAAAAATAAAGTTCTATTTTGAAAGTGCATAAAAAATAAAAGAAATTTAACATCCAAAAAGAAATTAATAAGAATTAACATAAAAGTTACAAACTTTAACAAATAATTTGCTTTATATAGAAGTAAAATTAGGATTTAAATACGAATAAATAGCATAAATAAAAGAAAAAATACATAAAATATTACTTGAAGTATTAGATAATGTATATTTTAATGATAATAATGAATTTTTTAATAAAACCTTATTAGTTTGTTATGATTAATTAATATAATTAAGTAAACCTATCCAAGATTATAAATATTATTAAGAATTTGAATAAATTATTCAAACAATAATTTTTTTAAAAAATATGTATACACTTTATAATAATGTAAAAAATAAATAAATTAAAAATTTAATTTTTATAATATTTTTTTTTTTTTTTAAAACAAAAACAAAATCAAAGATTCTAGGACCAAATAATTAGCATGTTCCAATAGCCACTTTTAAATCTATTTTCGAAGTTATTTATAAGTATTTTTTTAGTCTTCATAGCCCTCCTACTGCAGCAACTCTTAGATAAATAAAGGTTTTTTTGAATGAAATTAATGGAAATATTGCTTTAGTTTAAGATTTTTTGAAAATTGATAAATTAGAATTTACCAATTTTAATATTATTCTTAACAATTAACTTCAACTTTTAAATAATGTTTAATCTGAATTTTCTCAATTTTAAAAGTAATTGTCAGATTGGGAAACTGTGAATTTTTCTAATATGATAAATTTAGCAAATACAGTTAAATAATGGTTAAATTAAATGGTAATTTTTTTACTTTTTTATTTTTATGTATTAATTAGCATGTAAAAACTGTATAATTAAACAGTAAGAGAAAAGGAAATTTACCTTAATATATATACTTTTGTGATGAAAGAGATTAAATTGATTAAGTTTATGATAAAGTAATAAAAAATAAATACTTTGGAATAAAAGGAGTATTAAGTAAACCTGAAATGGATAGAATAAAATGTAGCTTTACTCCTCTAAAATAAGAAAAATATGAACTAGGTATTGAGTGGGAATAAAAACCAAAAAAAGTAAAAATTTAATTAGAATTAGGATTGCCTTACTAAAAAATCGATTATAAAGTTTACTTTTTAAACGAAAAAAATAAAAAAGAACTAGCAGTAGAAAAATAAGCAGAATTAGAATTTTCTTATTAAAATTTTATGGATGAATTTGAAATTGATGTTTATGATTTGTATTTTAGTTTATTTATTGAAGTTAGAGCTTATGATTAAAATAACACAGTAGCTGTTAATTATAATAAGGAATATATCCTTTCTACTTTTGAGAAAGAAATGAAAGTTTATGTTAATGAAATGTATATTTAATTACATGATAATGAACAATGGAAAATTTAAATTAAAGTAATTTTTATTTTATATTAAATTGATTTTTTAATTACTTCCAACATTAAAATAAATTTATTTAGCAAAACGAAAACTTATAATGGAATCCATATTTTAGAATTATCAAAAAAAAAGAAGATAAATCTATAGATTTTGTATGTGATATTAATAAAAAAGATATGAAAGGCAATCTTTATGCTGAATTAAACGTGTAAGAAGATAGTTATGAGTTTATTGTTTGTAAAAATCATAAAATTAAAGAACTAATTTATATATTTGTTATTGAATGTGATGGTTTTGAAAATGAAATGACAAAATTAGAACACAAAATATTTATTAATGGTAAAGGTTCTAGTAAAATCACTAACTAATCGTTTAGTTTCGGAAATATAGATTCTAACAGTATAAATTAAATAATTAAAAAATAAAAAATTTAAATTTATATAATATTATTTAAATATATATAAATATATATATATATTATATATATTTATATATATATATATTTATATATTTAAGATGTAAGAAAAGAGAAACCTTCTTGGTTACTCGGATACATAAAAGACAATGTATTTAACAAAATAAATACTTTTATGGCTAAAAGAGAGCTTAACGAATTTATTAAAAATGAAATAAATAGCAGTTGATACTTATAATTTTTTTTTTTAAAAAAAAAAATTCTTATTATTAAAATAAATAGAAATTTATAAATTTTTAAAAAAATATAATATATTATTATTTTATATATAGTATTAATATTTATTTAATTTCATTTTTAGCTAAAAAAATTATATTTTAAAATTATTATTATTTAGCTATATTTGTTAAATAAAAATATATAATTATCAATAAATTCTAATAAATAAACATATATAATAATAGTCATTTAAATGAACTTTCATAAAGTTTTGTTCTAATTAATTTCTCATGAAAAGTTTTCTGTATTTCATTAATCATTTAACGAAAGTTTCCTGCTATGTTATAAGTAATATATAAATAAAAATTTATAAATATTTATAAATTAAATTTTAAAAGCAATTGCAAGGCACTTATTAGGAAAATAAACATCAATATGTATTTTAATTGAATTAAAAAGAAAAAGTTAAAGAATGTGTAAAAAAAATAAACTAAAGAAAAGAAAAAATTAAATTATATTAAATCAAATAAAACAACTATTTTTAAACATAAATAGCTAATTTAAATAGGTTTTAATATATAAGATATACCATTTTGGGTTTATAATTGTTTATAGCCTATAAAAGGAAAAATTAACAATATTTAATATGAAATTGAGAAAATTTAAAGCCTTTAGCTTGAAAACAATTTTTAATAAAATATGTATAATTTTTAAAAAGAAGCTGTTTAATTTGGACTTTAAAAATATGGTAGATTAATTATTGGAGATGAAATGGGTGTAGGAAAAACAATATAAGCTTTAGGTTTAGCTACTTGTTTACAATAAAAATGGCCTTTGTTAATAATTACTCCATCTTCATTAGTAAATAATAATAAAAAAAATATTAAATATTTTTTTTATATGTATAAAATTATTATTATAAAAGCGATTAAATTGGAAGTTAGAAATAATGGAATGGATAAAATTTATAAAAGAATGCAATATTTTAATTATTGATAAATAAACTTCTAAATTTTATGAAGAAAATATAAAAATAGTAATAATATCATATGAACTCTGTAAATAATATAATAATTATTTAAAAACTTTTAAAATTGCAATTGCAGATGAAGCTCATTATCTTAAGAATTATTAAGCTTAAAGATCTTAATTATTAATTCCTATTTTATAAAATATGCATCATATTATACTTTTGACAGGTTTACTTATTTTATTTTTTTTATTAATTGTAAAAAAGGCACACCTGCTTTAGCTAAACCTAAAGAATTATATAATTTATTAAGTATTATTAGACCTGATATATTTAAATTTCCAAAATCATTTTTAGAAAGATATTGTGATCCAAAGCCTAATCCATTTTATGAAAATAAAATTGATTATGAGGGAGCTAGTAATTGTGATGAACTTCATTTTATTTTGAAAAATAATTTTATGATTAGAAGATTAAAATAAGATGTACTTACTGAGTTACCTCTTAAAAGAAGAAGAAAAGTAGTTGTAAAAACTGACATAAAGAAAGTATTTTTAATAATAATAATTATAAAAAATAAAAAAATAAATAAAGGTATAATACATAAACAATTTAATAAATTAAAACAATTTGATTAAATATTTTAATGATTAAGAAGATTATCAAATGAATAATTTAAAATAAGTTTTTAGTTTATATAAAAAAAACAGATATTTTAATCAAAAAAAAGGAAGCAAAAAAAGTCTTTTTGAATCATATAAATTATCAGGAGAAGCCAAAATAAAAGGAGTTATAGAGTTTATAAAATAAATTTGTGAATAAAATTAAAAAAGTATAGTTTTTGCTTTTCATTAAGATATTCTTAATTAAATAGAAACTTCTTTGATGAAAAATTAAATTTAGTATATCCGTATAGACGGAAATTTAAAGGAAGCTTAAAAATTAGATAATATTTATATATTTTAAAATTAACCAAAGTGTATGATTGCATTACTCTCTATTAAAACTTGTTGTACTGGATTTACTTTAACTTAAGCTTAAAATGTTATATTTGCCGAAGTTTAAAAATTATATATTAAATTTTTATTCATGTAAAATTAAAAATATAAATATTTTATATATTCTAATAGATGGATTGGACTCCGGCAATAATGTAATAAGCAGAAGATAGAGCACATAGAGTAGGATAAATTGGCTGTGTAGAATGCTTTTATTTAATAGGGGAAAATACTTTGGATCAATATATCTATGATAAACTAAACAGAAAAAGTAATATAGTTTAATCTATTATTGATGGTTAAAGTTCTAATAATTTTTCTTTGTAATAGTTAGAGTTTTAATCAAATTAAAAATAGGAGAAAATTATTGAAAATAAAAGTACTGTTTAAAAAAAGAAATTTATAGATGAATATTTTGATAAATTTAGTTATAAAAAATAATAAAACACTAATAGTCAAGTTTAAGATAATATTTTCCTTATTTCTGGAAAAGAAATGGATAATAAAAATTTTCAAAAAGAAGATTTTTAATCTTTTGATGAAGATGATGAATATATGAAAACTGTGGTTAAGAATATGGAATTAAATAATTAAAAAGATAAATTAAAGATATAATAATTGTAGGATGAATCAAAATTAGATCATATTTAAAATATATGTCAGATTCTAAATTATTTAGAAAATTAAAATTAATAAGAAAATTAAATAAATAAAGAATAAAAATTACATTAAAAAAAATTAAAAGTATTTTCGAATGCTTATGATTTTTATTTTTAGAATGCAAATGAAAAATTTAATAATTAAAAAATTATAAGCTAATTCGAATAAATTGATTCTTATATTTTTGATGAATTTGATATAAATAAAAATTTTTAAATATAAAATATTTTTGATTTATTTTGAGAAAAAAAAAAAAAAAAACAATTATTATTTTATTTGTTAAATAATTTTAGATTAATATTAAAATTAATTTAATAAAAATTAAATATAGAATATTTTTATTTCAATTTTTTTTATTTTTCTTTATTTTAAATAAATATTTTATTTTACAAAATAATTTTAATATTATTTATTAGATTAATAGAAATATAAAATATAATAATTTTAATTTTAATTCAAAATAAAATAATATATATATATATATAAAATAAAAATAAATGTATAAATAATTAATAAATAATTATTATAAAATAAAAAAAATAAGTATACAATTTATAAAATTATTATAAAATATAAATATGAAAAACTTTTTGATAACAAAAAACAAATCCTAGATTTAAAATAAAAATAATTTAAAATCACTTAAATATTAAACAAAATATAAATAAATATTTAAATATTAAATTTTAAAATAATATTAATTATATGTTGTAATATATAGAATATGTATACTATTTAATATTATATTATTATTTTTTTTCGCATATATAAAATATTTATATAATATAATTATTATAATAAATAATTAAAATAAAAACAAATATTTTGAAATATAATTATTTAAAATATAAATTTTTCAAATAATTATTTATTTTGTTTTAGTAAAATACAATAAAACATAAACAAAAAACATATTAAATTTTTTATAATAATAAATTATAATAAATAATTATAAATAAATCTAATAAAATTATATTAAGCTCTATTTTTGCTAAATAATATATATATATTATTATATTTTTTATAATAAAATTAATTTTCTTTTGATTTTTCTAAATACATAATTTCAAATTTTATTGATTTTCAAAATGAATTAGCTTTATATTATTTATTATTTTAAAAAAAAATGCAATAACTTAAAAACAAAAGAAAATTAAAAGAGAAAAAAATATATATATTATATAATAATTAAATATATAACCTTATAATCAATAAAGCAAAAAAAATTATTTAAATTAATAATTATAATTATTAAGAATAAAGGAAAAATATAAATAATTTATATAAATAAAAAAGCAAAACATAAATAAAAGAGAAAAAAATAGATAATGTCTACAATAATAGAACAACCTAAACAAATATAATTTGATATATAATCTAAAGGAATTTAAAGACTAAAAATGTGTGATGGATTATCTAATTACAATTAATAGCTTTAATATAATGCTGAAAAATTAATTGAAGACTTTCCTTAAAAAGATAAAGCTTTATTAATAAAATTACTAGAAGATGTAGAAAATAGGCTAGATGTAGCTTACGAAATATTGTATTCTGAGTAAATATCAATAGAAAATTAATATTAAAACCGAAATGAAAACAAACAAGAATTTAATTTTGAAAAAGCGCCTCAGGAAGTAATAAAAGAAAGAAAAATAATAAATAATGTATAAATGAAACAATTGAAATAAAATAAATAAAATAATTTAGCATAATTTAAATAATAACAATAATAATAATAAAATTCCCAAAAGCTAAAAGATATAAATGAAATTGACAATTTTTAAAAATAACTAGTTTTGGATAATATAATTCCTATTATTCTTAATAGAATAACATCTTGTAATTATGATTAGGCAATGGTCTTATTAATTGAAGCGTTTAAACATTATGAAGAAGAGAACAGAAAAGCTATTAAATATGATAAAATTATTACTAATCATAATATTCTTTTGAAAACCATTATTAATTAATAAATAAAAATTTAAAAATATGATAAGCTTTAGAAGGAACTTGAAGCAGAAAATATATAGCTTATAAAAGATAAAGAAAAATATAAAAGTAAATCTGAAAGAATCACTTTAATGTTTAATGCATAAAATTAAAAATATTCTTATGAAAATTATGATGACTTTGACTAAAATAATAATGGTGGAAATAGTATGTGTTTTTGAAAAAAGAAAAAAAAAAAAATATAGAGAAGAAAAAAATTATATTAATTATTATTATTATTTTTTTCTTCTTTGTTTATTTTTTTTAAATAAAAATAATAAAAAAAAAATATTATAATTAATAAGTCTATATTTATTAGTTAATTTTAAATATTTATTTTATTTTATTTTTTTAAAAAGACATTTTAATTAATAAATAAATAAATATTATATAATATATATTTTTCTTTCTTAATATATTTATTTTCTCTTCAATTAATATTTTGCTTTTAATAAATTAAATTTTCAAAAATTTATATTATTATTCTGATTTATTTTCTTATATTTACAAATTTTATTTTATTTATTTTAATTAGTTGTAGCAAATAATTTATTTTACATGTAAAAATCTTAAATAAATTCAATTTAATCCTCTGGAATTTAATTTAAAAAACAATTATTTGTATTATCATTTTACATTATAATGCTTTATTTATCTGTTTATTCTTCTTCTTTATAATCAATTATTTTCATAATAAAATCAAATGTATTAGGAACTGATTATAAATAAAATTAGCAATTTAATATCTAAATTTTAAAAAATTTATAATTTATATAGCTTTAAAAATATTACTTTTTTGAATTTATTAATCATTTGGGCTTTTAGTATTTGAGATTTATATTTTTACTAAAGAAATGAGCTTTCAATGCATTTAATAATTTCTATCAAATTTTTAAGTTAATATTTGTTTGTAAAAAATCTTTTTATTTTAATTTATTTTTAAAAAAATATAAAATTAAATTTGTATATTATATATAGTTTTTTTAATAATAAAATATAAAGACTTTATAGGCTTATATATATTATTGCATTTAAAATCAGAATTTAATAATTTATATATTAAAATAATAAATTAATTTAATATTATTTTAAAAGTTATTTATAAGGTTATATTTAAAATCAGAATTTAACAAAATTATATAAAATTACTATTTTAATGCTTTTTTACGACAGCATTCAAATACAAAGTCATCGAAATTTAACTCTAAAATATTTAAAAAGTATTTATTAATGTGTATAGAGTCAATAAAACTATCTAAATTTTAAAAATTCTTTCTTTTAATATACAAAATAGGAAATTCTCCCTAACTCTTTATTATTGTTTCGATGTCCTACTATGAAACTTTATTGCAATCATTTATAAAAACTTATGTAGAGCAATCACTAAATGCAGATTCTTCATGGCATTCTTTAATTTAGGCTGACTATTTTGTTTTTAAAAGCTTAATTTTATCTATTTAAGTTATGAGTTCATTAATTTTTTATTGCTTTTTAACGCATAGATTTTATGAGAGGCTTTCTAATTTACTTTGTATTTTATTTAATATTTAAGTATAAAAAATTAAATTTACTTGCATTTCCTTTTAAAATGCTTTTAATTTTGTTCCTCAAAATAAACATGAACATATTTCTTATCCTTATCATATGTAATATTTTAAATAGACTTTATTTAGCTAAATATTATTTAACAATCAATTAAATTCGATCCTAAATCTTAATAAAGATTAAAAAAAAAATCCTATTGTTTTGATATTTAATAAAATATGTTTTTTTATTTTTGTTTATACTTCTCCTAAGTGAAGTTATTAGTTTAAATTATTTGTATTAGTAATATTATATTCTAAATTAACATCTGTTTAAGACTCATATTTATAATCTACTGACTAATTGGGCTTTATTTTCTTCTTTTAAATATATCCATATTTTTATTCATTTATGCATCTTAAAATTTACCTTATCATTTTTATTTATTTTTTATTTTTTTTTATAATTATATTTTATTATAAATTTTTAGAATTTTAGTAGTATATATATAGAGATAACTTTTTTATTTTTTTTATTAAAATTAATATAATTTATATTTACTTCTAATTAAAACGAATTATCATAAAAGATAATTCAAATTAATTTATATATTTTATAATTATCATAAAAATAAAATTAAAAATACATATTTAATAAAAAATAATTTTTAAAATAATAAATAATATAAATAATATTTGGAATATAAAATAATATATATGTAATATCAAAACATAAAATAATGTAATTTAATTTTATAATATAATAATAGAAAAAAAATACAGTTTATAAATTAATAAACATTTAATAATAAAAACTTATAAATACTTATACAGTTTTTTTATTTGTATAAAGTAATTTTTAGTATTTAATTTTAGTATTGTAATAATATAAAAAAAAATTGTAATAATTAATAATTTAGAATTAAATTAATATTAATATAAATAAAATTTTAATGTAAAAAGTAATTTATATAATAATAATACAAAGTAAAAAAATATTTATAAAATATATGTTATATGCAAAGTTTTTAAAAAGAAAATATTTATAATAATATGTAAAGGAAAAAAAAAATCGAAATAAAAATATTATTATAAAAAGAAATAAAAATGTTTATTATTTTATAAATAATATAAAATATAATTATAATTAATTAATAATATAATTATATATATATAAAAATAAAAAAGATATATATATAAATATATATATATATATATATATAATTTAATTAATAATATATATTTTTATATATTTATATTAATACACATATATTATATTTTATTGTTTTTTTATTTTTTTTTTAATATAAATTTATTTTTTTAAAAAATATATTATTTGTTTATAATAAAATTCATATAAATTATAATATATATAAAATATAAATATTTCTTTTTTATTTATTTTTTAAATATTATAATTATCATATATTATACATTTATTTTTCATTTATTTTTTAATTTTTTTTATCTATTTAATATCAATTAAAAATATTTTTTTTCATACTACTAAATTATATTTCCTATTTAGATTGGATTTTTTTTTTTTTTATTTTAAACAATTCATTTAATATTTTTTTTTTTTTTTTTTTTAATAGTATATACATTTCTTAGAAAAAAATTTATTATATATAAATTGAAAAAAAAATGAAACTAATAATAATATTATATATTTTATTTTTATTTTATAAAAACACATAAGCACTTTTGGAAATTTATAACCCTTAAGCCATTTAAAATATAAGTATATAATAATACGGAAGTTTTTTATCTTAAATACTTACAAATTCAATGTATCCTGAAACAATATTTTTAGTTTTTAAAGGATAATCAATAATTTCCGCGACAGTAAATGATAAAAAATTTGAAATTTAATTTATTTATAAAGAGATAATAATAGAAGCAATAACTAAAGGAGATTATTTTTATATAAACAAAAATTATGAATCTATATAAATATTAACATATGACGAACAAAAAACATTTTAAATTATATCATTAGATTATAATAGATTAATAAAAAATCAAAATTAATGTCTTTTGTCTTAGTGACGATGAAAATTATATATTAATAGGTTCTTTTGGTCGACTTATAATAATAGAAAATAAATTAAATCAAATAAATTAAAAAATAATTGCTTAGTCTTAAGAATAAAATATTTAAAATATAGTACTAGAAGCCACAATACACATAGTAAGTTATAAAAATGTAGCTATTTTAAGTATGAACAAAACTTTATTAATTTATTCAATAAAAAACATTAAAAAACCTATATTTGTTCGAAAATTATAAGAATTAGCTCAATAAGTATAACAATGTTTGATTTTGAAAAAAATTCCATTATTATACACTATTTCAAAAGAATTAGGCTTTAAAATTTTCGATTTAAGATTTTTATAAAATGAAAATATTTATAGCATAGTTAATTTCTAAAATCTGACTGAGCAAGAATTATTAATTAAAGATGCAAATAAAAACTATTATTATTTTTATAATTTCTTACATATAAATTAAAGTGAAGATACTATTTTTATTTGTATAAGAACAAATGGAGTTTTTAGTTTTGATATTAGCAGTGAATAAACGGCTAAAAAACCTTCAAGAATTCAACATATATAATCTTTAGGGCTTTCCAATTATTTAATTAGTATTTATAATGATTAATATCTTGTACATTCAGACGGAAGCAATTTAAAAATTTATTAAAGAGTAAATAAAAATTTAAATGATAATTTTATAAATTTATAAAATTTAAATTAATGTAAACTATCTGAAACTATTACTGATTTATGGCCTTGGAGTATCTAAATAAATGAAGATGGAAAATATGTTGCAGTTTCAAGCGGCAATTAAGGGCTATTAATTTATAATATGGAAGATCCATTAAATCCTTAATTGATTTATTAACATTTAAGTCATCAATAATAGTCTCATGATGGCATTCTTTATTTAAAAAAACGAAAAATTATAGTTTTAGGTTAATCGAATTTCGGAATGAGTTTTTACGATGTAAATAATTTCGAAAATCCTCGTTTAATAGGAGAATTTAATCTTAACAATGCATAAAACGATTGTGATGATATTACTAGTGATTCTTCAGAAAACTTTTTGGGTTGTGCAAATGGCTTTTATGGATTTTATATAATCGATATAAGTAATCTTAATGATATAAAGATTTATGCATAATATGATGAGATTTTTTAATAAAATGGAGTTGAAAGTATAATTTTTGATGATGAATTGTCCTTTGGATTTTATGCAGTTAGAGAAACCGGAGTCGGCTATTTTGAAATAGAGAAACAAAGTAAAAAAATAATTGTTAAATAATTTATTAATTTGATTGGTAGTGAATATTTGAGATTCGATAAAAGGTTTTTAAATGATTAAAAAAGTAAATCTTATAATTTCGTTTATATAGCAGATGGATGTGATGGAATTACTATTATTGATTTTTCAGATAGGGAAAATCAAAATATTAGAAATATTTATAGAATAAATGTGGATGGATGGGCTATCAAATTCTATCAATACAATTTAAATTATAATTATCTAATTGTTAGTTAGATGGAAACAGGTTAAATCTCATTAGTTAATATATAGGATTTTAATAAAGAGTAATCTTTGTAGTTTGGAGATTAGAATTCTTTTGCAGTAGTTGCACATCCAGATAATTTATATATTGCTTTTATTTAACCTGCAGGATTTAGAGTTTGTTTAAGCAAATAAATTATTAAAATCCATGTTTAGGTTTATAGGAATAATTCAAATGTTGATAAAATATTTTAAACTAATTTAATAAATCCTTAAAATTAAATAGATATTTATATTGGAGAAAAAGTTAGTTTGCTATTTATACCTTTATATAGTCTAAATGATGTTAAGTTTGCTGAAGTTTATTATTATGATAATTACTAAAGACAAAAATTGCCAAATTGGGGAGAATTCATATAATCATAATCAAAATTAAACTTAAAAATTGATAAGTCAATTCTCAATTAAAACAAAGTTAATATTTTATTTATTTAGGTTTTAGTTGAGATTTAAGCTAGAGACTTTTTAAATAATAAGTTAAATTTAAATGAAAAATAAACTTAATAAATTTACAATTAATTAGTAATTTTTTATTAAAATTTTTTATAAAAAATTAATTTTTTACCCTTTTTTGTTTTTTAAGAAAAAAACAGGTTTAATTAATGAATAAGGATTTTCGTCAAAATTTTTTAATTCAGTATATTAATTTAAACTTGATTGGATGAAATAAGAAGATATCGCAATATACGGATAAAATTCTCAGAAAATATTAGATTTTATATAATAAATTATTGTATAAAGGAATTACTTTCATGCAATAAGTTTTAGAGCTATAAAGTCTTTAAAATATGAAGATAATTAGATACATACTTTTTAAGATTAAATAAAATTATTATTATAAATATTTTGTATAGAAGATGAAAATGTAAAATTTATTTTAAAATATTATAAGGGGGCATAAGTAGTATTTAATGATGAATAAATAGCATTATTTTTCAATGGAAATTTATATTCAATTAATTAAATATTGATATAATAAGAAATTGTTGTATCATAAATAAACCCTAATTGTGAAATTCAAATGGATATCTAAGATGATATAAATAATAATTTACTAATAATAGAAAAGATGGATAAAATTAGCTATATTAAAGAAAAAAAAAAAATTTAAATAATTTAGAGCATTTAAAATTAATATGACAGTAAGTATCCTTAAGGATTAACAGTAGAAGAAAAATTTTCTATATAAATAAATTAAAGTACTTTTGAATATTAAAGTGATTTAAAGCTTAGTTTCCGTGTTTTTTTAAATTAATTCGTTAACAATGAAGAAATATAGACTGAAGTTGATTAAATAACTTGGATAAACTTTATACAATAAGATTTGGAAATATCTGGAATTCAAAAAATGGAGGCGTACTAGAAGACTTTTTTTTTTTTAATAAAAATAAGCGATGGATATGAAGAAGTAGAGTAATTTTTATAAATAAAGTTTAGTTAGCTTCCAAAAATATATATTATAAAAGTTACTGTAGGCGTTTGTATACCCTTTTTGTTTTTGATAGTTTTATTCTTTTTTAGGAGATAGATTTATGTGAAGCTTTTTCCTCATTATTTTACTTATTAATAAGAGTATTTAATCCTTAATTAAAATTATTTTAAAAGAATTAACTTTTTTCCAAATATTTATGATAGCGCTTTAAAAATATTCAAAGATATAATAAAACAAAAAGAAAATAATAACGAATAAAATGATGATATTATAAAGGAAAGTCCTCTTTATTAATATTATTCAGCTGACGATGTATAAAAAATTGACATTGATGCTTTAATGTAAGATTGCTTTCTTGTATTTTTAAATAATCCATAAAATTATCCTTTTATAAGTGAATAAGATTTTATAAATAGCCATTCCAGGTTAAAGTTTGCTTTATATAGTTTTTTAGTAAAATATTTACTGAAATAAAATAAATAATTATTTTTAATATATAATGCATTATAAAAATATACAAATTAATAAAATAAATTCTAATATATTGATTGGTATAAAGTAAAAAAAAATTCTTAATATTTTTCTATATTTTTTATATACATTTTTTTTTTTCTATAATTAAAAATAAATAAGAATTATATTGAGCATGAATAAAGTTATATTTAGACTTTTCTTAAATGTAAAAATAATGCTTATGCAATAAATATTTCCAGAACTTAATCATATAATACAGAAATTAAAAACTTATTTGGTGAAATCAATATAAAAGAAGAAAAATTAAAAATATCTTTAAAATCAGTATTTGAAATGAATCCTTAACTACAAAATACAAACAATGAATATGATTATAATTTAATAATAGAAGCATTAAAAGCTGATTTCTATGGATTTGATATAGATAAAAGGCCAACAAGATTTAAAAAATCACTTGGAGAAATAATTCATTCCGCTGAAAAAGATATTAATAATGTTTGTTGTTATAAATAAGTTAAAAAATAAAATTTATTTTTATTAAATTGGTTAAGAAATAAATTAAATTTAAAATATTCATATATTTTAGTATAAGAAAATGCTTTTAATTTCCCTGAATGGCTTTAATATGACCTTTATGAAAATAGTATTATTTTTTATGGAACGCCTTCAAAATAATAACATTTAGGATAATATTAAATATAAATAATAGACAACGATAAATATGTAGTTTATTAATATAATCTTATTGTTTAATATAAAATTTTATATAATTCTTAATCAAATCAAAATGATTCTTAATAATAACAGAATTTAGATTAAACAATTAATTAAATTGGCGATAATTTAAGTTAATAAAAAAAAAAAAAAAAAAAAATTAAAATTAATAATGATAATGATAAATAAAATAATATGAATAAATAAAATAATAATAATATTAATCATAATAATAATCATAATAATCATAATAATAATCAAAATAATAATAATAATAATAATCATAACAATAATAATAATATTAATTTAATTATTAATTCTTCTTAATATATTGATATTATTTTAGAAGAAGAATAAGTATTTTAAAATTCAGAAATTTAAAATTAATCACCAATTACTAAAGAAAATTATAAAGTTTATTAAGTATTTCTTTATATTATTATTAAATTTTTTATTTATTTTATAAATAATTTATAAAGTAAAAGCCTAATATTGAAAGGCATGAAATTGATAGAAACTCTTTACATATAGTGGATAAGGTAATACACTATTATTTTATTTAATTATTTTATAAATTTAGAATCTAATCTCATAAAATATTTTTTAATGAAAACTTTTTTATATTAAATAAAATAAATATAATATAACAATATAATTATATTATTAATTATTAATAAATTATACATATATAATAAAAAACAAATATGTTGCCAAAAATAAAATAAGAAAATAAAAAATAAAAAAATAAAAAAATTTTGAAAAATTTTTCAAATCCTGGTATATTTTTTGATATTTAAGAAGGTTAAAAATATAAAATACAGGCTTCATAATAAAAGCTAACTAATAATAAAAATAGTAAAAGTCATTAATATACTCTTAGTTAGAAATTTTACAATCCATATTAATATATGCATTATACATAAAAACTATAAGTTTCAAGAAAAAATTATTTAGATTCTTTATAATAATTAGGTTATGAAAATATGCAAAATTTATATTAAAAAAAATATTAATAAATACAAAATGATACTTAAAATATTATACAATGCAGTTATAGTGTTAAATAATTAGGTGTTGTAGATGGAAATATGGGAATAGTTTCAAAAAGAGTTAAATTAATGAAAAATAATGAAATAAATAAAAATAAAAATAAAAACTTTTAACATTATTAAAATACTAATTCTATTTTAACTACAAGTAATAATACAAATGATAATTACAACAGTTATTTTTCCGTGCCTTATAAAATTCCTAAATAATTAACAACTATTCATATTTAAAAAGAAAGTAAAACTCAAAATTTGTATAAAACAAATAATAATATTAATAATATATCCATTTCAGAAAAAATAGCTTTAAATAAATAATAAATGGTTAATTAATTCAAAATTAATTAAATTTTAAATAAACATATACATAAATATGAAAGTCATATAGAAAATGAAAGCGAATTCAAAAATCATAATAAAAAATACACTAATGAAAGCATATTGGGAGAAAGTTATAGTAGACTAATTAATAATATGGATAAAATATAAAAAAGACATAATTCTTCAGGACTATCTTTAAATAACAGCATTATCAAACATGATTTTCATTCTTAATTGTAAGTAAGATATGAAAATATATTAAAAAACATTGATAATAAATAAAAATAATAGCAATTTTGATTTTTTATATAAGAAGAATAAAAATACTAAAAAATATTAAATACATATAAATGCTATTAATTATATTTATTGTTTATTTTTTTTTAATTATAAGTCAATTACATATATATTTTTTCTTTCTTTATTTTTTTGCCAAAAAACATAAATATCAGAAAAAAAAAAGTTGAGTAAAAGTGAAAATGGTGTTTTTTTTTAATTGATTATTTTTTTTTTTAAAAAAAAAATCTATATAAATTAATATTTATTTGTTATTTATTTCACATAAAATAAAACTTATATATAATTCTTTTTTATTTTATATATTAAAAATATAAAATTTTTTTTATATTAAAAATAAAATAAAAGAAAATATTATTTTTATTACCTTTGCATTGAAAATTTATCCGGAAAATATAAATGAAATATAATTTTAATATTTTCTATTGAAAATAATTATATTATTTATAGATTATTAATATTGATCTTTTAAAATAAAGAATAAATAAAAGGAATTATTCAACAAAATTTTAAAAATAAATAATATTTGTCTAAATAATTTTATTAGAAATTGCTTATTCTCATGTTATATTTTGAAAATTTTTTAATAATATTTAACTTCTTAATAATTTTTTATGTTAGAATTTAAAATGTAATCTTATTAATTTGTATATTTAAATAAAAATGAAAAATTAAATTTTACAAGTAAAAATTGATTAATATTTACAAAAATAAAAAAGGTTTAAAAAATATAATCCAAATTTTAAGATTTACTTTTTAGATACAAAAATTTTATATTTTATAATTTTTATTTTATAATTCTTATTTAATATTTTATATTTTATATTTTATATTTTTTTTTTTTTTTTTATTTTTTTTATATTTTTATATTATATTTTATATATATTTATATATATATATTTATATATATATCTTCATATTTATTTTTATATATATTTTATTTATTAAATTAATTAAAAAATATTTATTTTAAGGTTATTTTAAACAAATTAAAATTTTTAATTACAATATATTTATAAAATAATATAATATTCAATTAATATTTTTTTATAATTAACTATTTTCATTTAAATTTTGATTAATTTATTAATTATTTTTATTTAAATTTTATTATGCGATTTGCTCTTAAAATAATTCATTATCTAATTATTAAAATTCTTCATCTAGCTCATATTCATCAACTCCAATATCATAATTTCTATTAAGCATTTCATTCATGTAATCAGTTTCATACTACATATCTTCCATATCATCTCTAATATCTTCTAATTCATCTAAATTTACTTAATCAAATAATAATTTTTGTTATTAAGTTGCTTATTTCATAGCTACTCCCTTTAAAATAAACAAACAAAATAATATTATCACTTTATATTATAAATAAATATTACCATATCTAAAGTATTTTATATATTTTCTTTTGTAAAAGCGACTTAGTCTAAAGTAAACTGTTAACTTAAATAATTCTAAATTTATTAATCATAAAGCTTTTTTTTCTTCATCAAATTCATACATCTCTACATGTACATTTTATTTGATGCTCCTTTTGAAGATTTAGCCTTTTTATAAAGTTCTGCAATTTCTTTTTCTAAATCTTTTATTGTTTAATCTAATTCTTTTATTTTATTTTCCATCTTTTTTATTAAATATATTTTTTTTTTTTCATTTTTTATTTACTTTTTTAGATTGTTCACTTAAATCAATAATTTTTTCTTCTTTAACCGGTTCTTATTCAGGAGGAGGTGCTTGAACTTCGGGTTTAGGCTCTTCTTTTTTCGTTCCAAATAGTCTATTCATTTTTTTATTATTATTATTGTATTATTATTATTATTTTTATTATTATTATTATTGTTATTATTTATTTCTAATAATTGATTAATTTTATTATATTAAAATATTGATTTTTTCTTATAATAATATAGAAAAATTTTTCTATTATAATTAATATTAAAAGTGATTAATATGATTTTTTTTATTATAAATTTTAATTATGAAAAATAATTAATTAGATGTTCTGAAAATAAAGAATGAACTTTTATTGATTTACATTAATAAAAAAATTAAAAAATAATACTAACCCTTGATTTAGTTTTAATTGTTTTATATTTTTAATTTTAAAGAATTTAATTTTTAATTGAGATAATTGTATATATTAACTATATAATAATAAAAATACAAGTAATATTTCACTATTAATTATAATATTTTTAAATAAAAAATAATATATTTATGCATTATAATTGGGTCATAAATATAATATATTAATTATTAATTAATAAATAAAAAAATAATTAATGCAAATATGTTTATTTCATTAATCAATATATAAATAGTTATTTAGTTTATAAAAACATTATATATAATTATTTTATAATTAATTATATATTTAAAAATAATATATTAAAAACAAATTAGCATATAATAATATTTATACAATTTAAGATATACAAATAAAAATATATTAATAAAAAAGATATTATGATTTAAAAAAGCATTTTTATGAATTTAATCTCTTTTAAAAATATATTAGTCATCCTTGTAAAAATAGGAATTTTATATTGGATCCAAGACACAAACTTCGATACTATAATAGTAGAAATTCCTTTTTTCTAAACTAAATTTACAGATTATGAAAGGGTAAATGAGGCTCATTTTTTTATTGATAAGAATTAGGATCCCTATTAAATAGATTTTATTTTTTAAGTAATAAAATAAAATAATTTAAGATTAAAATAAAAAAAAAGAAACCTCTTTTAGTTTATTTATTTTACTATTTGCGAAACATAAAAGGAGCTATAACAGCTTTATTTTTATTTTGTGATTTAATAATAGGAGAAGTTATTTCAAGTTATCATTTTTAACATAGTCATGTAAATTTTTTATAAATAAGCAATATTAATTTCTAATTCTAAATAAAAATGTTTAGGAAAAAAATTAGGAATAAATCAAATTTCAATAGCTCATATTTAAAACTATTTATATGATTAATCCTTTGTCTGTAAATAAATTATTATTATTTTATACACATATATTAATATTTATTAGTTTTTTGCAGTTTATACAAGATGGACGAGTATTTTTGAATTTTGTTCAGGATTAACCTCATTATATTTTTTTGCTTAAAGAAAGTATATTATTGGAATATTTTTATATGGATTAGCATTATATTTAAATCCAATAATGCTTATGCTTTCCATTCCTATTCTTTGCATATCTCCACTTTAAAATATAAATATAAAATAACCAATTTAATATATTCTTTTAAGTTTTCTTGTTTTCTTCGTTTTGGTTTTTTAATCTTTTTATTTAACTAAATCATTTGTAAAAAAAACAAAACAAAAAAAACAAAAAATTTAAAAAATATTTAATAGAATTTTCTATTCAAAGCACATATTGGTTAATATTCAAGTAAATTGTTTTAACCTACAATAGGCTTAATATGGGCTTTATTTTCGGGTGTAACATTTTTATATTATTTAAAATACTATTTTTTAATTTAAATAAAAAGATGTTCAATAATTACTAACTATTCTACCACACAACGTTTTTCATGCTTCCTTTATCTTATATAATCCCTTTATACCAAATATTTAAAAAAGCTATAATAGAAAACAAATTTAATGATAATCTATATGGATTTATTAGTAGCATAAGCTTATATGTAAAGAACATATATAATTTAAACCATAGAAATTATTATTTTTATATATTATAATAGATAGGATATTTCCATTTTCAATATGTTACTATATATGAACTTTTCTATATAGCAATATTACTTTTTACTGCTTTTGATTATGTTTAAAGAACTCCATATTACATAGTTCATGTAATTATTTATTAATATTATAAATTATATAAATATATTATTAAATTAAGATTATTGGAAGTAGCTTTTTGTTAGTATTAACATTAATGCTAACTAAGCTTTGGTTTTACTCTACTACAGGAAATCCTAACTTCACATTCTTTTAATCAATAGTAACTTATGTTTTTATGACTATATAAATAGCTGGAAGTTTGAAATAATTACTTTTTGCTAAAAAAAATGAAAAAAATCTTATTAAATTGGAATAATAAAAACAAAAAGAAACTTAAAAAAAAACAAATGAATGAATATAGAAAAAAGAAAAAAATATATTATGTTTAATTTTTTTTTTTAAATAAAAAAAAATTTTTTTCTTAAAAAAAGTAAAATTAATTTGTAATTCTTAAATAAAAATAAATATTTTTAAAATTAAAAAAAATATATTTGTTAATTCAATTTTTTTTTTTTTATTATCCTTATAATTGTCTGTATTGTTAATTAAAGTATTTATAAATTAAACCAGGTGTAATATTTCGCATTAAAATAAGTACTTCATGTTTCCAATCATTAGAAACAATTCTTTCTTTTTCTTCTCTATAAATACTTAAAAGACATTTTTAAATTAAACCATTGTAGCTTTCATTATTTTAATTATTATTTTCTTAAGAATTCAGTTCTAATTATCCATTAATTATCTGTGTTACTTTAATATTATTATCTTTAACTTCTGCTCTCAAGCTATCGAAAAATCCAGTTAAACCATGCTTAGATCCTACAAAACTTGAAAAATTTCCAGGAGAAACTTACCCAAAGACATTATTTATTATAACAAATTAACCTGATTTATTTTTTATAAAATGAGGTAAAACAGATTTGGTATGAGCAACAGGAGTATGATAATTCCAATTCGTTATTTCTTCATGGTTTTATAAAGTCATGCTTTAGAAGCTTTAATTAATTTGCTTTTCGGAATTTTAGATTACAATGTCTATTTTCTTATTTTTCTTTTCTAATTCTTGAATAAAGTTTTTTGTTTATTCAATTATTTTTTTTGGTTCGGACAAATTTAAAGGTAATATTGTTATTTTATCAGAATTTTCACTTAAAACTTTATATTTATTTAACTATTTTTTATAATTTATTTATGACTTTTATTTTAAATATTTTTACTTCTTCTAAGTTTTGTGACGATAATATTAAATTTGCATTTGTTTTTTAAAACTCTTTAAAAAGTTAAATTCCTAAATTCGAAGATATATCCATTATCCATATAGTCTTTTTAAATTGTTTATTTTTTATATTTAAAAAAATAAAATAAAAAAAATACTTTATTTAAAAAGTTTATCTTAGTAAAAGATTTTGTAAACCAATTATAAATATAACGAAAAAGTAAAACTATAACCACTATAATTAATAATCCCATTTTTTTCAAATTATTAATATAATTTAATTTAATATAATATAATATATATTAAATTATTAAAATAAATCTTTTTTTTTTACTATAAAGAAATTATTAAATAGTTTTTAATAAAATATCTTTTATATAAAAATAATAATAATAAACATAATAAAATAAATATAAATATTTATTAATTTTTTATTATAATAAAGTATATATTTATTATTTAAAATAAATAAAGGTAAACAAATTATTTGTAATAATAAATTAAATTCAATTGAAAAATATAATAAATTAACATATTTTAATTTTATTAAATAATTAATATGCTTAATATTTGTACAAATATTAATAATAGCTAATTCCATAAATAAAACCAAGAATAGTATGAACTACAGTTTCCAAATAAAAAAATTATATGTAATACCATAATTAATACATATAAAACATAATAGTTGACTTATGCTCGAGATTTTGGACTTCTATTAGATGAATAAACAAAAAATTCTTTCCATTTTTAATTTTTTATTATTTAAGCTTTTATTCTTTTTATCAAAAGAGAAAATCATATTTTTAAATATTAATTTAATAAATTATTTTATACTTTCACTTTTTTTAATTTATCCTTTTTTTTAAAAAAAATTATTAATTCTAACTTGAGCAATGTCTTAAGTACATACAATCATTTAATCAGTTAAATAAGTAAAAGGACCAAAAATTTTAAATATTCAGCTGTTATTTACCCATAATGTGTCAATATTAAAAAATAAATTCTAATCATTTTTTTATATTATCATGAACTATTAATGAAAAACAGCACAATTTTCACTCTACTTCGTGTTGCATTTTAATTTCGCAAAATTAATTTCTTATTATTTTTCATAATAATAATTTTCTTTTTTTTATTATCGATAAAATCTATAAAACCTAGATTAATATTCTTTAAGAAAAATAAGATAATGGTGCATATTTATTATTAATAATTTCTTCTAATTATTAAATATTATTTTTGAAATATAACCCTTTTTCTATTATTATATTTTTGCAAACCGCTACAAAAGCATTATATGTTTAATATCTTAAGGAAAAAAATAAAAATTAATAATTATATTTAATAAAAATATACATAATGTTAAAGATAGATTTTATAATTTGATTTTTTTTTTGAATTATGATCTATGAATTAGTTAGTTTAATTTTCTAAAGAATCGCCAATTAAAATTAAAAGTGAATAAAATAAATAAACCTATTAAATTTTGTTTATGTTTTTAATAGGATTTTTAAATATTTGATTTATTTTTTATATAATATTTAGATGAATTTGATAATATATATAGTTTATAAGTGTATTATGCAAAGTCTTTTAATTTTTTTAATGGTTTATATGAAAAATAGTTTTTTGTTTTTTTATTTAGTATTATTTATTTTTTAAATTGCTTTATATTATAAATCATATATAAGAAGTCATTTTTTAAATAATAAATTTTTATGTTTCTCTAACTAGTTAGAATTAAGTTAGAGAAAAATAAATAAATATTAAAATTTCATATAAAATTTTAAAATTAATAATTAAATTTTATAATTTAATGTAAAATTTTTTAATAAAATAATTAGTTATTTAATTCTTAAAATTTTTAATTAATCTATTCCATAAATTTAAATTATTATTATTATTTTATATTTTTTATTAATAAAATTTAATTTTTATTATTATCTTAAAGAAAAGAATATACTCAAAATACTTTTCAATAAGTGGTGGCGTATTATTCTTATTTAATTTAAAAATATTTATATGCAGATATCGTAAAAATATATACTGCGCCAAAATTAAAATTATATATAATAAAAATATTTTTTAAAACTAATATTTATTTTAAAGACGTAGTTTTACAAAAAATATATATTTTTATTTAAATTGTATAAAAAAATAAAAATTAATTAAAAAAATGATAAAAAGCAAATATTTAATAATATTATTATAAATAATTTCAATATTTTTATTACTATTATCATTTTGTTTTTGCCATTATGCCTAAACAAAATACTCTTACAGGATAACATAAAAAGTAATTTTTACAAATAAAATAAATTAAAATGTTTAAAAAGTCTCCTAAATTATAAAATCCGCCAAAGAAATTATATTAAAAGTTAATATTTTTATTATTTGATGGAATGCCTTATGAATATATAAATACAAACTTAACGATATCATAAACATAGCTAGATTGTAGATATCACTTAAAATAATTTAATTTATTTACCTAATTAACAACATAATAGCCATAAAATTCTTTGCTTTTAAGAATGAATGTTGATACAGCACCTTTAACTAGTTCTAGAGTAATATCATATATGTTAGGTATTGGATTACCTCATTTATAATGGGGAATATTGTAAAATAATTAATCTGAAGTAAGATAAGAAGATAATCTATTATATTAAATAAAAAATTCATAAAATATTAAAGAAAATTATTCATTCTTAAACTAATGGTGGTATGTTCCTTTTCCAAAAGTATTTTAAAATGATTAATATATTAATAAAGATCACGAAGGTTAAGCTAATGACTAAGAAAACGAAGAAGCATTATTAAAAATAAAAAAACTTATTGTAGATGATAAATTTGATATGATTTTCTGTATTTTTAAATTTTTATATATTATTTATTTAATTTAAAATTAAAAAAGTTCATTTAGAAAATGTTGATGTAGAAGGACATACTCTTGGAATACATTAATAAAATTATGCAAAATAAATATAATTTGTGAATAATAAAACATAAGAAATAATAAATAAAATGTCAAATGATACTTTATTTATAGCTTTAAGTGATCATGGTGTAGCTCACAACTAAGATGGAGGTCACTATAAATGCAAATAAGGCGATTTTGTATGTTCTTCATTTTTTTTTGCTTACACAAAGAATGGTTTTGTATAAAGAAATCAATTTTTAGATGAAATTAATAATGGAGAAAAACTTAAGGAAATCGATTATACATAAATAGGAAGTACAATAAGTACTTTATTTGGGCTTTAAATTCCTTTTTTGAATTCAGGATGGCCTTTATTAGAAATTTATCCAAAATAAATGAATTTAGATGGATTTAAAGTAAGAATTTTAGAAGATAATTGGAGAGTTTTACAATAATAAATTGTTTTAATAAAAACTTTGTAAAATGCTTAAGGTAAAATAGATAATTATGAGTTAATAATGCACAAACATTAATAACTAAAAAAAAATGTTGGGAATTTAAAAAATATAATAGAATTATAAAAAGAAATAAATTAAAGTATAAATCAATTTATTTAACCGTTTAATATAAAAATGCTAAACCTCGCTTTAATTTTATCTGTTTTAAGCCTTTTTATTAATATTTTAATTATTTTTAATAAAGATCTTTTACTTTTATAAAATTAAAAGTTTATTTAAATTATTTTTGATTTGAGCTTTTTTATAATTTCTATTGGATTCTTATTTTATTTTCTTTATAATAAATGGAGTTTAGATAATAAAGAATATAAAAATGAATTTTTATATTTTATAATTATAATTTTTGGAATTTTAACTTTAAAAATTATTTTTAATCTTTTAATTAATGAAAAAAACAGAGTTTTTGTAATAAACTAAATAAAATAAAATCTTTTTATGATTTTCTCATTTTTGTTTTTTATTTCTAAACTCATAATTTTTAATTATTTTGCTATTATTTAACTTAATGCTTTATTTTTAATTTTTTTAGTATATTTTATAATTCTATTAATTTTTAATAAATAGCTTTAATTGATTTTAAAAATTAAAAATAGATTTTGGTTCTATTATATGATTTTAATCTAAGTATATGCTTAATTTTTAATTTAAAATTATATTTGTAATGTGTTTCTTGCTATAATTTAAGTATTATTAATAATAAAAAAAATTTTAAAAAAAAATTATAGCTCTAACGTAATATTAATATTAATTTTATTTTTATACTTGAATTTGTATTTAATTTACTCTTTAGATTTCGATGAAACAAATTTATTTCTTGATTATTTTTTAACGGTTTCTCTATTAATTTTTATATTCTCTTTTTTTCATATTAAAAATAATACATTTATTTTTATTTGCCTTTATTTTTTAGGGTAATATTATATGAATAAATAAAATATTATTTTTAATGAAATTCTATCTAATTTTGATATTATTAAATGTTTAATTTGGCAATTTTATTTATTTAATGTTAATATTGTAATTCCTTTAATGTTTAATATAAAAAAAGAATAATAGATATAATTGTAAGAGTGTTAAGCTAATATTTCTTAATAAAATAATTAATCTTATTTTTACAATTAATATTTAAAGATTTTTTTTAAATATTCTTTAGGAATTATTATTGATTTTATATTGTATTAAATTTATTACTTAGATGGTACTATAAATGAATCTTATAATGTATAAATGAATAACATTATATGTAATTATGCTAATAGTATTTTTTAAACTAATATGTTTGTTATTATTTCAAACTTATTAATAATTAATGTTATTAATTTTTTAAATAAAAAATATATCTCTTATAATAATTATTAATAACTAGATGAAGAAAAATAAGTAAAATGAAATGAAATAATAATTTCTAATAATAGAAAATATATTTAATTTTTTATTTATTATTTAAAATATTTAATTAAACTTTGTATTTAAACATATAGATAATAATTTTAAAAATATTTATTATAAGAAATATTTATATATAATAAAAATAGAAATTATTATTAAAAATATAAAAAAGTAAATATATATAAAAATTTTAAAAGTATAAATATGGATTAAATAGGAAAAGATTTATTCAGTTCTTTAAAATCAAATTTAGGAAATTTAAATAATGAAGAATTAAAATAAGCTGAAAACATATGGAAAATGCTTGATGAAATGAGTGAAAATAATCCAGAAGGCTATAAGAGTTTCGTTAATACAAACGTAAAAAAAGGCTTTGAAAATTTAAAATAAGAAAAAGAAGCAAAAATGGAAAAATTAAAAGTTAAAGTTGAACCAATTTTATTATTAAAAATGTAAGCGAAATTAGATTAATAAAAATTAAAAAAAGAAGAAGATTAAAATCCAGTTTTAGAAGTAAAAAAAACTAAAAAATTAAAAAAAATTAAATAAATTAAAAAGAAAATAAAAGGTATAAATAAATAAACATAAATACCAAAATTAGAAGAAATAAAAAAAAAATTTGATAAAGAAGTTAAAATATACATAAATTTAATGGCTTCGGAAAGGGTAAAAGCACCATTAAATGAAAATGGTAATGAAATAAAAGAATTATCGAAAAGTATTTATTAAATGAAAATAATTCCATATTCAGTTCAAAAGCCAGAAGAAAGAAAAAGTAATTCCTTAGGAAATAAAATTTATTTTTATAATTTTGTTATGAATGATACTTTTTGCAAATTTATGGGTTCTTAAATTGCTTTAGGAGATTAATTAATAAATTTTATAATAGAAAAAATGCAATAAGAAATTTTATTTAAAGTAAATCCATTACTAAATAATTATAATTTCTAAGACTATGAGGATATTCTTTATTATAAAATTGAAAAATTATCAATAGTAAAGCATAAGAAGAAAAAATTTAAATTATAAAACGGAAAAAACGATATTCCTTTAATTTTTTTAGACCTAGAAGTTGATAAAGAATAAGAAATAGAAAAGTAAATTCAAAAATAAAAAGAAGAGATAATTTATAAATAATAATAAGATTAACCTTAAAAAGAACAAATACTAGAAGGACTCAAAATAGTTGATAAATAAAATGTTTCTATTTCATAGAAAAGCAATAAAAAAATTTTGATTGAAGAAATTTCAAATAATTCTATTACTTCGTAAGATGATCCTAATATCAATAAAACTATTGTAAATAAATAAAATAATTAAATCGAAAAACCTTCATATGTTTTAAAAGAAGATGCCCAAAGTATTCTTATTCAAATTCTACTACCTAAAGTTGATGATTTTGGAGATATTGCGCTTGATATATCAGAACTTATAGTTAAGCTTGAAATACTTTTTACATACAAGTTAGAAATTAATCTTCCAAGTAAGATTAATATTGAAAAAAGTATACCAAAATGGAATAAAAAAACTAAAACTTTAAAATTAATATTGAATAAATGAATTTTTATTTGGATATTATAATTATTATTTTTATAAAGTTTTCTATTCAATAATAACTAATTTGTTTTTTTTTATGAATTTTTATTCAATTATTTATTATTTTTTATAAAAAAAAAAATTAAATAATTAAAAATATCAATTATAAAAAAATTAAAAACTAAATATAATTATTATTCTATTCAACTAATAAATGTTATAGATATAATAAAATTAAGTATAAACAAATTAATAAAATAAAATAAACGAAGCAATTTCTTAATTAAGAGCACTTTTTTTAAAGAATATAACATTTTAAGTTAAGTAAATAGGAACTAATATTTGTTAGGTATTAATTTTTTTTATTTTTCTTAATTTTTTTTTTTAGATATTTACTCCACTTTTATGCTTAATTTTTATTTATATGATTTCGTTTATTAGTGGATAAAAAGAAATTGTAAAATAATTAGATTATCCTTTTTTATTTAATATACCATCACTTTCATCTCTTTATTCAAAAGTAAATATAGATGATTGTATAGAATGGTATTAAATATCATTTGATTAAAACGCAACTTAATATACTAAAGATTTTGTTGGAAGTAACACCGGAAACCAATTTTAAACTAATAAAGGTTTACTATCTAATGTATTCTAATAATAAGGATGTGCTTATAAAGCTTAAATAGATGAAAATATAACAATAAATTCACCTTTTTTTAAAAATATTGTAATATTTTATAATACATATTTACCTAATAAAATATATATTATTTATGTAATTAGAATACCTAAGATATTAACAATTAATTAAAAGATTATATATAATAATTAAATGAAATTGAATATTAAACATTTAAATAAAATAAATGTAAAAAAAATAAATATAAAATATTAAATTAAATATATTTAAAAAAAAGATTATTAATATTTAATTCCTGATGGTGGAATTACTTTTTACGAAGCTTCAGAATAAATATTAAATTGTATTATAGAAATAAACGATTTACGTTACCCTAATTATCATAGAAATAATGGAATTACAAAAATGATGTAATAATAATTATTAATTAATTTTTATTTAAATTAAATAATAGTTATTATAATGACTAATTTAAAGAATAAATCAATATGAGAATTACTGAAGGGCAAATAAGTCTTATAGATTTAGTAACAAAAGCATATATATAAAAATTATATCCAAATGTATGGTTAATATCAGGAATTTAATACTTACCAAAAGGAGAATTTTAAAAACCTTTAGCTTAATAATTAATAACGATAGTGGGAGGAACATTATATCCATTAGCATTAAGCTTATTATGTCCAATATTTATGTATTTAATTGTTTTAGAAAAAGAAGAAAAATTGTTAAATATGATGAAGATGAATGGATTAAAAATGAAATATTATTGGACAATAAATTTCCTCTTTTTTTTATTAATGACATTTTTGACATTTTCTTTCTTTTATTTTTTGGTTATTTAGTTTTATAATTAAATTTTTTGTAAATACAAGTTTCTCATTATTAGTAACAAATAAAAAATATTTATTTTAAACTAATAAAAAAAAATGAAAAAAAGTCATTAATATTGTTTTCATGGGGTTTAGCCTAAATAGGAATATCAGTATTTTTCGCATCATTTATAAAATCAGCAAGTACTGCGACAATAATAGGATATTTACTATCAATATTTATTTGTTTAATATCAACAGTATTAAATATAGCTATATATCCATTTCCTTAAAAAATTCCTTACATATTAAGAATGTATGCACCGATAGGATTTTATAGGATCATTTTTAGTCTTTCAAATTCTTGTTTATTGGAAAATTGTTTAGATAACTTTTCTTAAATTTCTGACGAACTATAAGATTGTTTAATTTATTAATTTGTTTGTTTTTCTTTTTTTTATATTTGGAATTATTTTCAGTTTCAACTATTTTACATCTCTTAAATTATTCAATAGAAAATAAAATATATAAAATCAATAAGTTTCTCTTGATAATTAATTCTAATAAATATAAGATGAAGATGCACAAAAAGAATAAGAATTTGCTAAAAACTTATCACCCACAGTAAATTCAGAAGAATATCCTTTAATAATAAAAAAACTAACAAAAGTGTATAAACACGCAGCACATAAAGCTGTAAATGAGTTAACTTTCGCAGTAAAAAAAGGTTAAATATTTGGTTTATTAGGACCTAATGGAGCAGGAAAAACTACACTTATATCTATGCTTACTGGAATTATAAACCCTACATCAGGGACTGCTTATATAGCAGGGAAAAATATAATAAATGAAAAAGAAAAAGTACATAAATATATAGGAGTTTGCCCTTAATTTGATTTATTATGGGGAGATTTAACCATTAAAGAACATCTCTTATTTTACGCTAGGCTCAAAGGAATAACAAAAAAAGAAGAAAAGGAAGAAGTAGAGAAAGTAATAAAGAAACTTAATTTATAAGAATTTTAAGATTTTTAAAGTAAATAATTATCTGGAGGAATGAAAAGGAGATTGTCAGTTGCTATTTCTTTAGTTGGGAAATCTCAAATTGTTTTCCTTGATGAACCATCTACTGGCTTAGATCCAATTAATAGGAGATATTTATGGGATATAATACTTAAATGTTAAGGCGAATGTGGTATCGTTTTAACTACTCATTCGGTTTTTATATTTACTATTATATAAATATGTTATTTTTTATTAAAAAAAAGATGGAAGAAGCTGATGTTTTATGTAATAAAATTGCTATTATTACAAAAGGAACTTTAAGATGTATTGGAAATCAAATTAGACTTAAGAATTTATATGGATAAGGCTATCGATTATATATAAATTGCTTAAAAAATCAAATATGTTAATAAAATATTAGTCATTTAATTAATGATATAGTTCCTAAAGCTGTAAAACTAAGTGAATTTAATAATAAATATATATTTTAAGTTCCATAATAATATAATAAAATTATATGCGATTTATTTTATTTAATAGAGAAGCAAAAATAATATTATTAAATTTCAGGTTTATTTTTATTTTTTTAATATTTTTTTATATATCTATATATATAAAAGATTGGGGAATATCATTAAGTAGTTTAGAAGATGTCTTTATGTTTATTACTAATAAATATTAATAATGAATAAATAAATAATCAAAAATAATTAATAATTAAAATTAAAAAAATAAATATAAAATTTATAATTATATATAAACATAAATATTTAATTTATATATATATATATATATATATATATATATATATATATATGATATATGTTAAAATATATTTTTTTATTAATAATTAAATAGTTTAATAAAAAACTATTAAATATTATCTTTTTGATTATAATATTTATTTTAAATTTTTTTTTTTTATTTAAAATAAAAAATTAAATAATTAAATAATTAAATTTTATAATCTCTATATTACTTCAAAGAACTTTTTTCTATATAAAGTATTTATTTTTAAGACTTTATTATAAATAAAGGTAATAATCTATTTTTTTTCATTCTTTTTTTTTGAAAATTGTAAATTTATAAAAAATAATTATAAATAATGTAAAACATATATCAAATATTATCATCTTTTTTTTATGTATTTATAATATTAATAGATTTAATATGCTTTATTTTTGAATAAATATTATATATTTTTATATCTCTTAATTATTTGAATATATATTAATGAAGATATTTTTTTAATTTTATATTTTTTTTCTTAAATACTTTGGGATATTTTGCTATATTTACATTTAACATAATCATAAGATTTATTTAATTCTTATTTCTTTCTTATAAATTTAATTATTTTAATTTTCGTATAAATTTAATTATTTTAATTTTTATTTATTATATGCATTAAATTAATTATCAACCTATCAATAATTTTTATCATTATTTTAAATTCTTTAAACTTTTTGTATAATTAATTTATCATTTTTGTATAAATAAAATTATTCTTTAATCTATTTTTAAATATATTATATTTAGAAATGTAAAAAAATTTTTGGCTTTTTTATTTTTGAAAAATAGAATAGATAATAATATTATATATATATTTTTTATCGATTCTTTACGATCTTCTTTTAAACTTTTAATATTTTATTTTTAATCTTAAAAGCTATTGTTTCTTAAATTTTTATACGGTATTGTTTTGCTTTTCTTAAAATTATATTAATAATATTTTATATATGATATTAATAGATCATTTTAATAAGTTTATTATTTATAAAATATTAGAATCACTTATCATCATCCTTTTTGTTTTATTTTTTTTCAAAAATAAATAAATAATTTTTACAATTTGTTTTAAAATGAAAATTATTAAAAACTTATAAATCTTTAAATTTTATTTTTACAAGAAAATAATTAATATTATTATTCAACAAAAGCTTAAAAAATATATTTTTTTATTAAACATTTAATTTTAAATTTTTATATTTATTAGTGGACATTCTACATATAATTTTGCATAAGGAATTATTTGACTTTTTTTTTTATTATTAGTGTTATATTATAATAAATTTTTAAATATTGAAAGTTACAATAGTTATAATGCTAAAAAAATTGTTGAAAATAAATGAATAATTAAATAAAATAAAATTATTGAATACATATATTCATAATATTATTAACATTATTATAAAAAAATGTTATATATATTCATTATTATTAGTTTATATAATTTTATATTTTTATTATTAATAAAATAAAGCTATTTATATAGAACCGACGGCTTTTATTTTATTGATTTTTTTTTTATTTTGTAAATAAACTAAACCAATGTAATTTTCTAAATCTATATTAAATCATGATTTATATTTATTTGTAAAAACAACTTATTTAAATAGAATGTGAAAAATCTTCTCTAAATTAAAACATAAATATGATCTCTTTGAATAGAGAATATTAATTTTTTATTGGTTTTGTAATATTTGATTTTTCAGACACAATAACAATATTATATGATAAACCAACTTCGTACGATTATTAATGTTTATAAACAAAAATTTCTATTTCATATATATAAAATAAAACAAATTAAATTTTACCTAAAATAATTACTAATAATACATAAACCACAAAAATATTGGCGTAAAGATATAGAAAAAATAAAATATTATAAAAAAAAATAAAAAGAATGCAAAATAAAATATAAAAATATTAATTTTAGATATGATTAATTAAATTAGTATTAAATAAATATATATAAGATATTTATAAAAGGCAATAACAATATTTTATTAAAGTAAACTTCTTTATAACTAATAATTTGTAGATTTTATAATAAATAAAAGAATTATTATTAATAATTATAAAAATTTTTAATTATTTTTCAACAAAAAATAAAGAAATGTTAGCTGATATTAAAAATTCTGATTATTAGTTTATAGGATAAATACAAATTATTTAATTTAATTTAATTTAATTTAATTTAATTTAATTTAATTTAATTTAATTTAATTTAATTTAATTTAATTATCTAATATCTAATAAATATTATTTTATATTTTCTATACTTTGTATCTAAAAAAATTTTAAAATATACCTTTATTATCAAAAAAACATATATATATATAATAAAATATATATATTTTAATATATATATTTATATATATAAATATATATGTATATAAATTTTTCTTTAATTAATCTTTTTTTAAATATAACTAAAAAGTTATATTTTTAAATAATTGAATTTTGTTTAAATATATATATATATATATATATATATATTATTATTTTATGTATTTATATATATATATTTATATATTTAAATTAATGATAATCCTAAAAATTATATACTTGAATTAAAGAAATTTTTATTTTTATTAATCTTATTTATTATATTTTTTATCTATTTAACCTATCAAAGAATCTAATAATTTCACAATTTCAGAAGATTTTAAATTTTATAAAATCAAATAGTTTGCAATTATTTTTTACTATTTTTTATCAAGATATATATAAATTCATATAGATTATCGCTTAAAGTCAAAATAAGACAATAATTGATAATTTGAAAACATAATATTATAAAAGTAACTATAACTATTCTTATATATTTTTTATTTTGTTTTATAGAACAGAATTTCAAAAAAAATTGAATGTGGAAGAAAATTAATTAAAATCAAAAATTTATTTTCCTTAATTTTTTTATATAAATTTTTGAAAAAATAACTAAATATCCAATTAATTATAAATAATTAAAAGTAAACTAATCTTATAATAAATATTTTTTTTTACTATTTTTTTTTATAAAGAATTTCTTTTTAATATTAATTAGATAAATTCTTTTTTGAAAATACTCTTAATAAGTTATAAAATAAAAATAAAGAAAAAAAAGTATATTGAAATTTTTTAGTTTGTAAATTATTAAAATATATAATTTATTTTATAAATATTTTTTTTTCATATTTAAAACTGTTATTAATATATATACTTTTATTTATTATTTTCATCTATTATTGTTAAATTAAAATCAAATTATTTAATATTTTCATATATTGTTTTCAAATTAAACTAACTATTATATATTAATTATTATTTCTCTTCATTTTATTGAAATTCATCTAATTTTATTTTAAAATATGTTTTTCCTTAAATAAAAAATGGTTCAGTATTTAATAAAATCATTAAATTATTATCTAAAAAGCAATTATTTTAATTAATTAAAATAGAATAGTATAAAATAATATTATTTATTCAAAATGGCAATGACTTTAAACGTTAATGTTTTATAAGTAAACTCTCTAAATTTATTATTCATTTAATTAAGGATATTCTAAAAAGCCTTCTATTTAACTTTCTTAATCTTTCCATTTTATTTAAAGAATCTAATTTAAATTTCTGAAATCATCCTTATTGATTTTCTATATTTAGAAAACTTTAATTAACTTATCTATCTTATTTAATAAATTATAATTTTCTATTTTCTCTGAATTTTCATGATTTTTTTAAATAAATTCAATATTTATCTCTCTATTCTTGGAATTTTCTAATTTTATTATTTTGACTTAGATGTAAAAAAAATTGTTTAAATAATAGTTTTTAAAATTTTCTATTTCTTCAGCTATTTCGTTTTTTTCAAAGATTTAAATACTATCTATTTTTACACATTAATAAGTTAAAATTTATTTTTTTATATTTAATTCTTTCACATAATTACTTTGATCATTTTACATATAAAATATTTAAAAAGTTATAAAAGATAACTTTTTATATTTTTTATATTCAAATAATATATAAATTTATATATAATGATATACATAAATATATATATAAATAATAATAATAAAAAAACTTCAGAAGGATTTTATTTTAAAGAAGGCAATTGTAAATATATTTCGTTTTCATTTTAATTTTCATGTTTAATTTATTAAGCAAGGATTAATGTTAATTTTTGATTAAAATTAATTTATATTTATTCGAAATCTTAATAGTTGTATTAAACTAAGAAATTAATTTAATAAGAAAGAATATATAAATATATATAAAAACATTATTAAATAGGAGGGTTTTTATAATTGATACAAACTAAAACTTTAATTCTACTAACAGGAACCTAACTATTATTTTAAGGACTAATTTAAACTATATTTATTATGACTATTCAAAAATTAAATTATCGAATTCGTCATTCTCACCAATAATTTCGCAATTTAAAATTGGTTATTTTTCATAAATAACAATTTCTTTTAAATTATAAAGTTTCCTTTTATCATCAAGATCTTTTTTTTGATGATATATATATAATTAAAATATATATTTTAAAAAAAAAAATATTTACTTTGTTTCATAGTGAAACCTTTTTCATCAACCAATTATTAATATAAAGTATTAAAAACTCTAAAATTTAGCCCTAAAATTTACAATTTACCCGCACTTAAAGCTTTTGTATTCAATTCAATAAAAACTTCTTTATCATTTGAATTAATTTGCACACTTTTCGGATAATTTAAAACCTAAACACCTTAAGTTTCTAATGAAATACAATCAATAATGTACTAAATTTTTAAAGGATTAGCAAGCTTTATTTTAAAATTTATATTTTCATCTATACTAAATTTTAAATTGTTTAATCCTTTATTTTAAAATGGGTTATAAATAAATATTGATTCTTTTTTAGATTAAATTATGGGTTTTATGAAATTTTCTTAATCGGAAGGAAATATTTCAATAATTAAAAGCTATGGGGTCTGATTCATTATGAAGTAATCATATTAACTCAAAATAAGGATTTATTTGATAAAGGTAATTAAATATGTTTTATTTATATTTTATTATTTAATTATCGAATATTCTTAATATCAATTTTATAATTTTTGATTTCCTTTTTTTATATATATTATATAAATTTATATATATATTATATTTTACATTTAATTATCAGTAAAGCTCTCATACAAATCATTTAAAATTGAAAATTTATATTTAAAACCAACCTTACTTGCATAATTTTCCTTCATTATTGAAAGGACTTAACTCAAATAACTAATAATATTTCGCACATATTAAAATTAGTTTTTGAAAAATTTATTAACTTTCCTTTTATAATAAATATGCTGCCTATTTTTTAATATTGTAAATATAATTTATTTTATTTTTTAAAAAAAATCTAAAATTATTAACTTTTCGTAAATAAAAAGCATATTTTCGCTCGAATTTCAGACTTTTGTACATTGAAGCTATTTTTTAATATTATTAAGAAAGATAATATTTATCATTAGTATTTTTGAACAATTCAAAAATGTTTACAGCTTCATTAAATTCAAATTTGAAATTTAATTATTTAAGAGAAATTAAATATTTAAAAGTAAATAAATAAAAAAAATATTCGAATTTTGTTTTCTAAATGTTAGTTATAGTTTCTTTCATTTAAACTATTAATTCTTGTTTTTTAGAAGTATCATTTTATAATATGTTATAATAAATACAAGCACTCATTCCACAAAAAGAACCTGCAATCCATAAAAAATCATCGGTTTTTTTTTATAACTTAATACCTTCTTAGAAATAAATAATTGCATCTTCAGTACTTAAAAACATTTAGGAATATTCGCCCATAGTCTTTTATGCCCTTCCATCTTTTCTTTTCTTCATCTTTGATTAATCGTTTATTTTTTCTTCTTATTAGTTTATAAAAATTGCGTTTTAAGAATCATTTCTTTTTTTATTTTTAATAATTTTTATTTAGTTAATTCATATTTTTAATTTACATTAATTTTTCGAATTATGTAGATAAGAATATCGATATTTCTAATACAAGTTAGTTTATATGAGTTTTTAATTCATTTATAAAAATTTCTTCATTTTATAAAGTTTAAATATTTATATATATAAAACTATACTCAAAATTTAAAATTGTATTTATCTCTTATTCATTATTATTACCAATAATAAATAATCTTAATAAAGATTATCTATATTATTATAAATTCTATATATTATTATAAAATATAAAATCATAAAATCAATATTTTAATTAATACATTTTTTAATTATTAATATTTTAATTTAAAACTTTCAATTTCATTTAAATCAGTCAAATTACATATTGCAATTCCAAAAACAGGTTTTCTATTTTTATAATTAAGAATTTGTTTATATTTTACAAGTTTTTTATTATATTTACATAAAGATATCATATCCTATCCATTCAGTTTATTGTATATTTTATTAGAATTGTAAATCTAATATTTTTTTATTCCAATCCTTTTATTAGTTTATTTTTAAATATATCTTAAATAAAATAATTAATTTTTACTTTATATTTTAAAAAAGGAGATAGCTTTATTTATATAATTTTTTTAATTGATTAATCGATTTCCATATTTTATGTTGCTTTATTAAATAAAATCAAAATATCATCAAATTTTTCTTTTTCAAAATTTATTTAATGAGTCTGAATTAATGTTATAAAATGCTCATCAAAACTTCTATAAATATTATTTTTTGGCTACATATTCTTTATTTATTAAACTATTTATTAAGTTATATCTTTATCCATTTTATAAATAACTTATATATATATATAGAAAATCGTATAATTTATATTTTATTTATTTAAAAATATATTTTAATTTATTTCTAATAATAACTATAAAAAATAAAATCAAATAATATAAGATATAAGCATTTATATTTAATTATTTGAATTTGAATTTAATTATTTTTAAGGTTTAAAACAAATCCTTTAAAAAAATATAAAAACATAAATAATTTATGTAAAAAAAAAAAGCAAATAAAGTTTAATTTATTAAAAATTATTTTTAAAATGATACGTAAAATAAATAAAATAATTTAAAATCAAGGTTTTATGTATCTTTTAAGGTTTATGAATAATTTTTTTTTGAGGATTTTAAGCATCATTTATAATAAAATAAAATAAAAAAATAAAAAGTTATAAATGAAAATTAAAATTAAAATATTTTTAACATTATTCTTAATAAAAAATATATTTTGCTATTTAAATTATAAAGAAGGTAATGCTTTATAATTTTGCTTTTTTAAACATCAAATACCTCTTGATCTTGAATAAGATCCTGATTTACATAAATATAGCGGTGCATATGTAAATACAAGAATATATAGAAATGGATTGAAACTTTTCAATGATTGCTTTTCTTATTAATTTAAAATGTATCCTAATTTAGATTCAGTATAAACACTTGCTACATTATGTCCTTTGATAACTCTTGATACAGGATATTAAGAATAAATTGATAAGCAAAGAGATTTATTGGATTGTATTGCTAAGTTAACTCCTTTTACAAATGAAAATAAATAACGTATTTTATTATTTTATATTAGTATTTTATGGTTTATATCTTCACTAGTATTATGATTTTCTATTTATTTTATTAAATAAATTTATATTCAAAAACATAATTATTTATTTAATAATTTTTTTTATAATTATATTTAATTTTTTTTATATATTATTGTTATCGTATAAAAAAATAGATTATATAAAAATAAAAAATATTAAGGTTAAATATAATTTTATAATTAAAAAAAATTCCAAAACAAATTAAAAGAAAAGTAATATAAATTATTCACAATAAATAATAAACTAAAATAAAAATAAAAATAAACATATTTGTATATTATACTAATAAAAATAATTTTCATATTAATTATTTTAATATTTTAAATTTGTTTTTTAGAATTATTGTTTATATAATATTAAATTAATATAAATATTTGCTTATTTTTTTTAGAAATAATATTTTTTATTTAACAAATAGTATTCTAGAATACTTAAATTGTATATTTTTTTATTTTATATATATATATATATTAAATATCCAAATATTTTTAAAAAATTGTTAAAAAAACATGTAAATAATATTAAAAATATAAAATTATATTTTAAAATTAAATGGAAAAAAAGAATTTTACTTGATTATTAGATATTTCTAGAAAGCAATAAAACCAAATAAAAAAAAATAAAATTAAAATAAAAAAAAAGATATAATTTTTTTTTACAAATAAAAGCAAAAAACTAAAAAATATTATTAATAAAAAATTAAATAAAACAAAAAATAAAAAAATGTTCCTTTAAAAATCCTTAAAAACATCTAGTAAACTTCTTACTTAACAATTCCCTTTCTTCTTTGCCGCCAAAGAATTAAGTTTTGGCAACGAATGTAGATAAAAAATGTTAGTAGGTTGTGAAAAACTTGCAGACGCTGTATAAACTACATTAGGTCCCAAAGGGCGTAATGTTGTAATTGAACAGTAATAAATAAATTCATATATATATTTTTTTTAAAAAAAATACAATAAATAGAACATTTGGATCTCCAAAAATAACAAAAGATGGTGTTACAGTTGCTAAAAGTATTGAATTTTCTGATAAATTTGAAAACATAGGTGCTTCATTAGTAAAATAAGTTGCTTAAAAAACCAATGATGAAGCCGGAGATGGAACAACCACTGCCACTATATTAGCAAGAGCAATATTCAAAGAAGGATGTAAATCAGTAGCTGCAGGAATGAACCCTATGGATTTAAGAAGAGGAATAAATTTAGCTGTAGATCATATAGTTAAAACTTTAAAAAATAATTCAAAACCTGTCAATACATCTTAATTAATTTCTAATGTAGCTACTATTTCTGCTAATGGAGACCGTGAAATCGGAGATATTATTGCTAAATTAATGGAAAAAACTGGAGAACATGGAACTATAACAGTGGCTGATGGTATTTTATATTTTTATTTAAAAATATTTTTATTAAAATATAAAAAAATAAGGAAAAACATTAAGTCATGAAATCGAATTTGTTGAAGGTATGAGATTTGATAGAGGATACATTTCTCCATATTTTGTAAACAACACAAAATCTTAAAAATGTGAATTAGATAACCCTTTAATTTTAATAGCTGAAAAGAAAATATCTAATGTATAAAGTATTTTACCTTTCCTTGAACATGCAATGAAATAAAACAAACCTATCCTTTTAATTTGCGAAGATGTTGAATCTGAAGCTTTAGCAACTTTAGTTGTAAATAAAATTAGAGGAGGTTTGAATGTTTGTGCTGTTAAGGCTCCCGCTTTTGGTGATAATAGAAAATCTATTTTAAATGATATTGCTATTTTGACTAATGGTGTTGTAATTAGTGAAGAAGTTGGCTTAAACTTTGAAAATGCGGAAATTAGTATAAAATTATATATATTATATATATAATATTTATAAAAAAAAAGATGTACTTGGAAGTTGCAAGAAAGTCATTGTAACAAAAGATGATACTGTCATAATGGATGGAGCTGGTGAATAAGAAGCAATAACAGAAAGATGTGTTTAAATAAAAGAATAAATTAGTAATAGCACCTCAGAATATGATAAAGAAAAACTTTAAGAAAGACTAGCTAAATTTTAAGGAGGAGTTGGAGTTATTAAAGTAGGAGGAGCTTCAGAAGTAGAAGTAGGAGAAATTAAAGATAGAATCACAGACGCCTTATGTGCTACTAAAGCTGCTGTTTAAGAAGGTATTGTTATCGGAGGTGGTTGCGCTTTATTATATTCTTCTAAATGCTTAGATTAATTAAAAGGAGAAAATTTCGATTAAAACATAGGTATCTAAATTGTTAAAAAATCTATTTAAATCCCTTGCAAAACTATCGCAGAAAACGCCGGTAAAGAAGGAGCTATTATTGTTGGTAAACTTCTTGAATAAAACGATGAAGCCATTGGTTACGATGCCGCCAAGGATGTCTATTGTAACTTATTTGATGCTGGAATTATTGATCCAACTAAAGTTGTTAGAAGAGCACTTATTGATGCAACCTCTGTTGCCTCTTTAATGATCACTTCTGAATGTATTGTTGTTGAAGATGTTAAAGATAAGAAAGATGGTCCTAAAATGCCTATGGGAGGTATGGGTGGAATGGGTGATATGTATTGAAAAAATAAATTTTACGTTTTTTTTTTTTATAATTATCAATTTTAGTTATTATTTTGTATGTTTTTTATTTAAGTATTTTATACATATTTTTTTTTAAACACAATAAATCATAAACCTATATATTAATTACAATTCTATTAAAGATAAATCTTTTATTCAATAAATGCAAAAATTCACTATTCTCTTTTTAATAAAATTCATTAATTCTATTAAGCTTAAGAAGATAAAAGGCTTTTTAAATCAAAATCAGTATCATTTTCTAACCATTTTATTCTTTTGCTTTCTTCCCAAATCCCTAATTTTACTGATCCATCAGGTAATATATATTTACCTTTGCCATGTTATCTAAAAAAGGAAAAAAATAAATAAATACTATTTATAAAATATATAGTTACTTTCCATTCGTCCAATTTCCCTCATATCTTCTTCCATCAGCCCAAGTATAAATTCCATAGCCATTCTTTTTATCATATAAATATTCTCCTTCATATTTTCTTCCATCTTTCCAAGTATATATACCTTTTCCATGCATATTATTATTAAGCCAATCGCCCTTATTTTTTTTAGTATTTGATATTAATGTTTTTTTTATAAAACTTCATATCTGCGTCCATCTGCCCATATATAAATTCCTTTCCCTGAAATTCTAAATGAAATTTATAATAAATTAATAAATGCTTAAAACAAATATAAAATTAAAAACCTATTTTCAAACCAATTACCTATATATTAAGAATTATCACTCCAAATATATTTCCCTTCGCCATGCTTTTTGCCTTCTTTATAATATCCTTCATATTTTGATCCATCAGTCCAAATTTCTATTCCAAATCCATCTTATAAATCATCTTTCCAATGACCTTTATTTTATATCATTAATTTTCTTAATAAATAATTAAAACCTTGATAAGTAGCACCATTAATGTGTATATAATTTCCAAAGCCGTTTGCTTTATCTTATTCCCATTATCCGTCATATATATCACCATCTACATGCCAAAATTTACCTTATCCGCTTACTTTATTATCTTTCCAATAACCTAAAGTTTTTTTTTTTTTTTAAATTAAAAATTTATAAATAAAATACATTACCTTCGTATTTTGCTCCATCAGCCCAAGTTTAAATTCCATAGCCATCTCTACATTTACCTATAATTTTTTAAAAGATATTAAAAAGATAATATAAATTAAAAAATATTATAAAAAAAGTTAATATAAACAAAATTCTTTTGTATTAAGAAAATAAAACCAATCCACTCTCCTGTATATACAACTCCAATTTGAAATTCAAAAGGAGCTTTTTTTTCTCTTTTTAAATTTTAATTATCATTAGTATTAATATTAGATATATCCTCATCTTGGGTATTTCTTTAATCTTCTTAAAACTAGATTTACAAATTATTAAGAAATTATTAATCACTTTCAAAATTATTTTTAGTTTATATTTTAATATTAATTTTTTCTTAATTGTTTTATATTATCAATTTTTCATCTATATTATCGTCACTATATTTTTTTTTTTCATTATCTTTATAATTATTTGAATAGATATATATTTTTTTTGCTGGATTTTATTTTTCTTTTTTATACTTTTATTGCTTTCATTATCAATACTATTTTTTTTATTACTATTATTCAATTTTTAAGAGTTTGAATCTTAATATAATGCTGCAGTTCCTACATTTTAATTTACATCTCCTTATTCAGTTTTTATTTCTGTTTATTTATTTGCTTAACAACATGCTGAAGAGCAATCTTATCCCATAAATAATTTATATATTATTTTTAGTTAAATAATAAATATTTTGTTTTTCTTTAGCTTTAATTAATTAAAACTATAATAAATTCTATATAAAATATTTTATTTATATTTTCTTTTTTTATAGTATTAATTATAATTTTTATTATAAATAAATTTATTAGATTTATAGTTTATTAATTAAATATATTGAAAATTAATTGAAAAAGCGCAAATCTTTTTAATTTAATAATGGTATATATAATTGTTTATTTTTATATATTTACATAAAATTTTAATAATTTTATTCATAAATTATTTATCAAATATTTTTAAATATAACATTTTTTAAAAATAATTAAAAAATTAATAAATAATCTTATTATTAAGTATTTTAAAAACAAATTATAATTTTAAAAATTTACAAATTTATTAAAACTCTAATTAAAATTAATTTAATATAAATAATGTAATAAATAATTTAAAAATAACAATAAAATATTAAATAAATTAATAAATCTGATAACTTTATTTTCAATTCAATTAATAAAAAATAAATAAATATATATAAAATTTTAAATTAGTATATGTTAATATTTATAAATTATACCATTAATTATTATAACCAATAATATAACAAAGATTTAAAAACAAATGACCTGAATATTATTATTAATAGTAAGATTTCCTAAGCTTTTGTTAAGATTTATATATATAATATATATATATATATATATATATATATATATATATTATAATAGATTTAATAATAAAAGTTAAATCTTTCTATTTGGAGCAATTAATTATGGAAAACAAATTTAAAATTTAATAAAATTTATGGCAAAATTTATATACCAATTTAATAATTAAATAAAAACATATAAACGAACTTTAGGTTTAAAAAATATAAAAAGACATAATTTTAGTTTATAAAAAAAATTAATAAAATACCGAATCTTTTAAAATATTCAATACTAAAAAATCTAACAGCAAAAATTTTAACAATAATTAAAAATATAATATTAATTTAGGATTAAAAAAATTATTTAAAATAAAATAAAATTAATAGCATAACTTCTATAATCTCTGGATATTTAATTTTTAAAAATTAAATAAATTTATGCCTTTTATTTTATCTACAATTAAAAAAATAACATGATGATATTAATTATATATGTGATGACGGCTAACCTAATATTTATTAAGTTATATAGAAAAATAATTATAAATTAAATAAATATATATTAATTAAAATTATAAATTTTTATTAAGGTCTTTAATTAAATGTTTATTATTTTTTTAAAAAAATACATAAAATTATATTTAAAATATTAATTATTATCATTAATACAATTATTATAGCATATATAAATAATTTTATAATTAATACGTAAAAATAACAATTTTATAAAATTAAAAAATTACAATTTATTTATTTTATTGTACAATATGAACCAAAATTATTAATAAGAGAATACATTAACAGATACAATGTTTGAATGTCCAATTTGTTTAAATATATTATTAAGGCCTGTAACTCTAACTTGTGGGCATAAGTATTATTTATAAATTTAGATTATATCTATTTTTTTATTTTTATTATTTATAAAATATTACCTTTAAATAAAGCTTTTGTGAATAATGTATTAAAAACGAACAGTTTTGTTTATTAAAATAATAATGTCCTGTATGTAGAAAACTATTTTTAGTTAACTTAAGAGTAAAACAAAAACAATAAATAATATAAATATCTAATTCTTTAGATTCACAAAATTTATTCATATATTATATTTATTTCTTTTTTAATAAATATTTTTAGATAATTAAAGTCAATCTTCTTTTAGATATATTTATTAATGAATATTTTAAAAACAATAAGGTATAAATTATATTTAATTATTTTAAAAACATTTTTTTTTAAAAAAAAGGAATATTAATAAAAAAGAAATTAATATTATGACAATTTAAAATAAAAAAAATTAGCAGAATATAAAAAATATTAAGCAAATTTTGGAAATAAATAATAATATTATCTACTTACACAAGAAAATGTTTACCTTTTATATCTTTAGGTACATTTTATATTTTTAAAATATAAATGGTTGTTTTTATAATTAAAATAATAAAATTTAAAAGGATTTTCTATATTTTTACTATATTTAATAAAATATTAATTATCTAAAATTGATGTTATAAAGCTAGAATTGTCATACACGTAACAATTAAATAAGATTTTTAGTTTGATAAAATACTCAAATACAAAAAGTGATAAATAAAATAAAGAATAAACAGAGAGTTAATCTTAGAAAAATTCAATAAATTTATAAAATTTGGTTTTTACTAAATTAATTAAATACTTATTTACTAATTATATAAGACTTTCTTTACCTTCTGAATCATAATGAGACTAATCTATTTTCTTCACAAAAATGTACTTAAATAATATAACTAAAAGAATATAAGTTTAAAAAATATATATGTATAAAATAATGATAAAATTTAATTTTTTTTCAAAAAACAACTAATCCAAAATAAAAAATAATGTTTATTCTAAAAAAAAAGATTACATATTAATTTAAATAATAATTTCTTATTAAGTAAAATTATTATAAAAACGATAAATAATTAAAAAATTAATATTTTAAAATTTTAAAATTTTTAGTTTAATTCAATTAATAAACAATATATAATTAATGAAAAAAATATAATATTAGAGCATATTTTTATTCTTTATGTATAAAATTATCGATTAATAAAATCAAATGAATTTATTTTGTAAAGATGGAAACATATTAATCAAGAAATTTTTTAATCAAATTAAAAATTTTAAAATATAATATATAAATAAAGTAAAAATCATATATTTTATTTTTTTATAGTATTTATTGTAGGTATTTTAATTTTATACTAATTCAAATCTTTAGCATTTAATATATTTAATAGATTTTCCTAATTCTATGAATATTTTATTTACTTCTTATTTAGAGAAGTTATCTATTTCTATATAAAATAAATTATGTTGATCGCTAAAGTTATTAATTTATTCCTAATTAATCAATATCTTCTTTTGCTTATTCTAAAATACTACAAGTAAATAAGCTGTTTCTTTATTAAATTCCCCAAGAAATTTTTTCATATTATTTAATACTAAATCAAAGCAATTTTCTAAATTTTTATTTAATAGTAAAATAATTCCATCTACATCATATTACTTTATTTAATTGTAATTTGTGTATAAAAATAATTGTGTTTAATAATTTTCAATTTATATAATACGTTTAAATAAGTGTTAATTATCTTTAAATTTTTTAAGAGCAAAAGTTTTAACTATTTCTTTAAACGCATATTAATTTTCATAATAGTCATCATATATTAAAACATTTATATATTGTTATTTATTCATTTTTAAATAAAATACTTTTATAATTTTTTAAAGGTATAAATATTTATATTTATTTTATTAAAGTATTATATTTTTAATTAATTTTTATTAAATAAATTTTATCAAGATATTTTATTTCTTTATTTTACAAATTTATAAGTGCATATAAATATTTTTTTTACTATATTTCCTAAATAAATTATATATTAAAATTATATAAAAATAAAACTATCTATATCTTTTTATAATTTTTTATATTGAAAAAATAAATTACGTAAAAAATGGCGATAATTATTCCAAAACATAATCGTTAAAAAAATAAAAAATCTACTTAAAAAGTATTTCTAGTAATATCTGGAATGGCAATATCAATATTTATATATTATGCTTTATTTGATAAATAAGGAAATCAAAATTCACTTAAAAATGGTGATTATGTTGAAGGCAAAGACTACCAAGTAAAAATAAATAGCTAAGGTGAAAAGTAATATTACATTTCTAAACAACTGAAATAAAAAGCGCATTAACATTATGGTATTCACAATAAACCAATAAAAAAAGAAATAGATTAAGCATGGGTAGGAAAAAAGTAAATAGCGAAATAAATAGCAGAATATTTTTAAGAATTTAATACGAAACCAATGAATTTATAAATTCATTATGAGAATAGATAATAATTTAATAAATTTCATATGTCATTAATAAATAATGATAAATATTGTATAAATAGCGATTAATATCATATTCTTCATCCTGAATCAATTTTTGAAAATTATTATATATTATCAGGTTTTTTTTTTATTAAAATTAAAATTAATATAAATACAAAATTAATAAAGATTTTAGAAACACAGATATTGCTAGAGAAGTAGTTACAGATTTTGGAGTTGATGTGTTACCAAAAATAGGAGCTTCAATGAGTTATTAATAAGAAAATAGTCGTACATAATAGATTCCTTTAGAAACTACTTTAATACATTCAAGTATTTCGCGTTTTCATCATTTTCATAAATTTAATGCAAACTTGTTTTGTACATATTAATCATCTAATCACATCCCTGGAAAGTGGGCAATTACAGGAAAAGATTTAGTGATTGATAATTATAGATTATATAAAGAAAAGAAGTTTAAAAATAGAGAAGAGTGTGATGCTAAAACTACTTTCATGCCAGAGTCTTATCGTTTATATGATCCATAAGAATGCAAATAATTCTTTGATTATATTTAAAGTGATGAATATAAGAAGCTAATAGAAAAATAAGGAATAGCCTTTATAATAAAGCAAGGAAGAGATATTCATAGAGGTGAAGGGATAACATTATTAACTCCAAATGAGCACAAAAACTTTTTATAAATGTATAATAATGGTAAAAAATGTAAAGATATAAAAAACGATAATGATACAGATGTATATTAAGTATAAAGATATATTAATAATCCTCTTTTATTAGACGGACATAAACTAGAAGCAAGAATATATTTTTTTATAGCAAGTACAGATCCTTTAATTATATATTGTGAAAAATTAGCCTTATTAAAGAAATGTGCACTTCCTTATGATAAGTTTAATTTTAAATAAGAAACTCATGTGTGTAATACTTCTTTGTCAAAAAAAATAAGTGACGATTTTGTAGTTGAATTTGCTTTGGAAGGTTTATAGGACTATCTTTTAGAACACAAAATAATAAAAGATAAAAATTGGCTTGAAAATAATATCTATCCATAAATCTATTAAGCTATTATTCATTTAGTAAAAAGTGGTGAACATGATTTATTTAAAGACTCAAGAGTAAATGAAAACTTTGCTGTTGATTTTTTAATTGATGATGATTCTAGAGTCTGGTTTTTAGAAAATAATCCAAACCCATAATTACTTAGAAGTTCTACTAAAAGATCCATGAGGCATTTCAAAATGTTTGGTGATTTATTTAATATTTAGTATTCCTATTTAAGATCTAGAGCTAAAAGACTTAATTAATTAGCCCTTAAAATGAAAGATGCTATTGAAAATAATTCGTTTAATAAAGAAGAATTCAAAAGCTAATTTTAGAAGGCCAATAGAAATTTCTTTGAACCGGAATTCTAAATTCTTGAAAATAGTAGTTATGTCAAAATATACGATGATAATCTGATTGGTAAAGATAAATTCATGGGATATTTACCTGAAGGATGCCTTTATGATGAGTGAAATAATATTTTATTTAAAAAAAAAAAAATGTAATATTTTATTAGTAGTTTATATTATAGAATAATTTTATTTAAAATTAATTATAATTTTTTTTTAAAAAAAAAATCTTTTAATTATATACAATTTAATAATAAATTAAAAATATTTATTTAAATATATATTATATTAGCAAAAACAAATTGTTTTTAATAATCCTAATTATATTTCAAAAAGATACATATTAATATAAAACAATTAATTAAATTTCTAGCGTAAAATTTTATATTTTGAAAAAAAATGATACAATAACTAAATTAACAAAAATTTGCTTAAAAACCAATATTTTTATAAAAAAAATTAAGACTTTTTTTTGTTTTAAAATAAACTATAAAAAAACATAATTCTATAAATTTAAATAATCAATCATTAAATTAATAAAAAAGGTATAAATCCATTAGTATAATTAAAAATAAAAAATATGACTCTTTTAAAATTATTATGCTTTTCCTTAATCTTTATAATTATAATTGAGAATCACAAAGTAGAGAGCTCAATAATAAAGAATTTATAAGAAATACCCAACTAAAATAATGATCATTTAGAATCAGATTATTATGAATATATATGCAATGATTCTTTTTAGTTTGGTTATCTGAACAAAAATGAGAAAGATTATTCATAAAAATAAATACAAGAATATAGATCTAATTTTGGAGAACCTATAGGAAATCATTTATTAGATGGAAATATAAGTGCAATTTTTTAAAAAGGAGCCTTTCCTATAATAATCATTTTTTTTTTTTATAATCACCATTTTTATTTTTATTTTATTCTATTTAAATACATTTAATTAAATAAGTAATTTATTATTATAAAAATATTAATTTATTCAAAACAAAATATTTTAAAATTAAAAAACAGGTTTACCTTATTACTTAAAAATAAAAAAACTTGATGCTAATTTAAAAAAAAAAAACTTTATTTATCTCCTTACATTAATTGCTTTTTTCGCTATTTTGATAATCAGCACATCAATAGCAGGACTTTCAATATCTACAACTATTTATAATGAATATTAAGTAATATAATTATATATTTTTAAAAAATAAATTTTTTTTATTAAATAAAAAAAGATTTCTAAATGCTCTTTTGCAAGCTCGTTAGATAATTTAAAGTATTAACAATCTTTCATAATATCAAATAATGAAGAAGCAAACTATGGAGGACTTTATTAATTAAAATAAAGGCTAATTAATATAACATTAAATATAGATGAATATATGAAAAACCTTTAAAAAACAATAAATTAAAACAAATTAGATATGATTTTAGTGAGTATCTAAAGTTTAATTAGTCAAGTAAAAGCTTATGATGGTTTAGAATTGTATAATAAAAAATACGATAACCATATATTTGCTATTTATGATATTCCTTCAACATTCTATTCTTTTGGAGGATTTGGTCCAATAAATTTAAATGGAACAATATTAAATTATTGTATTAAAAAAAAGTAGAACATGATCGCATTTTTTTAATAGTTAAAAAAAAAAAAATTAAATTATTTTTTAATTTATAAACTATTAAAAAAAAGCAAGCAAGTTATACTTTTTATAAAAACAAAAATTATAAAAACTTATTTAAGAATCTAGTGATGATGTTTTAAATAAAATAAAATTAATACATTAAAAATTAAACAGAATAATATAAAGTAATAATTTAAAATAATATTTGAAAAATGGGATAAATATTATAGAAAATACGAAATTCGAAATAAATAATTTTATTGAATAAATATACTAAAAAACTTAAAAAGTATATATATATATATATATATTATATATTTATATATTTATATATTTATATATTTTTTTATTTTTATTATTAAAAAAGTTTGATTTAATTTTATTTATAACATTAATTTTTGTAATACTTAATAATTTTTTTTTTTTATTTTCTAGTTTTATTATTCTAATTTTATTAGCTTATAGGTATTTTTTTTAACAATATATGTTTAAAGTAGCTTTATAATATTTCTGGATATTTATTAATTCAATTTTGATATTAAGTTTTTTTCTTACTTTTTTATATGCTTTATTTACAATTACATTCATGGAAGTTTGCTAATCATATAACTAAATTCTTACCAACCCTGAATAACTTTTTGAATCTAGTTTTTTAAGTCAAGAAATAATTTAAACAATAAAAGAATGCAAAATTTCTCTATAATTAGGAAAAGGATAATTAATTAATACTTTTGGTTTGTCTAGTCCATTATAAGATTTAAATAATTTAAATGAAAATATTTCACTTATTAACTAAAATTAAAATCAAATTAAAGATAAGTTTTACAATTTAGAAAAGTACATTTAATAAATATAAAAACAGCATTAGTTACTCAAAAAAAAAGGAGTTATATGGAATGATAATGATTTGGATGAAAAAGTAAGTGTAGGAGATTCGTTCATGCTTGACTTTTACGAAGCTTAGTATTATTTAGATAATTTTTAGAAATATCTTAATTAATAATAATGTTTAAGGTAAAATTCAAGATAAGAAAAACTGGTTATGGTAATAGAATAATGCGACTCAGATTCTTATATAATTATTAGTAATTCTAATAACTTTAATGTTCCTTTAAATAATTAAAACTTTTGTATTGTTCTTAGCGATTTGAAAAATTAATATTTATTACTTGATTTTTAAAAAAGATATTACGGTTGTGATACTAATAATATTCAAAAAAGATATTAAACATTGTTTAATTATATTTAAAATGTTTCTGATTTTATGGGATAAAACTCATTAGAAATTATTAATTAACTGCTCTTTGCCACATTAAACCTAAATATTTATATTTAAGATTTCTTGAATGATATTAATTTAATTATTTAAAATCAGAATTCATAAAACAATCCTTTACTCGATTTCTAATGGATTTCTTAAAATAATAATTGTATCTAGTTTGGAGAAGACTTAGGTTCTTTTTTTTTTATTATTATTAAATATAGTTTATTATATATATTAAAAATAAAAGAGATTGCTTACTAATAAACTTGTTAAGGATTTTCTATTAGTATTTTTCTAACATTAAAATTTTTGATTATTATAAGCTTTTCTAGCTTTTTTTTAAATATATTATTATTTTATCTTGGACATAATTTTCATATTTTATCTTAATTTTAGCTCATTAAGAATATAGATAAGGTTTTTCCTATAAGACAGTAAGAAGCTAGTGGATCTAATTTAGATGGCATAAAATCTTAAAATATAGTAGAAATAAAAACACCTAATAGTGAATAGATTACTAATTAGATAATCGCTAATAATTAAAATGAAGCCAATGAAATTAATTTCTATCAAATAAAATAATAAAAATAAAAATTATAATAGGAAAAAAAATGATATCTTATTTGTTAATATTATATAAATAAAAATAAATATTTATTATGATTTTGAATTTTAATTAGTTTTTTTTTATTTCCATTATTTTATTAAATATATTAATTATTATAAACTAGATTTTTATTAGTATAATCATTTTTAATTTAATAAGTACATAATAAATACTGTAAGTTCATCAGTTTAAATTTTAAATGAAAATTTTATATCTTAATAAGTATATTATAATTTAAATTATGCATTGAATATAACTTAAAATAACTTTTTAATTTTTTAAAAAATATTCATTTATTAAGGTAAATTCATAGGAATTATCGGATATTCAGAAATACCTAAGTCAATTAATTCATTTTCCGTAAAGTTTTCCAAATGTAATTTTATATTTGATCCAAATAATGAATCAAGTATATTTAAAAAATTTTATTTTTATTAATTAAAAAGATTTTAATTAGTTATTTTATCTTATGTATTTCTTAATATTTTTCTTATTATTTCATTACATTTTATATACGAATTTTTAAATAATAAATTCTGTAATAAATTTAAATTACTTATTTATTTTTACTCACATATTTCTTTAAAACCTTGCTAACTTTAAATATTAAAAAAAAAATACTCTTCACGCGATTTATTTTTTAAAAATTGTTTTAATAAATTACAAAATTCTTTAAAAAAAGCATAATATTGATCTTATAATTATATTCTTATTTAAAAGTATTTATTTTGTTTCATATTATAATCAACCTTTATTTATTTTATTATATTTTTTAAATCATAGCTCATTCCAGAACACAAATTTAAAAGTTATCTTATTAATGATTAAAAATCTTTAAAATATCCTTATAAATCTTATTCAGTTAAATTTTTTTGGAGGTAAAAATTAAAACATAAATAAATTTCTTCTTAATAAAGTTGCTTTGGATGGTATATATATGATTTAAAATACATTTTTGTTAAATAATCATTTTTTATTTCACCAAAAATTAGCTCCTATTCATGAAAAGAAATCTCATTTTTAATTATTTATTAGTAATCGTTTTTATTAAAATTAAAGAAATTTAAAAAATCAAAAATTTATTTTGAATTTATACTTTAATTCTCCATATAATTAAAAGTTTATATTTTTGTAAAAAAATTATTTTTATATTTAAGTATTAAAATAAATTCTTTCTTAAATATGTATCTTATTATATTGTGATTATTAATATAAATAAATTTATTATGAAGAAAAGATTATAAAAATAAAATTTAGTTTTTATAGTTTTGATTGATTTGTAATATTTATAAATATCTAATTATTTTTTTTCATTCCTAAATCATAAATTTTCTTTTAAATATTATATATATATATATATATGAATAATTATTTAAATAAAAAAAGTGTACACATAATTAAATTTATGTTAATTATCCATTTTATATTAAATTTTAATATACAAAAAATAAAAGAATTTATAAATTTTCTCATAAATTGTTATGTTTATCCTTTAGTTCATAATCTATTCTTTCAATATTGCTTTAGTTAATATTAATTATCTTTCCATTAAATACATTAACTAAAATCTCAGGATTGATATAATTATAATATTTTGGAATATAAAAAAGTTTTATTATGTTGTAAAATATTTAAACCAAGCATAATTAAGGGGTCTATAATCCTAAAACGGATATACTTCTGGAAATAAGTCGCCTATATAAAATAATATTTTATTTTAATTTAAAAAATTATTATTAAAGTAAATTATAAGTTAAAAGCTATTTATAATTATTATTTTTTATTTATTAAATTATATTTTTTTTTTCATTATATATATTTTATAAACCTCTTAAAGGAACTTAATCTTAACCTTAAGGCATTAATAATTAGCTTATATGAAATTATTCAATTATTGGATCTTCTTTTAATTTACGCTTTATTTTAAAAATTAAATTTTTATTTTAATTTTAAAATTTACATAAAATTGTTTCAACCAAACAATTTATAAAGTTTATCCGTCTTCTAATAAATATATTTCAGAAGGAATTCTTCTAAAATTAATAAATTATATTTGAATTTTTCTAAGTACTATTTATTTTATTATATTAAAATAATCTAATTAACCATTTATAAATTAATTTTTTTTATAAAATTACTATATGCTTATACAAGAAAATATAAAGGCATCGATGCAGGAAAAGATAAATAAACTTTTTGTTAATTAATTAAAATAATTTAAGTTAATTTTTATTTTACATGGATTATTTCCTATTAATTTACAAACATAATAAAAAGGGATTAAATATTTTAATCTTTAAATAGTTTGTGTATAAAACTATTTTATTATTTAAAAAATATTTAATTAATTTATTTTATATACTCTTGGTTTATAATAGTATAATAAACATCTACCATCCTTAGTAAATTTTAACTATTGTTAAGGTTCATAAATTAAGTTGCTTTAATATTTTATATTTATATTTTAATATCTTAAATATTTGCATATATTTTTTTTCTAAACCTATAATTTATTATTGTATTTGGTGATTCTTTATATATTGCTTTTTCAAGCTTTTTAGTAAAACAATATTTTTATAATTTAATAAGATTTTAGAACTTCATTTTTATTTTATTTAAGTTAATTAAATCTAAATAAATAAATTGATAAAAATTATTAAAGATATAAATCAAAATTAAATTAAAAAAAAACAAAATTAATTAAAATAAATACATTTAAAACTTTTAAAATTAATATTTATTTATATAAATAATAAAATATCTTTTAACAAATTAAAAAAATAATAGAAATTATTATTTTTAATTCAATATTTTATATTTTTTGGTTAATTTATAATTTTTTATATATTATAAATCGCAAAAATATGAAAATTAAATTTGAACTTTTCGATGATTTTAAAAGAATTATTTTATATAATAATTAAATATTTTTTATTAATTAAGAAAACTAATGTAATCTTAGAAATAACTAAATTATATATAGTTTAAACTATTTTTAATGCATTTAAATATTTATTCAATATTTATATTACTGCTAATTTATATTTTTAATAAATTGCAGTTTTTTATATTTGATTTATAAGAATTTTATTATAAAAAAAAATATTATTAAAATTATTAATAGCAAAATTTATAGATCTTTTTAAAACAAAATGAATTATTCTATACATATTTCTTGTTTAAAGAATATTAAGATGAATATTGAAATAAACATTTCAAGATGTATAATACTCTACATTGATTCTAATGAAAATAAATCTCAATTAAATAAAATAGTTATTTTATTTAATAAAATGATAGAAAGTTTAAACAACTAAAGTAAAAAATGCGTTCATATATATAAAAAAAAATTAAAAATAATTAAGATTATTTATAATAAATATAATTTAAAGTATATATAATATATATATATATATAATAATAAATATATAAATTCGAATAAACATAAATATACATATATAATATTATGAAAATTTGTGATTTTTATTATTTTAAAATATTTTTGTAAATAAATATATAAAAAAAAAATTACATATAATTATATATTTATGTTTTAAATACTTTTATTTTATTAATAATTAATTTATTTGAATAGTTAATTAAGCTATAAAAACTTTAGAAGAAAGTATCTACTTTAGTTAAGAGAATTTACTAGCTAATTATGATTATATATAAAATTTATAAACAGCAGATAATAAAGAAAATATTTAACGTAATATTTTTTTAATAAAATATATATTCTTTATTTTAAATATTTTATATTATTAGCAAATAATATTTGCTAGATTTAGAACTAAGAATAACTGGAAGTATTTGCTAATAATAGATATATAAAATAAAATTGCAGATATATTAAAAATATAACTAATCTTATTCCTAACAGTGAAAACTAAATGCAAATTTATGTTGAATAATAAATAGAGAAAAAAGAAAAATACGAAAACAGAAAATAATACTAAAAATCATTTAAAAAAGTTTAAATAAAAAATTATAAAATAATATTATTAATTTTTTTTTTTAACTAATAATTTAATTATTATTTATATAAAATTTTACAAATTTATATGTATTTTATTTAATTTATATAAAAAAAGAGAGGTCCATATCAATCATATAGCGAATAATTAAAAAAAAAGCTATTGAAGATTACTTTAATTTTCAGGACATTAAAGTTGCTGCTAAATTAAATAATATTAAAGTAAAAAACCTTAAAAGATGGATATATTTTGGTTATAAAAGAAAAGAAGGTTTTTAAAAATTATGTTATTTAAAGATAAATTTAATTATAAAATTAAATAGGCGGAGGAAGAAAAAAGAAGATCCTAAAATGGAAGATAAGGTATATGAATGGCTTTTAGAATAATATAACAAGAAATTCTAAGTTACAAGAAATTAGATAAGAGAAGTAGCATTTTAATAATCAAGTAATTAATAAAAATTTAAAGCATCTAAAGGATGGTTAGATAAGTTTATGTCTAGATATAAATGCAAATATATGTTACATTCATTAAAAAATGATAAGTAGAAGAATAAAGAAAATGAAAGTTATTTTTAAAAAAATTAATAATGCTGACGCTAAAATAGTATTTTTAATTTCAAGTTTGATATTTTTTTTATATTATATAATATAATAATTTATTTTTAAATTAAATTATGATATTGAAAACTTTTAATAAATAAAGCTATAAAAAAAATATATAAAATTAATTTTAATTTAAAATAATTCAAATTTATTAACTTTTTTGATGACTACAACATAAATATATTTTTATAACAAAAATTTCATATTTTTAATAATTTCTTAAAAATATAAAAATTAAGAATTTTTTTCTCCAAAAATATAAAAATCAAATTTAAAAACTAAACTAATAATTTAATATGTTAGCTTAAAAATAATTGCAAAATCAAAAATAAATAAAAAAAAATGTATTATATAATGCAATATTAACTTTATATTGTCTAAAAATTAATATAAAGCAATATAAAATACCGCGATATATTTTTAAATAATTTATAATAAATTTAATATTTAATTTTAATTAAAATAAAATATTAAATATATAATTTGAAGTTATATATACAAATTTAGTAATAATCTAATTTTAAAGACTATAAATATTAATATATATATTATTATATTTAAATTAAAAAGCATTTATATTATTAATATTTAAATTATAATATCTAAAAATATTTTATACATTATCTAATAATTTATTTTTGTTTAATTATTATATTTTTAAAAATATTAATTTTGCTTTTATTTAATTTTATATTTTTTAACTAAATTTAAATTTAATAAATGAAATTATTGTGTATTTTAAAAAATAAAATATTTTTTTATTAAAATATTAAATAATACTTAAATATTTTATTTTTTATATCAATTTTTAAATTTTATGTTTATAAATTTTTATTGTTCTTAAAAATAAAAGTACAGGTAAAATAAATAGAAATTAAATTATTTTAAGTAAATTCAAAATTTTTTAAATAAAAACAAACATTGTAAATTTTGTTTGTGTTAATTAGATTATAATTAAAAAATATTTAATTAAATTTTTAATTTTTATAAATTTAATATAATTATAAACTTATTATCATTATTCTTAATGAATTATATTATTTTAATGATCCCATTCAATATATAATACATCCAGTATTGCAAAACCACAAAAGAAAGATAGAAAAATATGTCCTATTATACAAGAAATAATTCCTTTATTATTTTTAACATAAGAAAAAGTTCTTGATAAAGAAAAGAAACTAGTTGCAAAGAAAAACGCTAATTACAAAGACATAATTTACAATAAAGCTACTAAATGGAATAATGTATAACCTATGTGTATTATATTAATGTTTTTTTATCCTAAATATTTTTCTAAAAATATTCTCCAAAACCATTCTTCTAGTATAGGATTAATAAATTAAAAAATAATTAAAAAAGTAAATAAATATAAAGCTGAGAATTAAATAGGTAAATTTAAATGTTGTAACATATTATGCTTTAAATTTATTTTTCAAAAATAGAATAAAAATATAAGATTTTTTTTATAAAAAATTATAAAATATACCTTAAACTCATATAAGAAAATATAATACAAAAGTAGTAATATAAACATTACAGCCCCAAATGTAATTCCATATTTAATTTGTTAAATCCTATTTTCAAATTCACTAAGAAAAAATGCTTTTAAGCTATTTTACTTCAGAATATATTTATTATAGGCGTATGGAAAGGTTATATAATAAATTTATAATAAGAATAAACATAAAAGTCCATCTTTGAAAATGTTAAAAATTATTAAAATGAAAAAATTAGGAATTAAAATTATTATGTTTGCTAATTTATTTTCATTTTCAAAAATAATTTATTTTTATGTATTAATGTCGTCCATTTCTTTTTTTTTAAAAAAATAATATTTTTGTTGATTTAAAAATTAAATAAATATATATCTAATTATATATTACAAAAAATTTAAATAATATATTAATTTTATTAAATAATTTTGTTTGATATAATTTATATTATTAGAATTTTAATAGTAAAGTCAATTTATTTTTTACCAAAAAATAAAAAAGCATTTAATAAATATTTTAAATAAAAAAAAAATTAATTCAAATATTTATATATATAGTATTCATTATTATTTTATCAAGAGTTTTATTTTGATCTTCCATTTATTCTTTTTTCTATTAAATTTATTATGTTTATTTGGTTATTAAATATTAATGGTTTATAATGGAGTTTATGGTACATTTAAATAATTTTTTTAATTAGGAACATATAAATTTTATTTAAATTGATAATAATAAACTTATTAAAAAATCATTAAATTAATCTTTAGAAATTAAATATTTAATTTTATATTTTTTGTAAAAGTAAAAAGCAGCGAAAAAATACTAAACCAATTTAAAAAAAAAATGGATAAAAATTTTATATTATAATTAATTATTCTATTTTTTAAATAACTTTTCTAATTATTAAAAAAATTAAAATATTTTTTTTAATTATTATTTTATTTTTTTAAGGTTTTTTTATTAGAGGAAATTATGACTAAAATACTTATTAAAATAAAAAATGTGATAAATAACATTAATTATAAATATTAGAATCAATATGGATAGTTTTTATATATTTCTTATAGTAATTTAATAACTTTTCATTACATAAATTACATTCTGATGGGTTATTTTAAAATTGCACTCAATCTGTTTATTCACAAGGCTAAAAATTTTAATATTTTAATTTTACTTTTGGTTTAAATTATATACATATTTCTAAATTAATATGTAACTAGATGTCACTGCTCATAGCAGTAACTTTCGTGTAGATATTATGAAAAAATAAATTATATGCATATTTTTGTATTTTCTAAGAACTATTCGCATACTTATTACTATATATAATAATTTTCTAGTTATTATAAAAAAATAATTCTTATATTTTAAAAATACATATTTTAATAATTATAATTATTATGTTATTATAAATTTTATAAAAATTTTGAATTAATAAATTATTTCATTTATTAAAAAAATAAAATAAAATATTTTGTATAAAAATTTTTTATATATATATAAAATATGATTGAAATATTTTTTATTTAACTAATATTAAATTAAAACTTTATAAAAAAAAAATGAAAATATATAGTATTTATATATAGTATTTATCATTATTATCTAATCATTTTATTATATATTATTTAATTTTAATCATTAATTATTGCTAGTAAAGCTTCTTTTTTAGAAATCGTAGCTAATCTGTTTAATTATACAATATTTTATTTAGGATTTATAAAAAGAAGATATTTTGCATGATTCAATTAAGGATCACTATCATAAACTAAAAAATCTGCTCCAAATTTGTTTGCAGGTATTAAAAAGTAATTTTTTAAAATTAACTATTCATAAACAATATATTTTGTATTAAACTATTTATTTTAATCTTTAATTCTATCAATAAAGTTAAATTTATCTAAGTGATTATCATATAAAAATTTCAAAGCATAAGTATCTATTGCGAATGGAGGCCCTTTTATTTATGTCTGTTATTATAAATGACAATAAATTCCTATTGGTTATCCTATTATTCGGTATTTTTTTTTTAATATTTCTAATAATTCTATTTCTTCAAAATAACCTATATTGTTCATTATATTAATAGTAAATTTTTATAAATCCATTTTAATAATCTTTTTAACTTTGTTAAAATAATATATTTTATAAATATTTAAGATTACAAAATTTTATAGAAAACATTATTTATATATAATTTTTTTAATTTACAAAAAAAAATTCTTATTAAAAATATAAATTAAATTATATAAATAAAAAAGAAGCTTTATTCAATTAATTAATAAGCTAAGTAAAAGCTATATAAATATAATATAAAATTATAAAGGGAATTTAATAAATTCAAAAATCATAATTATATTCATCAGTTTCTAAAAAGTTTCCACTTTCCCTTTAATCATAATCATAGAAAGCTTTGGCATCAATAAGCATAGAAACAATAATATCACCTTATCCACAATTTATTAAATCTTATAAAGTTATAGCATGTGGAACTTGAGGTTTAGCCATATCGAATATTTCATCTTTTACATCTTCTACATTAAATCCACATTTTTCTTTTTGTTCAAGCTTTTATACTATAGGTCTAAAAAACAAATTAATAACAAAAGTATCTATAGCTCCTTTATGATAGACATCAAGTATTTTAAAAAAGTATTATAAAGCTTATGGTGTTTTTTTATTTTCCATTGCCAATACAAAATCAAGGAATGTCTTATAATCCATTTCTCCTTCAAAAGTTTAACATTCTTCAAAAACTCTATCAGTAAAAATGTTTGTTAGACCCCAATTATACTTTTACAGTTCGATTTTTTTTAATAACCCATTATGATCTATATCTAATTTTAAGTATTTTTAATAAACTTTTAATGCACTTTAAACTGAAAACCTTTTTTTTTTTTTTTACAAAAAATAATATTTTTTAAATAAAAATACCAATTTTATTATAATTCTTCAGGACTAAACTTTTCTTGTCTAAGTTCATATAACTCAGCTAGAATAGGAGAAGTTAGCATATCTTTAATATAAATTCTACCAGTTTTTTTAGGATCTAAAAAAAAGAAGAATTTTCTTACGGCAGTAATAACATAAAAAGGGTAAAAGTTTTCTTATAAATTTTATAATTAAGCAAATATAGGAATTAATTCGAAAATGTAATTTTCTAAATCTTTTTCTCTTAAATAACCATTTCTATGAAATAAATAAAAAAATAACAAAAAAATTGGAAAAAAATAAATAAAAAAATACCCTATAGTATCATATAATGATATTTATATTCTAGTTTAAAAAAGGTTTACTTTTCTCACTATAGAATGGAAAAACGCTATTATATCTATTCTTCCATATTCATCTCTATCGAATTTCAAAAAAGTACTTGCAGAAAAAAAGTGTCTGCATTTTATAGGTAACATACTTGCTATTGTTAAAAAACTGTTATAATTTATTCTTTCTTTATTATCTTATGGAGGAGAAATATTCTCTCTTAATAAAACCCATAGTTTTTCTAAATCTATATTTTTTTATTTTTTTTTAAATAAATATATTAAATATTTACTTTTATTTAGTTTATACCTTCTTTATCTAAAATTTCGCTAGTTTTATGGTGTAAAAATCTTGTTCTTGCCTCTTATCTAACTCTAAAGCTTAATTGATTTTCATTTAATAAGGCTTTTTGGAAAAACTTTGGTATTTTTTTATAACTTTAATCATCTTTTTCTTCTTTTTATTTAGCTTCTTCAATATATTATAAAAATAATTAATCTGTTTCATCATCTATTTCTTATGCAGTTCTTTAAGCCTTGTTTTAAACATATTTTTTCAAAGTATCTACCCAATTTATAGATTTTTTTTGGTCCATATTATAATTTTTCGTGAAAAATATTAATAAATATTACTTCAAATTTTAAAATATATTTAAAATAAAAAAAAATTTAAAAAAAGTTATTTTAATTAAATATCAATTTTTAACTATGCGTTTGGAATAATCCATAAAAAAAAAAGAATAAAATAATATAAAAATAATTATAACTATAATATCAAAAATTCGAATCAGAATTTTATACTTTTTAATATTATATTTTTATTAAAATTTTAGAAAAGAAATTAATATTTAAAAATAAAAACAAAATTATTTAAGTTTTTAGTAAAATATATTTTTTAAAAATCATACTTTAATTTAAATAAAATAATAAATAAAAAAGTATTAATTATAAATTAATTGAAATAAACTTTAAAATAATAGAAAAAATACAAAAAGATTAATCATTATATATTAAAATATATATATATATATATATATAAATAAAATAAAATAAATAAAAAATTTTAATTGTGTATAAAAAAATATTTTTTTTATAAAAAAATAATATTTTTAAAATATTTTTAATATATATAAAAAAAAAATGGGTCACGACAGATAATGGAATTAAAATAAAGGTTTATTTTTTTATATAATAAAAAATCATTTATTTTAAATAAAGAGAAATATGTTTACTCTAAAGAAGAAATTTAATCATATAGAGTTCCTCTTAGGATAAAATAAAGTCCATGTGTGGATACTTATATTCCCCTTATTTAATGTTTGTAAGAAAATGATTATAGTTTAGCTAAGAGATTTTTTGATAGAAGGTTATAAAATAGATAAATTAAATATTTAAATATTTTTAATAGACGAGGAAATTGCTACAAAGAAAATGAAATATATTAAAACTGCACATAACATTGGTTATTTTACATAAAATAATAATATTTAATTTATTTATTATATATTTAAGAAAAAAAAAAAAAAACTATAAAATTATTAATAAATTATATTAATAAAAACATAAAATTAAGGGCTTCATATGAAATAAATGGACATGTCTAAAACTCATTTTGGAATGCTAGTGATAAAGCAACAGATTAAGGCTTATCATAAACATTTGCTGGTTAATTTTATAAAGGAATAATATTTAGAAATTGATAATTTTTTAAGTAATAAGTTAAAAACATATTTAAAAAATGTGTGTACTAAATATTATTATGCATTTTTATTAAAACATAGAAACCAAACTAAAATAAAATAATAATAATAATAAAAATAAAATTAAATAAATAAAATTAAGAATATCATTTAAATATAACATAAGTGAATATTTTTTTTTTCCCTTTAAAAGTATAATTATAAATTATTTATAAATAATGTATTAATTTTTTTATCTCTTTTTATTATCATAATGCATTTATTTATATATATATTAAATTTAAGAAAGATAATATATAAAATTATATTTATATTAAATAATAATATCTATTTTTTTTTATAGTGTTTATAATTATTTATTTTATAAAATAAATTAAAATAAAAATCATTTTTAATAAAATAAAAATTTAACATATAAATATTATTTTATTTCTTATTTTTAACAAAATATGTATTTTTTTAAAAATTACTTATATGTCTATTATTCTATTCAAGAATAATGTTTTAATAATCGTTCAAATATTAGAGTATAATTTGTAATAAAAATTATAAAATAATAAAAAAAGTCAAAAATACATTAATTATATTTATTAACTTAAAATATAAAATAATTTCAGCTACTCAAAAATCAGCATATATATTATGGTTTATCTCTTTGAAATATATAAATATTAAGTCGAGTTAATTTTAATTTAAATAAATTAAATATATCATAATAATAAATATATACGTATGTACGGTACTTTTGTTTAAAAATCTTTTAAGAAAATGTAATTTATATTTAATAATTTTTTGAAATAAAAATAATTTATAACGTTAAATTGAGATTTAAATTACATATTTTTTTGATAAAAATGTATTTTTTAATAGATCGTTTATTTCATAACTTTATTTTAATATAAATTATAAAATTTACAAAATAATGGAATTTAGAATAAATATTAAATTATATAGATAAAATTTTAGTATAATAAAATGTAAATAAAACGAAAATAAAGTTAATAGATACAATAAAAAATTTAAAGTGATATATAATCTTTTATATAAGATAAAATTTATAAGGAAATTCATAAAAAGTTTAAGTTTATTTTTAAAGTATTAAAAAACTAGGCAAAAGCATTAAAATAAAAAACTTAAAATTAAATTTTTATGAAAAATAATGCTTTTTAAATTTCTAATTGCATTATTTGCTTTTAAAATTCTCATAAATAATTTTATGAACTGCAGACATAGGGCTAATATTATTTTATTTTTTGTTAAAGAAAATTGTAAATAATATTCCGTTGATATCATTAATATAAACGGGATTTTTGTTTTTCTTGTAAAGATTTTTTTCTTATTTATTTTCCTTATTTTTTTAAAAAAATATTAATAAATTAAGAAATATAATAAAATATGAAATTTAAATATTGTAAAATACTTTATAATTTAAATTTTTTATATATTTTAATAAAAATAAACCAATAACACTTATATTTAAAAATTCTAATTTAAAAAAATAAATGGAAAAAGAAAATTTTAACGAAAATAATTTATAAAAAGAAGTTTCTTTATAATAGAAGTTTTTTTAATTTCGTAAAGAAAGATATTCTAAAATGAAAAATGCAAAATATTTAAAATAATAAAAACAAGAGGAAAGAAAAACCCAAGATTTTAAAGATAATTTAAGAAAAAAGTTTACAGATTAATGCAAAAAATATTTCGGAGTTCCATACCATTAAAAGTAATTATTATCTATATTTTTAAAATCTTTTATAAATTAAAAAAAAAAGATACTGGAGCGAAGGAGAAGAATACCATAATGCTCCTCTTTATTTAGATTGTTGTGGATTAATAAGATAAGTGGTTTATGATTTAAGAGAAGATTTTGGATTCAGTTTAGGTAGATGGAATCAGGTTAACAACATAAATTATATTTATATAAAATTAATAAATAAAAAAGGCATATTAATTCGATGTTTGCCCTCAAGAAATAGAATATAAAGATATGAAACCAGGAGATCTAGTATTTATTTCAGCTACATATTATAATTAAAGGGTAAAAACATAGCCTATTTTTAAAAAGTTTTTAAATAAAAATAAAAAGTTAAAACCATTTGCACATAATATGGTACATGTAGAAGTATTTACAGGTGGTGAAACAGGTGAATAAACTATAGGAGCAAGATATTAAAAAGGTGTAATATAATATCATGATAGTTATAAATTTATAAGTAAAAATTATTATGATATGAAATATCATTTTCGTTCTTTAGACACTTGGTTGGATGGAATTTGCAAGTATAATTTATTTACTTTGTTTTTGATTATTTAATAAAACAAAAAAAAGATCATAATGTGCATAACATGAATGGAGAGATGATAGAGATTTGTGGATTCCAGATAAATATTCGGTTTTTGCATCGCCGGAATTATAAGAAAGTGAAGCTATAGAAGAAAAATAAATAGAAAATGATTTCTAAATAAAAAAAATATATATTGGAAGTGGAAATAATAGTTAAATTATAGAAAACTTTTTTAAGGATAAAAATACAGAAAATAAAAATCGATAGTATCAATTAATGGATAAATAAAAAACATTTAATCCATTTTTTTATTTCAAATGGGTTTAAACAAAATCAGAAGTAGATTTTTTATCATTTAATGAAGGATAATAAATCATAAATCATATTGCAAATGTAACAATATTTACAACAAAAGTAGGTTTATTAAATTTACTAAGAGATTATTAAAGTATTCAATAAGAAACAATAGATTTTTTTCCAGAAACCTATTAATTAGATCTTTTAAGTGACGAAATCCTTTTCTTAAATAAAAAGCTTGAGAAAGAATAAAAATAGATATGGATATTAAAACCCCATAATAATAATATGGGAAAAGGAATTCAAATTATCGAAGATATTTATATTTTTAAACAAAACTTCATTCAATAAAAAAACATAAACTAGGATCCTATACTGCTAATTTTATTACTTATGAAATTGATGAAATTATTAATAATCAAGAAAGTGTCCAAGATTCAGAAATGAAGTATCCTAATATTCGCCATTAATCTATAATATAAAAATATATTGAAAAACCCTTTTTATTAAATAATAAAAAATTCGATATTAGATGTTATGTGTTAATTGCTTGTACTAAGCCTTTACTTTTGCTTTTTCATCATGGTTATGCAAGAGTTTCGCTTTTATCTTATACTCTTGAAAACGCAGAAGATTAATAAAACAAATTTATGCATTTAACTAATGCTGCTATTTAAAAATAACATAAAAGTTATAAAGAAAACAAAGAAAATACAATATGGTTAATGAAATAATTAGAAGTAATAATTTTTTTAAATAAATTTTTTTATTTTATTTATTTAAAATAGGATTATATTTTAAATTAATAATTTTTTTAAATAAATTTTTTTATTTTATTTATTTAAAATAGGATTATATTTTAAATGAAGGTTTTACTTAAGAGTAAATAGATTTAATGTATAAATAAATAAAAAACATTTTAAAGACAGTTGTTTAAATTGGATACCCTAAATTAGATCATAAATTAGGTTAATATGAACTTCTTGGAGCTGATATTTTAATAGATAATAACTTAAAACCTTACTTATTAGAAATAAATACAAATCCAGCCTTATTTACAAATACAATAAAACTAAAGTAAATAATTCCAAAAATAATGTACAAAACCTTAGATATAGTTTTAAAAATAAATGAAGATTCAACCCAAGTAGAATAAAAATGCAAAGAAATATAAAATCTAATAGATTTATAAGGATATGAGATATTAATATAATGAATTTATTAACATATAAATTATCTTTTTTTATTATATATTGAAAAAAATTAAAATAAAAATAAAAACCGATTAATTAAAAGAACAATATTAACATTAAAATTATCATATAAAATCATATACAATCAATTAATTTTTAAGTTAACTTTTTTTAGCTACAAAAAAGTTTATCAAAAGAAAAATTAAAGAGGTTTATTAATAAATTTTTATTGATTATTCAAATTTTAGTATAATTTTCATTTTTCAAAATTATATTAAACTTTTAATGAATATATTAATAAAATTTATTTTAAAAAAATAATATATTTTCACTTTTATATTTAATAAATAATATTCTGAATTTTTTGTTTTGAATATAAATAAATTAAAATATATTAAATTAAATATATTTTAAAGTTAAAAAACCCTATAATATATTAAAATAATTGATATTAAACCAAATAAAATATTAAGAAGAAATCTCATAATATATTTTATAAATAAAATAATATATTGATAATTTTTAAATTATTTAATGAGCCATCTTTTTGAAAAATAAAATAAATATTTTAAAACTAAAATAAAAAAATATTAATTTATTTAAAAAAAACAAAAAAAAATTGACACTTTATTAATGTATTCAAAACATAACAAAAAAAATATATCTTAAAATGATTTCAAATTTTATTTGAAATAAAAAATCGAAAAATCTTAGTAAAGCTTTGGGGGAGAAGAATAGAAAAATTAAAATAATAATTTTTAATAATAAAACTAAGAAATAAATCGATAGTAATTAGAAAATTAGACAATTAAATAAAATGGTTTTTATTAAGATTTTATAAATGAAAAAAATAATAAAGAATCAATTTAAGTAAATCTTCAAGAAACAAAGGAAAATGAAAACAAAAAATTAAAACTTCCTTTAAATAGTAAGTTAACAACAATATAAGAATCCTTATAATAAAGCACCCAAAACTTAAAAATAAATAAAAATAAATAAAATAATGTTCATAGATAAATATACTTTAAAAATTTACGGAATAATTTTGAAAAATAATATGAGCAAATTAAAAAACACTAGTAAAAGAAAAATCATTAATTAATAGTAGATTTTTTCAATATAAATGATAAAAATAATTAAGATATAAAAAACTAAATATTAGATGAAATGTACAAAAATAAATGTATAAAAAATGAATATATAGAAATGAATTAAAACTTAAAAGAAAATATTTTAAATTTATAAAAAAACAACAAATAAATGTAAAAGCAGCTTTAACAATGGAATATTTAGCAAAGATTAATTTTCGAAAGCAACGAGAATTTATTTATTGATTAAATTTCTTGTAACAAAGTATACTAAGATCCGAACTTTTACTAGATTTCTTTAAAAAATAAAGTTAAAGAAATGTAAGAAAAGCTTAAATCTTTAGATGAACAATTATTAATTTTTAACTAAAAGCGAAGAAATATAAAACTGGACACTAACGCAGTAACCAAAAAAAAAAAATAGAAAAATAACTAATTGAAACTTGTAATTATTTCAATTGTGTAGAAAAGAAATTTACAAAATAATAGGTATTAAATTATTAAAAAATACTACTAAATGATTTTTTAAAAATAAATGATTCTAATAAAACTATTAAATTTTAAATATAATACTAATCTGAAATAAAAAATGAAAATCAAAATGAAATAAGAAAACTGAAATAATTAATTTAAGCATAAGTAGAAAGACTAAATAATTTAAAAAAAGAAATTTAATAAAAAAGTAACGTTGAATAATAATAATAATAAACAAAAAATTTAAATTAACAATAAATCTTTAATATAATAGAAGAAAAATAAAACGAGAATTATGATTACTAAGAAATTATAAATATGTAAAATAAGTAAATTTCCCAATTAAAATTTGAATATTAAGAAAATAAAAGAATTTGTTTGTTAAAAAATTAAGATATTAAAAAAAATAACAACAAACTTAAATTAGAAATCTAATAACTTCAAAATTATATTTTCTAAAATAAAACTTATCTAAATAAATAAAAAAATATTATTCTTTAACAGATTATTAATAATTAGGATAAATATAATTAATATAAGTAAAATATTTAAAATGACTTTGATGATGAAACAAATCAAAATTAAAAAAATATAAATGATGAAGAAGAGTTTAACAAAAGCATTTAATCAAAATAAGAATCATTTTAAAATCGCTCTTAATAAAATATTAGTGACGATTAGATTTGTCTTACTAATAAATCATTATATAATAGTAATATTAAGTCTGATTACGTTAATGATGAACCAATTGAACATATATTAGGAGAAAGTCAAATTTTTATTTGATTATATTTTATTATTTTTCTTTTATTAGTTTGTTATTTTTATAGTTAATACAATATATTAAAATAAAAATTTAAAAATGATATTGTAGAAATATATATAATTTTAATTTTAATTTTTAATAATAAAATTTAATCATTTATTGTTTATATTACTGTTATTATAATAGGAGAATCCTTTTTTTATTATTATTATAATTAATGTTAAAATAATTAAATAAATATAATTTGAAAATACCTTGAAACTAATTATTAGTATTATAAGTTTCAGAAACATAAGAATATGGATTTTCATTTAAAAAACCATAATCAATATGAGAAATATCAATTTCATTTTTTTTCTATATTTTAATTAAAGGAATTACTTTTTTTTAATAAATTAACTCCCAATTAATATTTTCAAAAACTTAATGACTCTTACATTATTTAATATCAATTCTTTTTTTGAAATTCCTTTCTAATAATTTAATAATTAAATCTTTAAATAAATCCGAACAATTTAAACATTAGCATAATTTTTAAATATCAGTATTCATTATTTCTTATGGATTTTAAAAAGGTGGTTTTCCATTAATTAACTCAAAACATAAACAACCTAAAGTCCATAAATCAACTTATTTTCCATAACTTTTTTTCTATATAAGTTCTGGTGCATAATATTAATTAGTTCCACATATAGATTTCATATTTTCATTTTCTTATATTATTTTCGATAAACCAAAATCTGCTAATTTTATATACCCATCAGTATCTAAAAGAACATTTTCGGGCTTTAGACTTTATTTATTAAAAATAAATTTATAAAAATATATTAATAAAAGTATATTTATTTTAAATTTTAAATAATAATAAATATATTTTTAATATCTACGTTTTTATATTTTTATATACTCTCTGTATACTATGTTTTATTAATGCAAATATTCTAAACCTAAAATAATTTAAGAGACATAAAACTTAGATAACTCTTCATCAAATTATTTTTTTCTCCATAATAAATTAAATAATTCACCTCCTCCACAATATTCAAGCAAGAAAAATAATTTTTTTTTATTTTAAAAAGAACTATAGTGTTTTATTATAAATGGATTATTTGTGTTTATTAAAATATTTCTTTCTGTCATTACACGCTCATATTATTTTTTTTATTAAATAATTTTTTTCTTTATAATTTTTAAAGCATATAATTTCTAGTCATCATTTTTCCGTACTAAAATTACTTTTGAAAACGATCCTTTTCCGATTACATTTAATAAAGTAAAGCTATCTAATGTTAATTTAATTTATGAGTTACTTTGTGGGCTTTAAATATTATTTATTGATAGTTATAATTTATTTTATAACTAATCTTCTTATTCATTACAGCAACAAGAAAAAAATTGTTATAGTCGCATTTTATTTTCTTTATTTGAATTAATTTTTACTTTATTAATAGTTATTTTTATAATTTATGAATTTTATATATTTTAAAAATAAAAAAAAAGATTTTTATATAAAATTAAATATTCAAAATATTTATAATATATTAATATTTGCTAGAAAAATTTGAAAAGATATTAAATTATTAATATTATTTAGTTAAATTGAATAATTAAATTATTATAAATCATATATATCATTAAAAATTTAATAAAAATAAATTAGTATTAATTTTTTTTTTTTTCAGGTATGAGTTCTCTTTAGTAATCATTCAAAATGAATAAAATTTAATCAAATATAATTTAAATTTAATTAATTAATTAAAATTAGATATAAGAAATAAATAAGTAATTAATTATAAATAAAAAATAGAATTAACTCAAATGAAAAACTATTTTATTATTATAAATTTTATTAGACTATTTGTTAATTAATTACTTTCAATTATTTCAATTATTGCATATTTTAATAATATGATATTGTAAAAAAAAAAAAATTATAATATATTGGATATATAAACAATTCAAAAATAATAAAATAAGAAATTTATAATCTTAGAATTTAGATAAAAAAAAAACTTATTTAATTTAAATCATATGAATAAGACTAAAAAGAAATATATTTTATTTCAAATAATATTAAAAAAAGTATTTCAAAAATTAAAAGACTAAAAACTATACTTATTATTGGATTGAAAAGTTTAATATTTGTAATTAAGAACTGATACTCATTTTATTTTTGTATTACTACTTTGATTACGTTTGGTTATGGAGATATTTATCCTGTCAATTTCTAGAAAAAATATTTATGATATTTCTAACTAAAATTTAGTATGGCTTATTGAGTTAATTAGATCGGACAATATATTCACAGAAATGAATATTAAAGAAAAATAATTCAAATAAAAGAGCATATGATGTTTAAGCTTATATTAAATATAAAAATATTTCAAAAGATAAATAATTTATAGTATTTAAATGAATAAATTGATGAAACACTTATTAAAGTTTTTTATAAATAAAAAGTTAAAGTATATTTATAAAGATTAACAAATATTAAAAGGGTGTTCTTAAGTACTTAGTAAAGATTTTTTAAGAGAATATTTTATAAAAAATATATTAAACTTAAAAAAATTCTTAAAATTAATTTTAATACATATTTTTATATACTTATTAAGTTTTAAATTAAAGAAAAAAAAATTCGGGCTTTCGTTAAAAATAATCTATAATGAATAAATATATACAAATTATATATAATAAAAAGACGAATAATCTAATATTTTTATTAAAATAATTAATATAAAAAATTACTTTTATAAATAAATGTAATTATAATAATAATACATAAACAAAAAGAATAAATAAATAATTTTCGCTTATTTTTTACATCAATACCTTCTAATCTTTCTGTAAGAAGTAGAGCAGTAAAAAAAGTGACATATATAAATAAAAATAGATTTTGAATACTTTAAAATAATTTAATATTATTTATATAGAAAAAAGAAAAAAGAAAAAAATAATATTTTAAATGAAATCGTAAAAAAATTAATTTTAATGACAAAAGATTTAAAAAAAAATACAATTGCTATTTAAATAACGGACATGATTTAGATAAAATATTTTTTGTGTATTTTACATTGAACAAATAAATATTTATTAAAAAAAGAATATTATAAAATGGTATTTTCATAAGAATATTAAACATAAGAAGAAGATACTTAAAAATTAAAAAAAAAAAGTAGATTTTAATAAAGCAGCTAAGAAATATATTAGATGAAATTAAAAAATCTTATAAAAATTTAATAAATAATAAATTATATATGATGTTAACTTTGATTATTAATCAATAAACTAAATGCAAAGATAATAAAAATAGTTTATATATTAAAAATAATAAAAATATTTTGGAAAAACTAAATTTGAGTATGATAAACCAAAATAATATATAAATTATTAACCTAAAAATACTTTTCTAATATAGTTGATAGGAATTTACAAAAAATAAAAATATAATGATTTATTCTAATTAAATAAAATGTGAATAATAATTAATAAATAAAATATTAATTTATATAGAAATTTTAATAGCTAGAAAAAATTCAAGACTTTTAAATTAAATTTAAGAAAATAATAATAAAAAAAAAAAAATAATTAAAAATATATTTATTTAAATTATAATTATTAATATATTATTTATTATGAAAATTCAAAAATGTTTTAATGTTAAATTATCAAAAAAAAATTTATATTTAGAAATAATCAATTTAATAAAAATTAGATTTATTCATTTAATTTATTTAAATTAAATTATTATTATTATTATTATTATTATTATTATTATTATTATTATTTGTTTTATTATAATTTTTATTTTTTTTATTTTTTTTATTAGAATTATTTTTTTTAATTTTATTATTATCCTAACAAAAATTAATTTTATTTAAGATTTTATTACAATATATTATTTCTTTACTATTTTATTGATGAAATATTACTTGCATTAAACTTTTCTTTTTTAATATCTTCAAAATCTTCAGTTGCAAAAGAATTCTAATTTTAATTAGCATAACTTATTTCATTTTTTGAAATAGTATTACTCTAATTTAACTAATTATTATTATTATTATTTAGTTATTAATTATAGAGTTTAATATCAGTTATATTATTTATTTATTATTTTTTTATTAGATTTATTAGGGTTATCCGATTTTCATCTAATTTATAATGTTTTCTATAAGTTATTACGAATTTATTTCGTTGTTCTTTTAATTTTAATATTAATCAATTTTTTAATTTCTATTATCAATCGTAATATTTTAAAACTTATTTTTTAAATTAGTATTTTAATAATCTTATTTTTTATTATTTTCTTTTTATTTTTAATATATTTAATTCTTATTTTTATTACAATTTATAGATTTTTATTAATTTTATATTTACAATTGATATTATAATTATTAAATTTGTTATTATATTTATTAATATTATAATTATTATTATTAATCATTTACTTAATAATTACTATTATTTATTTTTTAATTATGAAAACTCTATTTTTCTATAAATTTATTTTATAAACTATTTTCAAAATTATATTATTAAAAGCTTTTATTAACTTAATATTAAGAAATTTATGATAATTTATTAATTATCTTATTTCTATTATCCATATCCTATTAAATAATCTTAATAGCTTAATTTAAATACTTATTATTTTGAATAAGAATTTCATTCGTGCTCTTAAGTTATTAAATTTCATAAATATATTCTGAAAATGCTTATGATTTCAAATTTTCTAGTTATTTTTTTTAATTTTCAATTGTTTTTTATAAAATATTTTCAATTTATTAATATTAAATTTTATTTTATTAATTTTCATATTCAATGCATTAATATTATTATTTTTATAATTCTAATTCATTTTAATATTACTTTATTTGTTATTCTTATATTTAATTTCTTTATTCTAGTTATAATATTTATTTTTTATAAAACTCTTCTTTTTCAATAAATTATTTTATTGATTTTATAAGAATTTTTTTTAATTCATCATTTTCATATAAGAATTCATCTATATTTTTTAATAATTATATATTTATTTATTTACTTAATATTTTTACTTTTTTATATATTAGATACATTTAAACTTTCTTGCTTTTATCTAAAATCTTAATTAATAATATCCTATTTATTGTGATATTTTATTTAATCATCATTTTCCTTATAATTTTGATAATTTTTATTTTCATTTTTTGTATTTTTTATTTAAATTTACTTTTACTTTTTTTTGTATAGATTAATTTAAATATTTCTTCTCTGTTTAACATTTTCGTAATTTTTCTATATTTTATAGATCTTCTAATATTTACATTCCTTTACCCTTATCTTAATTTATTTATTATTATTATATTTAAATGCTTTTATTTTATCCTTAAATTTACTTTTTAAATATTTCTTTATTAACTTCATAATATTCTTAATGTAATTTAACTTGATTTTTTTACTATTAATTTATTTATTTATTACTTATTTCATTATTTAAGTTTATATTATTTTATTATTCTAAAATATAAAATTAATGGTTTTATAATGATAAATTTTTTCTTTTACTATTAACGATAATTAAATCTTAATTTTAATGATGTTACTTTTCAAATAATTAGCTTTATATTTAACAATTAAAGTCTTTTTATTTTGAATTTTTTTAAGTTAGATAATTATAATTCTTTATTTCATCTAAAGTTTATAATTAATTTTATTATTAATTAGAATAAAAATTATTAATTTTTTAATTAGAACCTAAAACGTTTAAATTTAATTACTTTTATTAATTCTAAGTATTTTATTAATTATTATTATTATTTGTATATATTTGATCTTAAATATTATTGTTTTCTTAATTTTAATAATTACTTTAGTTTTCATTTAAGTTTTCTTGTATCTAATTTTTGCTTATATTTAATAATTGTTCTTTAAAAATAATATTTTATTAATTCTTTTCGTTTAAACTATTGTTATCTTATATTTAATGCATATATTGCACATTTTCATTGTTATTTTATAAAACATCATAATCATTACTTATATTTTCTCTTTAAATAATTTATTTATTTTAAAAATTATTATTTTCATATACAATTTAATTATTTTTAATATAAATAGGCTCTAATTAATTATTTTTATTTAAATTATTGATTTATTTATTTAATATTTCTAAATTTTCAATTTTATTGCAAATATTTTATTATTTTTAATCTATTTCTTCTTTTTCTTCATCTACTTTTTTTTCAACTATTTTTTATGTTTATTATTTTTCTTCTTATTATTTATTTTCGTTTTATTATCCATATTCTTCTTATTAATCATAATCTTCAAATTCATATTCATATTCTATTTCTGATTCATCCTATAATTATTAGCTTTGACCTTAATTTTAGTATAATTATTATGCATTTATAATTTCTTCAATTTACTACCTCATTAAATCTAAAAATTAATCTTTTTCAATTTTATATTCATTAGTTTATAGTTATTATTAATTTAAAATATTATTTTAAGCATTCTACTATATTTAACATAATATTTGGTCTTTTTAATATGATTTTTGAATATTTTATAATGTATTTTCCTTCTAACTTAATTATTAATTTTATTTTATTTAATTTTCTAGTTGATTTATTTATTTCTATTAATTTAAAATATTATTTTAATTTTCAGTTTAAAAATCTTAAGTTTTTAAATCACTTTCTAATTATTATTCATTATTTAATTATTATAGTTGTATATCAATTTTGTTTTTATTTTATTATTGATTTGATACTTATTTTGATATTTAATTATCTTATTCCTATTAATTATTTTAAAAGTCATTAAATTTTTCTAATATATTATTATTATTATTATTCAAATTATTTTAATTACCTATCATATAATTTTAAATATTTATATTTTGTTCATTACATTAAAATACTGGAGGAGAAAATTAATTTTATAATTTCTAATTGTTTTATTAAAAATCATTTTTTTATATAACATTATTATTTTACTATTAATTTTCAATATTATGTTTTTAAATATATTAAGCGAAATATTAAGATGTAAAATTATTATTTTAAAGATTTACAAATTCATCAGTCGAAATATTTCCTTAAATTAAAGCTTATCTGATATTTGAATTGTTTTATCCTTATAAATTAATTTTTAAATAATTCACTTTTTCACGGAATCCTTTAGTTTAAGGATTTTAATATAATTTTAAAATAGATTAAATTAGCTAATAGGATATTTATTCAATTTTTTCTTAGTTTATTTCTTTTTCTTCTTTTAAACTTTCTATAAAAACATTTTATAAGTATTCAATTATTTTAATGTCATCATAGTTCATTTCTTTGTCCATTTTTTATAATTTTAAAAATATATTTATTTTTATATTTTTCTATTTTGTTAATTTAATGAATTTAATTCATATACTAATTATTTATTTTGAAATTAAATTATTTTGAAAAATTAAAACTTAATATATATAAAATATTTTTATAATAATTAATTTAATATTCATAAATATTTAACTTTATATAAAGGTTTAATTTAAGTAATATAAATAAATTAAAAAAATACATAATAATAAAAAATTTATTAAATAATTCTAAAGTATAATAAATTATATAAATGAAATAATAAAAAGAATTTTTTTTATTAAAAAAAAAAATTAATAATTTATATATTTATTTGACTTTAAAGTATAAAAATATAATATTGATATTAAAATTTATAATATTAAATCTATAATTTTAAAAAATATACTTAATTAAAAAAAATGAACTAAATTAATAATTCAAACATCTTTTAAAAAATACTTGAATAATTAAATAAAAAGGATGAAACTTGTTTACATGAATGTAGTTGCATTAAAAATATTTTAAAATAATCAATAAAATCATATTTAATAGGTATTGTCATATAAATAGTACCAAAAATATTATAAATAATATAATCAATAAAAAAAAAAATTCTATGAAAATATTTAAAATAATATTTTAAAAAAATAATTTTTAATTTGGAATATTTATTGGTTCTTATACATTTTTTATGAAATCACTGTTTTATATTTTCAAAAATATTAAAATGAATTACAATTATAATTCATTTTTGAGTGGATTTATAGCTGCTCTTATAAGCGGATAGTTTTTAAATAAGTCTAATAGAACAATTATATTTTTATATTTACTTACTAGAGCTATTGATATTTCTTATTAAAGTCTTATTTAAAGAAAATACATTAAAAAATTTAAATACGATTATGTTTTGCTCTTATGCTGTTAATTATTTAATATTGGGTATTAATTTTCACATGAACCTGGAAACATGCCTAAAACTTTAGTTAAATTTTTTGTTTAAATGGCTAGAGAACATGAAAATGATTAAATATTGCATAAAATTTGGGTTTGGAAAACCAATAAGCATTTAGAATAGTTTGGGATTGAACCATACGATCCTTAAAAAATTATGTATGAAAAGTTTTTAAAAAATAAAAATTGAAGCTATTTACTTAAAATATTTTATAGATTTAATAATATAAAATATTTATTATTTAAAAAAAAATATTAATTATAAAAAATGTAAAAAATTATAATAATAATAAAGCTTATTATTAAAAATATAATTGGTTAATTTTCTTTTTTTTAATATAATTAATTATTATATATAAGATAAAATAAATAATAATAAAAAATAAATAAGTATATTATTCAAACAAATATTTAAATAATAATTGTTTATTTTAAATTACAAATACTTATTTTATTATTTTAAAGAAAAAATTATATTAAATATAAAAAAATAAATACAATTTATTGTAATTTTCTTATAATTTAATTTCTTATATAAATTAAAAATATTAATTTGCAAAAATAAAATGTTTTAACATCATATATTTAAATAAAAAATTGTTAAAATTAAATAATTAGAATATCTAAAAATAGAAAATTTAGTTTAAAAAAGAACATAATTTGTTTGTTAATTAATATTATATAAATAAAGTTAAAAATTAAAAAAATATTAAAATTAACAAAATTTTATTTTTAAAAACATAATAATAATAAAAAATATTAGAAAAAAAAAAAAAAAATTAATTTAATTAGTTCTTATATTAAATATAAAATTTTTATTTATTTTTCAAAATAAATAATTTGTATTATTTTAAAATTTTTAATTAGTTTTATATCTAATAATTTTGTTAATTTCTTATTTAATTTTTTTTTTAATATATTGATTTTTTAAAAAATTATTTATTTTAATTAATTTTTTATTTATAAAATAATATTTTTTTTTAAATATATAAAATTTCATTAAATAAAATTATATAAATTTAATTAATAAATACATTTTGAATTTATTACATTGCAAAATATATTTATGAAAAAGTACATGATTTTTTAATCAAAATATAAGTGAAGTTATTTAATTAAAAAATAAATATTATTTTTAAAACAAAAAATTCTAATAATATTAAAATAATTTTTAATGTAAATAAATATAGTATAAAAAATTTTCAAAACAATCAAAATTATAATAAAACAATGCATAAAATAATAACATGTGAAACATAAAAAAATATTGAAAAAAAATATATTACCTTTTCCAATACATTTTCCAGTCCACGGACAATGATGATCAAATCCATCAATACATATATCACAATCACTACAGTGATAAGTATTATTTTTTTTCTATATATTACATATACAACAATATATATTAAATGGCAATTTTTTATATTAATTTATTTATTCTTATGTTGGACATTAAGAAGCACTAGCAATTCCTGGATTTATTAAAGCTGTTAAAAGATAAAAAATATCTATATAAAATATACAATAAGTGTGACTATAAAACATATTTGACCTTTATAATATGCATATTAAAATATTAAATAATATGAAACTATAACAAAAACTAACCACGTAAATATAAACATTATAACTTTAATATTATAATAAATATATATATATATATATATATATATATATATTATATATATATATATATATTTATATAAATAATACAATCTGGACCTAATGTAAATAATGGCTAATTACTAATATATATAAAACCAATTGTTTTTCCCATATGTCTTTTAAATTTATTTTACTATATTTATTAAAGAGATAATGTTTATTAATCAGTTGTAATACTATCTTCTATATTATTATAATTATTATTAATTACTTTTACTATTTAAATATCTTTTAATTATTCATTATCATCAAAATTTTATTAATATTTTAAAGACATTTTTTTGAAAAAAAATTATCTTTTTTTTATAAATTTAAAAATAAAAATTATTATTTTTAAGATAAATTAAAAAAAAAATAAGCAAGAAATAATAAAATAAAGATGTTATTTTTTAATATAATTTTATAATAATTTAAAAAAATATAAATTCTAATTCTAATTTATAAATTATTATGAAAATGTTATTAAAATAATTAAAAAATTAAAACAAAAAATTTATTTATTATAATATAAAAATCATCAATAATTTAAAAATAACAATTTATTAATAATATCTCAAAATTTATAAAAACTCTCAAAAAAAAATAGCTAATTATTGTAACTTAAAAAAATATATATTAAATAAAATAATTAAAGTTAAATATATATAAAAATACAAAAAAATAATATAATAGATGATTACTAATATAAAAATCAAACTCTCATTTCTGTTGTCCCTGTATTTTTAGGTAATTTTTTTTTATCTCCTAGAATATCTTTTTCTTTATACAAATGAGGAGCAATATCCAGAAGCCATTCTCCTTTAATTTCACATACATTTCTAACATATTCTTTTGATGTAAATACTAACTCATGATAAACAATCCATTCAGGGTTTTCTTCAAATAATAAAGAACTAGGATGAATTTGTATAGTATGACCATTTTTTAACGTTTTATAAACTCCATTAAAGTTACACTTAGCTGCATTATAAAAGAATCCACTTGCTATACACTTACAGATGTTAGTATTCATTTCATCTTCATAAATGCTTAAATTTTCATCTGAAACATCCATTTCAACTCTTTCACATAATCCAATAAGTTATTCACGAATATCTCTTGCTCTTTTCATAGATCTAAATTATATGAAATTTTCAAAGCACCATTATTACGAAAAAGAAGTATCTTACCATTGATTAAAACAATTAAGTAGTGCTAGATGATCACCTCCAGGTCTATAGAAGCTTTTTTTGCAATTATCAGCATGAATTTTTTTCTCTTTATCAGCTGGTCTATAAAAGATAGTATTTCCAACTGATAACATAGCACAAATAGTAATAATTTAATCAATACATTTATAATGTTCTGCCTAAACTAACATTTTACTCAAAAGAGGATCCAGAGGAAATTCAGCCATTCTCCTTCCTAATTTAGTAAGATCTCCTTCATCATTAAGAGCCCCTAAAGCATATAATTATTCTAAAGATTTCATTATCATTTCTGCTGGAGGAGGATCCATGAAATCAAAATTGACCAAGTTGTTAATTCCCATACTTTTAAGCATTAAAATTACACTACCTAAATTTGTCCTTTATATTTCTGGAATTCCGTTTTCATCCAATTCATTTAAAAAACTCCATTTAGTATACATTCTAAAACATTTCCCTGCAGCAACCCTACCAGCTCTTCCTGCTCTTTAATCTGCAGAAGCTTTTGATATTGGAGTTACTATCAACGATTCCATTCCTGTTCGTGGATTGTATGATGTTTATTTTGCAAAACCTGTATCTATTACATATATTATATTGTCTATTGTTACTGATGTTTCTGCTATGTTTGTTGATAAAACTACTTTTCGAGAACCTTAAGGAGTCTTTTCGAATATTTTTGCCTACATATCAGAAGGAAGAGATGAATAAATTGGACAAATAATTAATTCTCCAATTTTATTTCCTAGCCCTCTTTTTCGATTCATGAGCATTTCTTCCGCAGTTTCAATTTCTTCTTGTCCTGTGAAAAATACAAGGATATCTCCAGCTGATTAAGTAACATGAATTTATAAAACAGTAACAATAGCAGCTTAAATATAATCAGATTCAGGCTATTTAGTATAATAAATATCTACTTAAAATCTTCTTCCTGGAATTTTAATAATAGGAGCATTATCAAAATATTCAGAAAATTTCTTAGCATCTAATGTTGCAGAAGAAATAATTAATTTAAAATCATCCCTTGCCCTTGTTAAATCTTTTACCAAAGCAAATAAAATATCTGTATGTAAAGTACGTTCATGTGCCTCGTCAATAATCATTACAGAATAAGTCTTCAAGTCTGGCTCCATCATAAACTCTCTTAAAAGCATACCATCAGTCATATATTTTATTATAGTTTTTTCACTTGTACAATCTTCAAAACGAATCGAATATCCTACATCGTTTCCTAATTTTGTTCCCATTTCTTATGATACCCTTGAAGCTACAGACATTGCAGCTACTCTACGGGGTTAAGTGCAACCTATTTTACCTTAGAATGAATAACATAACTTCATGTAGATATTAAGGAACTTAAGTTGTTTTACCAGACCCAGTTTCGCCTACCATAATTATTATTTTGTTTTCGCGAATTAATTTCAAAAGTTCTTCTTTGTATTTGTATATTGGTAATTATTCTCTCACTAATTGCATTTCTGATTTATTTTTATCCATTAACTATTTTTATTTTATACTTTCATCCTCTTAAGATGAGTCTTTATCTGAAGAAGAGGAAGATTTGGTTTATTTTTTCTTATTTTTATTTGCTTCTATTTATACTTCTTTAATAATATCATTTTTAATAAAATCAATTTAATTCTAAATTAATAATTCATAATTTTTTTTATATTATTATTCCAATTTTAATTAAGTATTTTTAGAAATTATTTTTTTGGATTATTCTTCTTCCCATTTATCCTTTTCATTTGGTTCATATCTTACATCTTTATATTTTTAATGAAGAACTTCTTAAGCTTTCTTTTAATCTTTTTTTCCTTCCACATCTTCAAACAGCTAAGGCATTTCAAACATTTCGGCTTCTTATTTATTTAAATTAAAGGCTTAAACAGATTCATAGATTTATTTTTTTTATTAATAAATTTTTATTTCTTATTCAGTTACTTAATAATTCTTTATCATAAATTCTTCATTTTCTAATTCTCTCCTCATTTTTTCTAATTATTTTCCTTCTCGATCTTCTAAATATATTTGTCTTGCTTTTTACTTTAGTTAAGGTATTAATTCTTCCTTTTCTTCCATTGATAAGTTAAATCCTATTTATTTTTAAGCTCCCCCTTTCATAAACTATTATTTTTTTAAATCCTTTTCTTTTATTTTTCTATCTATTTCATTTCTTTCTTCTAAATCTTTTCTTTTGTCAATTTCTTTCTTCTTTTCTTCATTTTCTTTTATATTTTTTGGTTCTTCTATTTTAATTTTTTTCTACGTTTCAGGCTCCTCTTTGTCTTTTGGATCTTCAACTATTTAATAATTTATATTTTTTATATATTTATGTTGCTTTTCTTCTCTCTTCTATTATATATTTGTTTGGTTGCTGACTAGTTTACGTATTTGCCTGTAATTTTTAATATAATTAATCTATAAATGATTTTGCGCTTTATTATTCTGTTGGAAAATCAATCGCCTATAAACTTTCAACTAGTTTTTCTTTTGACTTTGATTGTAATGCAGCTACTTTTATATAATCAACTGTTGTTTTATCTGAAAAACCTATAATAGTATGCAAAGTGTCATTAATATAATTATCTATATTTTACATTTTTTCGAAATAAAAACAATATTTTATATATTTATTTTTTTAGAAAATATTTATTAAAAGAAATAAATATAAATATTTAATTATTTTTTTTATAAATATAAAATCAATATTTACTATTTATATTTATATTATAAAAAATCTATATAATAAAAATATTAATTATTCTTATTAATAGTTTTTTTTATTAAATCTTTTTACATTATTTTTAATTTTATAAAATTTTAAATTAAATAATTATAAAGTATTAAAATAAAAAATATATGAAATTAAATATAAGTAACTATTAAAAAATTTTTAAAAAAGATGATAATTAATTGATTTCAATTGAAAAAAAATAGCTTATATCAATAAATAATTTAGAATAATTTTTAGATATTACATAAATTTAAAGATTAAATCTATCCCGTAATAATTTGCAAGAAATAGAGCCTATATTTTTAAAAATGCCTTTTTTGAAATAATTAGACTTATCTTTTAACCACATCAAGTTTATTTCATATTTATAAAATTGTACATAATTAGAAATATTAAACTTATCAACAAACAGGTTAATAAAAGTAGATAAGCTTAAATAATGCAAAAGCTTAAAAGTTTTAGTAATTTTTCAAAAATTTAAAAATATATATTAATAAAAATTAAGGATTTAAGTTTAAATTATATAGAAGAAATAGAAAATTTAGAGTTACCATAATTAGAATAATTATATTTGTAAGGAAATAAAATAGATTTACTACCTTTGTTTAAAAATGTTCCAAGGCTAAGAATTTTAGATATATCAAATAATGAAATAAAAGATTTAAATGCCTTATTAATAGATAAATCTTTAAATTATTTAGAAAGTATAAATTGTTCTTATAATTAACTTCCAGCCTAATACTTGGAAGACTTGTGCCTTATTATTTAAAGTATGCCAAATTTACTTTAGTTATAATGTACTGGTAATGAAATTACTTTGAATAATATTTATAAGTCAGCCATTTTGACAGCTAAAAGCTAAAAAAATTAGATGGATTAGAAATATCAGATAATATGTTGGATTAAATATAAGTAAAAATAAAATTTATATAATTTTTTTATAATCCAAATAAAAAAAAAAAAGAATCTTAAAAAAACAAAAAATTTCGAAAAAGCAGCTGAAGATACAAATAAAGATTTCCTATAAAGGCTAAAACAAGAAAACGAAGCAAAATTATCAGTTAAGAAATTACTTAAGGATCAAATTGATCTTGTAGAAGAAATATTTTAAAAATACTAAGCAAAAACATAAAAAGAATAATTAGATTTCCTGGAGTGTATAGCAATTATTGAAAAAAGATTTAGATAGGGAAATAAACTAAATTTAGATGATGATGTTATTAATTTATGGAAGTTAAGGATTAAATAGAATGATGAAAATTTAAAGAATAAAGCTTAATTGGCTAAATAAATTGAAGATAATTAACGATAATTACTCTTACAAAAAGAAATTGATGGTTTAACTTTAAGAGTTTTTTATTTTATTATTTTTTATTTGATTAATTTTAAAATAGTAAAAACTATATAAAATTGCTTTGGAAGATCCTGATTTATGGAGAGATTTAAAAACTAAAGAAATACAATAAATATACAAGGAAGAAAAAGAAAAATAATTAAATAATATAAATCAAATTAATGATAAAAGTATGGTAAATTACACTCAATATTAATAAGATTAAGTTCAAAGCATACAAAATAATTTAAAAAATCATATTTAAATGATTAATGATTATAGTAATTATGATAATTCAAATAATTAAAATCTTATTCAAAATAATAATTATATTTCTAATTTGAATATAAAAGATTCTAATATTATTTAAAAAAGTATTCTGAAACCTTATTAATTATAGGATTAAGAATAAAATAAATTATAAGATTAAGAATAAGAATAAATAATGCTTATAAATTAGAAAAGATTTATGATAGTAACGATAGCAACATAAAAAAATAAAAACAAAATATAATTTTTAACATTAAAAACTTTTAAAAATTATATTTCATTCCTAAAAAATAAAAATTTATACAAATAAATATATATTTAAGAATTTAAATATATTTACTTAATATATTTTAAAAAATAAATAATTATAAAAATATATATATATATATATATATATATATCACTATTAATTTTGTCAATTATTTAAATAATTTAAATTAAATTTTTAAAGAAAAAAAAATATTAATAAAAATAAAAAATGGATAAACATAAACCATTAGGACATTAATTTGCTAAAAAAGATGTAAATTTAACTAAATATAATATTAATATAGTTAAAAATAATAGTTATTATAAACAAAACCAAAAATAACGAACAAATATACAAATGTTAAAAAAACTATTAATAGCGGAGTTACTGTCAGAGATGTAGATGTTAAAAGTAAAATTAAATAACAATAGCAAGATTATTAATTTAAATATATTTTATTAAAAGGCGATAGATTTATAGCTAAAAAGAAAAGCGAAAATTTCGGTAGAATTAAACCTTCATTTTTATCTGAATTGCTTTAACAAGACAAAAATACAGAAAGTGTATATGAATTAGTAGATAATAATTCTAAATAAAACTATGAAAATGATAATTAAAGTATAACTTCTATATATAATGCGGAATAAAATGTAGATTTAAATGTAAAAAATAAATTAAAAAAAAATATTATAAATAATAAAATAGAAAATCAAAAAAAAAAATATAAAATAAATGAATATAATATATATTTTTATTTAAATTAAATAATTAGAAATTATAAAAAATTATATAAAAATAAATAATAATATATGTATATATATAATAAATAATTATATAATATATATATATATATATATATATATTTATATACATATATTAATACAAATTTCAATATTTAAAATAAAGAATTAATAGCCTGATTTTTTAATTTTAGATATTCGTGATATTTGTGAATATGAAAAATATAAAATAAAAGAATCATTGCCATATCCTCTTATTATGATTAAATAAGATAAATAAATTCCTTAACTACATAAATATGTAATTTTTTTTTTGTTATTTTACTTAAATAATAATAGAAAAATGCTTATAATAAACATATAATTTTGTATGGAATAGACGAGAAATAAGGAATCTTGGCTGGATAACTATTTTTCGAAAAAGGATTTGATAATATTTATATTTTAACTAAAGGTATTGAAAATTTTGCATAAGAGTTTCCTAATTTGATTGAAGGAAATATCCCAGAAAGCATCAAAACTACTAATATTTAAAAAGAAAAGAAATATGTTTAAGATAAAAATGGTAAAGATGCATAAAGTTTAATGAATAATACAAACAATATGAGCCAAATTAAAACATTAACTTCAAATAATTCTGTTATTAGTTAAAGAACTAATTAAACTCTATCAATTAATTAAAAAAAACAAAAAGAAAATTAAGTCAATTGAAAAAAATATTTAAAATTTAAATTATTATAAAATAAAAATAGTAAAAATAAATAAATTTTAATATTTTTAAAAGAAATTTAATTATTTTTTACTTATATTAATTTTTTAAAAAAAGAAAAAAATTTAAACTTATTTTAACTTTTTTATAAAATTAAATATTAAAAAAAAAAAAACAACATTTAAATATATACATTATATTCTATAAAAAATATATTTTCATAAACTTTATTTTAATTATTTTTTTATAAAATAATAATTTTAGAAATCTTAATAAAAAATAATAATAAAAAAAATTTAATATTAGTATAATATTAATTCATTCTTACTTATTTAAGTAAATTTTGCTATTTATATCTGTACTTTGACATCTATTAATTTTTTAAAATTATTTTAAAAATTAATTTACTTTTATATGTGTATATTCTGTATTTAAGTTTCTTTAGATTTTTTTTATTTTATTTTTACATTATAACTAGTCTAATCAATATAGTTTTGAAATTTTGTTTAAGTTTAATTTTAATTCCTTTATTTATTTTTATTAAAAATAGTCTGGCTTTAGATAGTTTTAATAAAAGCTTATTATTATATTTATTTAAGAATTGATTTTTATTAATTTTAATATAAAGACATAGTTTTTTTATTACTACTACTTTTATTTTCTTATTTATTTTTTTATCTATTTGTATTCCCTTATTTATTATGTGGATATGTATTAAGGTGAATAAAATTCTATTTTTTTTTTTGAGTATCAGTTGAAAGTTCTTGCCTATTCATATTATTATTAATATTTTCTATTTAATTAGTATGTAGTTCACTAGTACTTCTTTTAGTACGTGTCTAATAATATTTATGTGAATTATTGCTTTATTGTTAAATTTAGTTTTGTTTTTTATTCGTGCTATTATTTGAATCTACTAAATGTTATTTTAAAAAATTTATCTTATTTTATAGTAATTTTTTTATTATATTATTATTAGACTTTTTTTGTTTTTTATTAAAAATAATATATTTTTTTTTACTTTTATTTATTAAATTAAATCTTAGTTTTTTAATTGTATTTATTCTAAACTTTATTATGTTTAATCTAATTTTTCTTAACAATTTTCTAAATATAATTTCAACTATTACTCTACTCTTATATGTTATCTGCATTCAGCTTCTACGATTTATAACATTTTTTCATATTTGTTAATGATTTCTTCTTTTTCTTAATAAAAAAAGTTGGAATTAGTTTACTAATATTGCATCTTCGATTTTATTAAGTAATTTATTATCTATTTTATGTATTAGCATAAATATTATTCTTCAATAATTTATATTTCTTCTATTTATTCATCTAATGGAATTACTTTATAAAGATCTTAAAACGATTTCTATGTTTTTTTTAAATTTTTTATTATTGTTATTTTAATATTTACAGAATCTATTTTTTTTAACAATAGATAAAAATGTCCGAAATAAAACTTTTGGTTTGCTAACTTTTGCTAAAATTTTTATTTTTTTCATTTAATTATAAATTTATTGAATTGTTTATACTACTTTAATTGATTATATCCAACATTTTTTAATAATTTTTAATTATTCTTTAATAAAGATAATGTGAATATTTTTTTTTTTACTGTTTAAATATTTTTTTTTATATAAATTAATTTAATATTGGAGTAAATATAATATTTATATATTTATTTTTAATTAAACAAAATAAATATAATTAATAATCATTATAATATCAAATGCAAATTAATTTTAAGTAATGTATATAAATTATAACTCTTGATCTTTTTGATTAATTATAAAATCAATTTGAAACATATTATTTAAAATATTTTAACTTTAATCAAAAAAAAATATAAATGAAATAAAAATCCATAAATAGTAATAATCATAACTTATTATTTAATTCTGATATTTTTTTGTATTATTATGTTTTTTTTGTTTGTTTAACTTAAATAATAAAAACATAAAATAGGTTAGAAAAAGTGGAAAATTGCATTTTTGTTTTGTTTTGTTATTGGATTGAGTTTAATAAAAAAATATTACGGAAAAAAAGAAAAAAAGATTATTTATTTAGACCATTTAATATATAAATTTTTTATCTTTTAATGAATAAGTAATATGTTTGTCTGTTTTCATTGTTATTAGCAGTAAATTTCAATAAAATTATCGGTTAAAGCAAACAAAATTTTCAAATCATTACTAAGGAAAATCTTCTTTATGTTTTCCTGAGAAGTAATTTTTATTTTTTCTATTTCTTTATAAAAATTATATCTTAAATCATATTCTTATATTTCCTTTATATCATAACAAAAAATATAATTGCTTCTTTTTCCTTGTGTATAAAAAATAAATAAACAAACATTATAAAAGAATAAAATAATATTTGTGTTTTACCGATAAACAAAAGTCCTTTTTATTAATCAATATATAAAATTTGATTATAATTAGATATTTTTTCACCGATATCAATGTCAAGTATAGGAAAAAAGTTTAAATTTTTCTGAAAAAAAATAATTTATAAATACATATATATATATATAATTATTTAATATACTCTTTAAACATCTACATCAAACTTTCTCATTTTATGTTTATTATTAGCAGTTTTAATAAATATTCCCATATTAATATAGCCTTAGCTAGTTAAATACAATATAAATTTTCCATAAAAAAGACATTAAATAACTTAAACTGTATGTTCAATATCCTCTTATGCTAAAATCTAAATATTATACAAAGATTTTTCTATCTTTATGCAACTAATTTTATTTTTCTACTTTACATAATTTAATAAAAAATTTAAATAAATAAATAAAACCGTTTAATCTTAATCCATCATCATAGTTTTGATTTAATTAGTTATTTGCCAAACTTATAATGAACCATCGCCACATGAAGATAATATATGAGTTTCCTCTAAATCAATAAATATAGAATTATATTATGACATAGGAGAAGTAGAAATAAAGTCTTTAAATTAAACCAACTTTTACATTAGTTAAATATTTGAAATATATATGCAACCATCTTTTCCACATGATAATACTATATTTCTTTTTTAATTAATAAATTAATATATAAATTTATTCATTATTTTACCTATATCTTTAAAATATTTTAATATCGAATATTATATCTCCATGTACTTAAAAGTTTATTATATGCTATTTTTTACATTAAATAAAATGTAAAAATCCGCTTGAACCTCCTGTTATCACTCCTAAATATTCTATATATATATATAAAAAAAAGAAAATTATTAATTTAAATAAATCATAAAAATAATTAAATACATTTTTGTTAAGATTATAAAACCATAAATTAAATAACATAAAGATTTTCTTTAAAATCTTTAAATAAGCTTTTTCTATAATCTCTAATGAACTATACGTATTTTTATTTATTCTTTAGATATGATTTATATTAATACTCATTATCATTAACTTCAAATAATATTGTTTATTTACTAATATGTTTTAATTTTTAGTCTTCTGGTTTATAAATATAAAACTCTACTTCATTTTAACCTGCTGCAGCTATAAAAATATACTGATTACTTTAATAAAATGCGCAATCAGCTTTCTAAGATTAAAATTTTTTGCTATTCAACTTTTTTAGTTTACTTAGTTTAAATAAGTTAAATTTTAATTATTATGATTATTGAGATTTTAACTAGAGTAGATTATTAATATTTAGTTTTTAATTTTGTGAATCTTTTTAAAATTATAGAACTATGTCTTCAATTATCCTATCGAATCTTTCTAATTATGAAAAATTATTATTTTAATTATTACTATAGTCAATATTTTAAAAAGTATTTTCGCTTGTATTTATTTAATTATAATTCATTTTTAAAGTTTTTTAAAAAAATAATAATTTAATATAAAAATCTATACTGAAAATTTAAGCTAAAAATTTTAATTTATTAAAAAATATTCAAATATTTAGTTAATCAAATAAATAATAATTTATTATAATATATTAATATTTATATTATTAAAAATTTTTAATCTATTAAAATATACTTTACAAATATTTTAAGTTTAGTTTTTATTAATATTTAATAACATAAAGGTTTTTCATATTAATTTAAACTAAATTTTTTAAATTTACAATATATACAATTATATATTCTAATTAATTAATAATATATTATGATTTTATAAAATTTACTTGATTTGTTTTTAATTTATTACTAAAATAAAATATTTATATTTATTTTATAATATTTATTTATTATTTCATATTTAAAATTCTTCATTATTTTACTTTAGATTAAATTTCTAAGACTAATAATTATAAAATTCATTCTAAATTTCCTGTAAATAATTTAAATTAGTTTTATTTATTGAAAAAGAGTCATTAACCTTTAATTACTACCTTTATTTATCTTTCATTTTTCATATTAAATTAAATTGTTTTACGAAATAAGAATACTTTCTATTTATTTACATTTTTATAAAAAGATTAATTATTAAAAAAAATATTATCGATAATATTGTTTTCATTTAAATTTAAATTATATTTTTATTTAATCTTTTATTTTTTTAATATTAGGCTCTATGTTTATTTTTTAATTAATAATTCAATCGATTTTTTACATTGATGTATGCTCTTCAATTTAAATAATTAATTTTTATTTTTAACATTTTCTATAGTCTTTATAGATGTTTTCTTTTTGTTATAAGTAGATAGTTTATATATTCTAACCATTAAAAGCTTTTTTAATACATTTATGAGTTTTAAATAATTTATTTATATAATTAATTTAATTTATGTTTCAGTAAAATCACATCTCAAAGCTCTCAATCACATTAATTAATTATTTTAATAATCTTTGCATAATTTTAAAAATATTTTTTAAAAATTTAAGTTATTTATATTGATTAATAAATAAATTTGATTTAATATTAAGTTATTCTTTATATATTTTTTAAAAAAAATTATTGATATTTATGTTTTTAATATTTTTTATTTTATTCTTCTATATTTAATTTTTTCGCTATATTCATTATAGAATTTTAGATTTCATATCTATTAAAATTGATATAGTTGTATTTTTTTAGAACTTATAAATTACGAAAATACAAAGAATGTTAAAAAATAAACTAATTTTAAATTTGATCTCGAAATCTTATTGAATTCGAATTCGAAGGTTCACAATTTTATTTTTTAAGTTTATAACACTTATTTATTTTTTAATGTTTTTAAATTAAATATTTTTATTTTATTTTTCTTAATAACAAATAAAAAGATGAATAAATAAATATTTTTAATGATATTATTTATTAAATCAAATAAATATAAATATTAGTTTATTTTCAAATTTACTAAATTGAATAAATATTCTTTATATGATATAATAATAAATATAAATAACTCAATTTATTTAATTTATAGATTTTTAATAATTTACTTATTCTTCGAATTCTTAATAATTAACTTAATCAATTTTATCCATTAAATTTCCCACAAGTTCTTCATTAACAAGTTTATTTTTTATTTTTCTATAATAAATCGAAAGTACAATATTTATAGGAATTGAAATGAATCCAATCCAAAACGAAATACCAAACATTTTTACATTTAAAATAATATTTATATTTGAGCTTTTATATTAATAATAAAGAATATATCCAAAACAAGTTGAAAATCCGCCTAAATAAAATAAAATAATTGTAGGGTGTAAATAAAAAGCTTTAATGCAAGATCTATTATCTGAATTTTTCTTTAGTCTAATAATTCTATATAAGTCTACACATTATAAAAATAAGCCTGCTATAATAAGTGCGAAAGCAGCATATCCAATTTTTTTAAGCTACTCAAATTTATCATTACATAATTATTTATCTATAACATTTTCTTAATAACAAATAAAATATTTACTATTCTAATATGCATTAAATGTCATATATTATTAATTAAATTATCCACTATCATTGAACACATATAACATATTTAACCATATTACTTCTTTTTATTTTGTCTTCTCATTTATATCAGTAAATTAATATATTTATAATTAATACCATTAATAAAACAAAAATGAAAATAAAAACAAAATAAAGTTGGTTATATTTAGTATTAATAAAAAACAAAAATTATTATTTATTATTTTGCGTTAATGGTTTCTTTCTATTAAAAGAAGCTACTTTTCTTCAAATAACTAATGTGAATATTCATTTTAATCGAAATTTTTCATTTATATTATTTATTTATAAATATAGAATAATATATTTATTTAATTAAAAGTAAAATATAACTATAATATATATAAGTAAACATAATAAATTTTCTACATATAAATATAATAATAATAATTAAATATTTTTAATTTGTTATAAAAATATTAATATTTATTATTTATTAAAATTTATATTAATTTTAATACATAGTTTTAATATTAATAATTCAACTAATTTATAATTAATGTTAATTTATAATTTAAATTTAAAATTAGATAAAGTATATAATATTCAATATTTCATATATCAAAAAAAAAATTTTTAAATTTTTAAGCAATATATATAATATAAAGTAATAATATTTAAATATTAAATAAATATAAATATCTAAAATTAAAACGATTTTATTTAATTATAATTTTTTATTATATTGAAAGATATATTATATCTATTAAAAATTAAAAATAAAAAAATATTTAATTTAAGTTAAAATTATTATATAAATAAATATATATATATATATATATATATATATATATATATATATATATATATTTATATGTGTTTTTTATTTAGAATTACTACTTTTTTTCTATACAGAAAGCTATTATAAACATATTATTTTTAATTTAATATATTCTTTTGAATATTCATGCTATATTATATTTTCTTTTATTTTTACTATGTCTCTATTTATCAAATAAGTATACTTTTATAAAATATAGTATTTAAATATTATTATGCGTTTAAATATTATCAAAATTTTTTAATATGTATTTATAAATTTTATGCAAATCATTTAAATTATTTTCTAATCCTATAAATATATATAATTATTATATTATAAGTTATTAATAAATATTATTTTTTCTATCTATAAGTTATTTAAAAATATTTTTTATTATAATAAAACAAAAATTATTTATTTTTTTTAAATACGTTTTTTGGTTTTAATTTTTTATAAGATTTAAATATAAAATTTTTTAAAATAAAATCCTTATTAATAGCAAAATTTATATATTATTAAGATTTTCTATTTTATTATTTAATTAAAAGGAAATAATTATTTTTTTAAAATAATTAAGCAAAATCATATACTATTAAATTAATTAAATATTTAATATTAATTATGAATTGTTAAAATCATAAAAAGAAGATACAATTCATTTGTTTTGAGCCATCATGTAGTGCAAAGAGATTTTTCTGTTAATAATGTAATTAAAGTAGTCATTTAAATCATAACATTAGTGACTTAGATTCTTTTTATTCTACAATAGCTAACTAAATTTAGCAATAATAAACATTTTTAACAAAAATAAAAAACTAATTTAGAGATTTAGATACTATTATTGATAATTTACATAAAAAATTAAATAATGAATTAAAATTAAAGGAATAATATATATTAAATTTAATAAATACTAATGTTAACATATTTGAAAAAATATATGATATGTAAAATTGTAATACCTAAATAAATGAAATAGAATATAATATAAATAAATTTATAAATTGTTCTATAAAAAATGAATAATTTTGCTATAATAGTATTATAAAAATCGAAAATATAAAAAAGCAAATTGAAAGAAGTTGTTTTTTTATCAAAAACTACATAAGAAATACGCCTTAAACAGATTTTTAAACAATTAATTATCGAATTTCTACTGCTTTTTAATTTTAAGAAGATAATTTTTTGTAATTTAGATATTTATATAACTATATTTTTAAAACTTATCTTTAAAAAAAATAAAAAGGAATTAAAGTTAGTAATTTAATGAACTTGAACAAAAAATAAGATTTATTAATTAAAAAAATAACTTAATAATTTAAAAAATGGAAAAAATATTAATATTTGATAAATAATTCAATAAAATTTACTAAAAGTCTATTGGTTCAGATGGAGATAATGATAATTATTGCTTTATATCAAAATATAATTAAAATAATATAATTTTTAGTAATTTTAACGATATCGGAAATTTGAATTTTGAGTAAAAGTAAATAACAATGTTTAGAAGAAGAGACGAGTAATATGATGAGCATATAGTAATTGGAAGTTATGTATATATTGTAAATTATAATGAACTATTGAAATGTAAAATTTGTTTAAAATAAAAGAAGCTAAAGACTATTTCTAATAAATTAATTGCAGTAAATTAACTTTAAAAAATAAATCAAAATATATTAAGTTATATTTATTTTGGATAATTATATTTAATAAATACTAATAATGATAAAGTTATTTAAAAAATTAAAATTCATAATGAAATGATTATTTAATATTAATATAGCCCTTTTTATTAAAAATTCTTTATTTTAACTTAAAAAAAATATATTTATATATTTTCTTTGTTTGGAAAATAATTATACAAAACATAATATGATGCTAGTAAAATTAAAATATTAGGAAATAACTATATTGCTATTTCTTATCAAAATATTATTGAACTAAAAAATTTGATTGACTTTAACACTTTTAATGTTATTAAATTAAACTAAAGTTTTATTGTTAAAGATATTGAATTATTTAATTAAACATAAATACAAACTCAATTGATTGTTCTAACTAATGATAATTTAATTAGTATAAAGTTTAAATAATGATTTTTCAATTATTTACTTATTTTTATTTTATATTTTAATATTTAATTATTAAATAGTTTATATTTATTAAATGTTTTAAATGATATTAAATAAAATAATAAAATATTTAATTTAAAAATATTGGTTTTCAATAGAATATTTATATTTATATTTAATATATTTAAATATATATATATATAATTATATAATATGATCAAAGATTAAGTAAAAAATATTGAAGATAGGCTAATTCATTAAAACTAAAAAGATTTAATAAGCATATAAATAAAAAAAAAGAGTATAAATTCAAATGATAATAATTAAATAAAATAAGCATTTTAAAATTTGGATAGTGATAAAAACATTTAAAACATCTAAAATTAGACAATAGTAATAAAAAATCACATGGAATAAATAAATAATGACGACATTAATTATTATAAGCCAATAAATATAGAAAAAACTAACTATAAAAGAGATAATCATTAATCTTTAAGAAATTAAAAAGATTAATAAATAAAAAATTATAATTTACCTGAAGAAGAAACAATTGTTTAAAATGAGTTTCCAATAAAAATGCTTTAATCAAAATTTAGTTTTTAATATACTTATTTGTGTTTTTTTAATACTTTATTAATTATAGCTGGATATATACTTTTTAATTATGTAAATTAATATTGGTTATTAATTGTAGGCGGGTCTTTTTATTTTCTAGAATGTATTCTTACTAACTTTTAAAATATTTATAATTTAAAAATTAACTTTTAATAATTTAATAATATTTATTAAAATGCTCTTGAAGAAAACCCATAAATTTCTTATAAAGCATAATCTTTTGCTTTAGTTTCAAATGATTAGAAAGGAAAAAAATAATAAACTAAAAATATAAAAACACTTATTTTTTCTGATTAAAGATCCTTTGATTATAAAAAATGCATAAATTTTAGTCACCCATTAGAATAGTATGAACATTTTTTTATTAATAATGGCATTTTTAAAGTATAGGCAAATATTAAATGGGAATGTGGAAACAAAAATACATAAAATGAATATTTACATCTTCAAAATAAAATTGATAATTTATGTAAAATAAAAAATAATGAAATAAAAAGATTCGAATATGCTTAGTTTATTGATTTTTAAAATAATTTTATTGTAATAAATTAAAAAAGTAGAAATAAGTTAAAATTAGCTTTTTTTAATAAATTTTCATTTTACTTTTTTTCTTTTTTACTTTTATCATTTCCATATAGGCTCTATTATATTAATTCTATAGATAATTTTGAAATATGTTTCTTTAAAAAAATTTATATTTGAATTTTCTTAAATTGATAAATACTTCATAAGATAAAAAAATTAGTTGTATTTATCATTTTTATTTATACAATAATTTAATTAAAGAAATTAATATTGTAATTATGGAATAATAAAAAATTTATAATTATAGATGTAGCAATATTTATTTAGTATGAATGTTTATATTTCTTCAAAATAATATTTTGTTTATTTTAAATATATTTTATATATATAAATTATAATAAGATTTTGAATACAATATAAAAAATATAAATATAAATATTAATCTTAATTTTTTATATTTTAAAAATATAATCAATACTTATTATTTAATTAATTACTATTTTATATATATATTTGAATATAATATATACATTTTTTTAAAGTTATATATTACTTAGTTATATTGTATTTTCTCATTATTCTTGCATAGTTTTATCGTTAATAACACTATTACTACTTGAAAAATTATATTTTTTTTATTTGTATTTACAACTATTTTTATTACTAAATGATTAAATATATTAATAAAAAAATTGAAATTTTTTGATAATTTGAAAAATAATTAAAATACTAAATAAAAATATTACTTTTTTTTATATTTTTCTGTCTTTTTTTTATAAAATAAAAAAAACAAACAAAAAGGCAAATAAAAAAATTAACTGATACATATTTTATTATTTTGATTTTTTTTTTAAATAACAGAAAAACTATATGAACTAATAATATATTTATAAGATTTAGAAAAAAAAAAATTAATTAATTATTTTATATATTATATTTTATAATTAATTTATATTAAATTTACATTGAATTATAATTATAATATATTTTTAAACATTTTCTTAATACTATTTAAATAATGTCATTTAAAATAGATAGGAGTTTAAATGTGTAAGGCCATATATTATTTAATCAAACTAAAAATTAATTATAATATTATTTTAAACTAAATAATAATTAATTATATTATTAAATAAATATTTAATTAATAATAATAAAGATTTTATTAAAAATAGATTATATTTTAATAAAATAAAAAGTAAATTAAATTAAAAGTCTTATGAAATTTAATGTTTTCAAATTTTACATCAACTTTATTTTTATTTTATTACAGTTTATTAATAATAAAAAAAAATGCAAATTAACTTATTTTTTTGAATTATACTTTAAAAATAGTTTAAAAAAAAAAATTAATAACTAATTTTTTTTAAGGTTATTTTAATTTAATATGTTATTATCAATAAATTAAAATATTTTTAATTAATTTATATTACTTTTAATTTATTTTTTTTAAAATTAATAAATAAAAATATGTTGTCATAAACACGTGTTTTTAATTTTAACTTATAACATATAAAAAAAAAGATATAGCATAAACAAAAAATTAAATACCTAATAATTCAATACAAAAAATAATAAAATAAAACAACAAATTCTAAAATAACAAATGAGTAAAATATTAAATATGTTAGCGCCTGTAATGGCATTAATCCCTGAAGTAGAGAATCCCATGAAAAAGGTAATATTAAAAAAATAAAAATTTAAATATAATATTTTATAAATTAAAATTTAGGTTCTTCCTTTCAGAAGTAGAGCTATGTGGACAATTATAGTAATTTTAATTTACCTAGTAGCTTGCCAAGTTCCTTTATATGGGGTCGTATCTAATTCTTCGTCAGATCCTTTTTATTGGTTAAGAGTAATTTTGGCTTCAAACAGAGGTACTATTATGGAATTGGGAATATCTCCAATTGTAACAGCTGGTATGGTAATGTAATTATTAGTAGGAACTAAAATAATTGAAATTGATTAGAATGTAAAATCAGATAAAGCCTTATTTGAAGGAGCTTAAAAACGTAAAAAAATATTTTAACTATTTGGTAAATTTTGGTAAATAAAAAAAAAAAGTTTTGGGTTTAATTATTGCTTTTTGTGAAGCCGCAGCCTATGTATGGAGTGGAATGTATGGAGACATAGAAAAAGTAGGTAGTGGAAATGCTATATTAATAGTGTTATAATTAACTTTTGCAGGAGTAATTGTATTAATGCTTGATGATTTACTATCAAAAGGACATGGATTAGGAAACTCTGCTATATCTTTATTCATAGCTATAAATATATGTGAGACTCTATTATGGAAATCATTTTCTCCAATTACCTATCCTTCTGAAAGTGGAGATTAATATGAAGGTGCAATAATAAATTTATTCCACGGCTTAATATTCATGCCAAATAAATTACATGCATTACAAAATGCATTTTATAGATAAGGGCTCCCTAACATAAGTAACTTAATATCAACAGCAGTAATATTTTTAGTTGTGATTTATTTCTAAGGATTTAAAGTTGATATTTCTATAAAAAACAGCAGAGTAGCAGGACAAATATAATCATACCCAATAAAATTGTTCTATACTTCAAATATGCCTATTATTCTTTAAACTGCACTTGTTTCAAATTTATACTTCTTCTCTTAAATGCTTTATAAACAATTTTCTGGAAACTTTCTTATTGGATTATTAGGAAGATGGTAATAAGTCGAAGCTGGTGGTAATCACTTCGTACCTACTGGAGGTCTTGTTTATTATCTTTCACCTCCTCGAGGACTTTATGAAACTATTAGTGATCCTTTACATACTATTCTTTATGTTGCATTTGTACTTACTACTTGTGCTATATTTTCTAAAACATGGATTGAAGTCTCTGGATCTTCTGTTAGAGATGTTGCTAAATAGTTAAAAGAATAAGGTATGAGTCTTATTGGTTCTAGAGATATAGGACTTAAAAAGCATCTAGCAAGATATATTCCTATTGCTGCTACTTTTGGTGGTATGTGTGTAGGAGCATTAACTATCGTTGCCGATTTTATGGGAGTTATTGGATCAGGTATTTTTATTTATTTTTTATTTAATTTATTTAAATATTTTTATTATAGGTACAGGTATATTACTTGCTGTTAATATTGTTTATGGATACTTTGAATAATTTAAAAAAGAAAAGGAATAAGGAACATTAGAATTTTGAAGGCTATAAGCTATTATCTTATTTGTTTTTTATATTTAATATTTAAATGAAAAAAAAAAAAATTAATTTGAAAAAAATATTTGTTTTTTCATTTTTTATGATTTATTTATTTTAAATGTTTAAAATATTTTAGATTTTATGTATTATTTCATAATTAATAATATTTATTTAATGATTTTTAATGTTTATTTTTATTTATTTAAAATAAATAGAATTACTATAAAGAAATTACTTATTTTATGTTGATATTTTAATTATTATGCATAATTTAAAGATTTTATCAATAATAATAATATTAAATATTTGTCTTATTTGTCAAAAAAATTACAAATGGAAACAAATTATTGAAATTTATGATATTGATAAAATATTATAATCGTTCGAATATTTCAAACAATAAATTAATAATATTTTTAAATGAAATTAAACATTTTAAATAAGTATATTAAACTTTAATTAATAATTATTAAAAATCTCTAAATAATTTATTAAGAAAAATAAGTTTTTTTAAGTTTTTAAAATAATAAAAAAATTAAATATATATTTTTTTTTAAATTAATGAAATAAAATAAAATTCAAAATTCATTAAGATTATTATTCTAAACTATTACTACTAATACTAACTTTAGAAATAAGAGATTTTAATTATTCATTTATTTTTTCCCATTCTTTTTAATCAAAATATTTACCATAATTATTCCTATTTACATTAAATATTAAAAAATCAATTAATAAATAAATAAATAATTACTTGATATAAATAACTTTATTAAATTAATCAATTTCTGCATCAACAACTTTACTCATAATACCTAATATGACCCAATTTTCAACATCATTTTCAGAAATCTTAATATAAAAAATTATAAAAATATTAAATCTTTAAAAATACCTATAACTTTTAAGCAAATTCAGCATAAAGTAATAATTTCTCCAGATTTAGTTATTCTTCCAATTGATTAGACTCTTACTTTCTCAGAATATTAATCCTCATTAATATTAAGAGATTTAATAGCATTTGGTTTTTAATTCTTGAAATTTAAGTATCCTTAAACATCTCCAGTAATGAAGAAGGAGAAAATTTAGTATAAATCAGAGTTTGATTTTTCTAAATATTACATTCCTTAAGATTCAAAAATATTATTATACTCAGAAAGAATTTAACCTTATAAAATTAAATAAAGAATTTATTTTTTCGAAAACTCATTTTCTTCATTATTTATAGAATTAAAAGACTATAAATATTTTATAATTAATTTGCATTTTAATTCTTAACTAAAAAAAATAAAAAATAAAATATTTTTTATTTATAATTTTATTAACTATTTTTGTTTGTCTAAAACATTTATTATATGCTAATATAATCCTTATTTTTTATCATTGCTTATTTTCCATCCTTATGTAATTTCATCTAAATTGACTAAACTATTATTCAGAACACTTAATTTATCATGCTTTTTACTAAAGTTAATTATTTCTTTAAAAAGTTCTAATTAAATATTTGATTCCTTATCAAGTCCATTAAAAAGAATACCATATCTTTATAGATAATAATATATTAAAAATATTTTATTTTTTATATTATTTTTACAAATTTAATTTTTAATTTATTGAGTATTAGGTTTCTTTATCATTTAAATGAATAAAGGCTTAAAGTAATTCTTCTTTTTTTTCTTTTTAATTGCATTATTATATAAAATATGAAGTTAAAGCAGGAATTGTTTATAAAACTATTTTTAATAATACTATTAAATTTGTTATAATTTTTTATTTTACATTTATTATCTAGTCTGAATTTTAATCTAGCATCAAAAAGTAATTCTAATACACTGATATAATCTTTTTTTTGTAAATAGTTATTAGTTTATTCTTTAAATTATTCTAAATAGACTTGCTTGTTTTCATCATATGTTCCTTATCTCGTTAAAGTTTATTCTATATAAGTAGATAATCTTGAAATGTTCTCTAATTCGAATATTTATATTAATTAATAAGACATATTTAAAAAAAAATTATATATTATAATAAAAATATGATTATAAAAAAAAAGTATATAATAAAAAAGATATATTATTTTTAATGTTTATACTTCTTTTTTTTTTAACTTTTTTTTTTAATATAAAAATTATTTTTATATAAAGTTAAAAAATTTTCTTTAAAAACTAAATAAAAAAAATCATTAATTTATAATATTATATTTTTTATTTAATTAATTATTTAATAATTTTTAATTATAAAAAAAAAAAAAATATTAGAAATATAAGATAAAAAAAATTGATATTATTCAATTTAAATATATTTTTATTTAAATTTATATATAATTTTTATTTTAAATTATAGTATTAAAGAAATTATAAACATATTTTCTAATATATATATTGTAAAAATTTTTATAAATAACAATAATTTTTTTATTCTAAAAATTTTATATTAGGAAATCCATTTATAAAAATAATATAAAAAAAAATATTTAAAATACTTATAATTTTTGTATATATTTATTTATTATTTTTAGAATAATTACAAAATATATAAAATAATTTATATTTTCTTATAAATTAATATTTTACTCTAAAATTTCTAAATGAATGTTATTTGGATATAGTTTAATTAGTTTTAGAATATTTAATATTTAAAAAATTTAACAAATTTTAATTCAGCTTTTTTTATATTATTTTTTTCATATTAATTGTTAGAATTGTTTTGGGTAAAAAATCAAAAATTATTAAAAAAAATCTTTTTTATAGAAATTTTTTAATTTTCATATTAAGGATTTAAAATATTTTCGATTTTTGAAAATTCAATAAAAATATTTAAATTTATAAATGTTTGAATTTATTTGATAATAAAAAGAAATCATAATATATATATATATGTGCATAACTGTTAAATAATTGATTTTAATAATTATCGAAGAAATATTTGGAACATTCTTAACAAGCCTAAAATAAAAATTAATATATTTTGTTGTTTAAATATATCATTAACATTTTGTTTTTTGTATTCAGGGAAAAAATTCCATTCAAAACTATACACTATTATAGATAATTTTAAATTATATTTAAATTTAAAATATTTTAAAAGGTGGGTTAAATTTTTATTATAAAAAATTATTATTACATTTTGCAATAAAAGAAAAAAAACAAAATTGAATATAAAATTAATTCTATTATTTATATTTATTTTTCCAAAATAAATATTACGTAATTTTTTAACAAAGTATTTAAATGACAACATATTTAAATACTAATATAAATAAACAGAATTATAATTATACTTTTTAAAAATTTACATAATAATATAAATAAACAAAAAGTTTTAAAATAAAAATAAATAAAAAACATTTATATCAACAACAAAAATATATATATGAAAATTCTAATATATACATTATACATTATTTTATCAATAGTTCTGACTTAAGAATAAAAGTCTAAATAAAAACCTTTAGTAACTAACAAAATGCTAAGATATCTTGAATAAAAACTCCCTGAATATATTTAACCTATTTTCAATGAAGTTTTTGCAAATAATAAAGACTTATAATTTTCTACATGTACAGCCTGCTTATAATATTTTAAATTTTTTAGTTTTTTACAATTAGATAAACTAAAATATGTCTTAAAAATAATAGCAATTGATGTATGTAAATTAGAAAATAGTGAAAACGTAAAAAATTTTTTACTTATATTTTCAACTTATTTTTATTAAAATAGGTTTGTAAAGGATTAATGACAGATTATTTCGAATCTTTTGTATCAAACTTTTTTGGTAGATATTTGACAATAAAACATTTATGTACATATGTAAGAGCTTGTGAAGATACTCGTCAAAAAGTAGACTTTGAAAGCTGGAAATGGAAGATTTTAAGTAACAAACCGAAAAATTATATCGTGATAGACGAAGATTAATAACAATTAACTAAATCTTAAAAAGGTTTTAATATATTACATCTAGCTGATTTACATTTAGACCTTGAATATACAGAAGGATCATTATCAGAATGCAATGACTTTTTCTGTTGCAGGCCTGAAAGTGGAGATTATCCTTAAGAAGAGTCTAAAAAGCAAAATATTGGGGAACTTTAGCTAATTGTGATATTCCTTTAAGAACAGTAAATGCTCTTTTGAAAGACGCAGCGAATCAAAAAAAAAGGAAAAAAATAGATTTTATAATATGGACAGGAGATTCAATAAGTCACGATGTTTGGCATTAATAGTTTAGAAATTAGACTCTTCCTTAAGAACAAATAACTAATCTTATAAAAGATTTATTTTCAGATATACCAGTATATCCTATATTTGGAAATCATGAAAATTATCCTGGAGATCAATATGATATAACAGAAAAAGATAGCTCCAATTGGGTCAGAAGAAGATCTGCTAATATGTGGAAATAATGGTTAGATGAAGAAGGATTTTAATAACTTTATAATAATGGATATTATGCTTAATTTAATAAAGAATTCAACATAAGATTTATTGCTTTAAATACTTAAGTTTGTGATAATTTAAACTTTTTCCTTATTTTTAATAATACAGATCCTAATGCATAAATTGAATTTCTTTATTAATAATTAAATTTGGCCGAATAAAATAAATAAAAAGTCATTATCTTTGGGCATATTCCTATTGGAGATAATACTTGTTCATCTTAATGGGCTTTAAGATATTAAGTTTTAATTGATAGGTTTGAATATATTATTATAGGATAATTTTTTGGTAATTACTTTTTTTTAATTAAAATATTTATTTCATCAATATAGGTCATACTCATAATGATCATATTGAAAGTATTATAAGTAGCTAAGGAGAAAAAAGAAGTATTGGAAGTATTTTTATTGCACCAAGTGGTACTACTTATAGTTTTTTGAATCCTTCTTATAGAATTTTCGAATTTAAAAATTAAAAACTCTTCAATTATTATTAATATAGACTAGATTTAGATAATGCTAATTAAAATATCCATAAAGAGCCTACATGGGATTTAGCTTATGATTTTCTGTCTGAATATTAATTGGATGATATTTCTAATGATTCTTTATATTTATTGGCTTTTGATAAACTTGTTAATAATGATAATTTATTAAATAAATATATTCTGAATTTCAATAGTGGTAACCGAAATTTGATGCCTAAAAAAATTGATACTAAAGTTAGAAGAAACTTCCTTTGTTAGGCTTAAAATATTATTTTTGATGATAGATTTAAATGCTTTGGTATTTATGGAATATTTTATTATAAACTAGAATTTATCTATCAATTCTTATAAACGCTTTAGGGCGAATGGTTAATTTAGAATTGAAAAAATAATTAATAATTTATTATATTTATACTTTTTTTGTTATTAAATATTCTGAATTTTTTCATTTTTTTTTTTTAATTTAAAAAATTAATATTTTTTTATAAAAATAGTTTTTATAAAATAATTAAAAATCAATAATTATCATCATTCATTAATTTATATTAATTATTTTATTAAGAACAAATTCTTTCGTATATAATTTAAGCCATTTCTTTTAAATCAGTTATTTATAATTTTACAATTTACATAACAACATAAAGACCTAAACCTATAAAAATATAAAATAATAACAATAAAAAATAATATAATACCGATAGTAATTCCTATCCAAATCCCTTAAATTTAAAAAGAAGTGTAATAAGCTAAAAAATAACTAAGTCCTAATCCAACAAAAGCATAGCAAAAAATAAAAGAAGCACTACTAAATCTTTCTTGAGCTATAGCTCTCATATAAGCGGTGAGCATGCATTAAAAGCAATCAAAACAATATTAAATAATAAATATATTAAAAATCAAAATAATACTTTATTTAACATTATCATCTACAGCAAAAATATCTGCGATTTAATTTTGCAACAAATAAACAGGTAAAAGTGTTAACATTAAATGAAAAGTAATAATAATAAAACTGTATTAAGCGTATTTATTTGCATTATGAATATTACCTTTTCCCATTTCATTACTTATAAAAGTGCATGAAGCAGTAGCATATCCTAAAGGGAATTAATTACATACACAAATCAAATTAGCTAAAATAATGTGGGCAGCATATTATTATGAAGGCAAATTTGAAGCTATGATAGAATTTGCTTCTTAAAGCATCCATTCTAAAGCAACTAATGATCCTATAGGTATAGCTGTTTTAAGGAAATAACTAATATCATTAAAACATTTAGAATTAAACGGTATGAAGCATTTTTATAAATCTTTTTTTTGTTTTGCAAATAAATAGCAAAGTAATAAATTTGAAATTTAACAAGAACTAAATACTATTGATGCACCATATATTCCCAAATCTAATTTTGATATAAATATATAACAATATAATATTGTTAAAATTAAGTTTGATCCACTACTATATACTTATATTCTATATTCATTTTAAGCATTTAATGTTGCTTTTTTTATTTTATTTTTTTGATTAAATATTTATTTATTTTTAAATAAAAAAAAAAATACCTTTATATGCATAATATATTGCTGTAAAAAATATTCCAGGTATTTAATAAATGCAATATTAACCAGCAATATATGATAAATATATATCTCTATTCCACAAAGAAATTATGTTTTCTGAAAAATACATACTTAAGGAAATAGGAATAAACATTAAAAAAGATATATACAATGTCTTCTAGAAAAGAATTCCTACTTAATTATAATTGCCTGCTCCATGCTCATGGGAAGCCATAGTTTCTAAACCACTACTAAGTCCATAATAAAGACCTTATCCAATACAATTACTCCAAACTAAACCTAATCCGAAACCATTAATAATATTTTAAGGATAATTATTTTTTATAAAAATTAATGTTATCGTCGAAGGTACCCATTCAAGAAAAAAACTTAAGGCTTCTTCAATACATGATTTTAAAAGCCATTTAAAATTGACTTTGTCTTTTATAATATTTTTATTTATTTCGGAATTTCTTTCAGACTATGAAGCTTATGTTGATGTTTCTTCTCTTTAAATAGAAAACGTATTTATATTTGAGTTTTTTGCCTGCATTTTTTATTTTCAATTTTAATAATATTTTTATTATTTTTATTTATCTTATATATAAAATATTTATTTATAATATTAACCTCTATTTTTTATAAATATAATACGTATTTTAATATAATAATTTATATTTATCTCTATATATTAATTTTGTTTAAAAAAAAATCGATATTTTTTATTATTATCAAAATAGAAATAAAAATAATTTTTTTTAGTATTTTAGAATTTTACAAATAATTTTGAAATATATTGTTTTCAAAAAAATATTAAGTTAAATTTTTTATATCAAGCTTTTTATAAGTTTGAAGATTTTAAACTAATTTTTTTTTTTTTCGAATTTATTATTTTCATTTATTATTAAATTAAAAATCTTTTTTAATTTTCTTTTGTCTAAAAGGTTTAAATCCATTAAATCCTTATAGAGAAAGTAAAGAATATCTTTTTTCTTCAACTTAATATTGTTTTGCATCATTATTTTAATCTTATTATTATGTATATTAGATTTATCCATTATTCGGTTTTGTTTATTTTTATTTATTTAATTTTTATTAAATGCTTCTTATATTCAGTTAATTTATACTTCTATTCAAATAATGGATACTTCTACTATTATTTTAATAATTTTCCGTTTTTATTGAGTTTCCTGATTTTTATTACACATATTAAATTTATTGCATTTGGACTTGTTAGGTTTGAAAATTACTAAATTTTGAAAAATCTAGAGTCATATTTTGACCTATATTTAAATATATAAATATTATTAATATATGAATATTTATTATATTAATAATAAATATTGATAACTTTTTTATATAAGGTTTTTTTTTTAAAAATCTATTGATTATAAAATTATTATATTTTATTATTATGTTGATTAAGCAGTTTTTTTTTTTAAATTTCTTTCAATTATTTTTTCTTCAATTATTTTTACTGAAATATAATCTCTAAACTAAAAATTAGATTCTTAGAAAATATTAGATTGCATTTTTTTCTAAATATTTTTTTCTAATTAATGAAGCACTTTAATATTTACTTCATCAAACTAAATTTATCCTACAATTTTATGAGACAATTAAATCAAGGTATCATAAAAATTAATATAAAATTAATTAATTTATAATTTTTTTTTTTTTTAAATAAATAATTTTATATCAAGAAAAATTAATATTAAATTTTTTCTTGATTAACTAATTTCTTTAGTATCTGCCCACCCAAAAGGTTTATCCAAAATGGATAATATATCAACTAAATATTAAACTTTTACAAATCCTGTACCTTTTTTATCATAATTACTCCATACCTTTTTAAAGTCTTATATAATAATAGGTTTTATTAGTGAGTTTTAATCATTTGTTGCTTTCTAAAAACCTTCTAATATAATGGCTATGAATAAGTTAAGAATAGTTATAGTATAAATAAGTTAAAATAATATAAAGAAGAGTGTACCTAAAAAATTACCACATCCATTAATCCCTTTTTATAACTTTAAATTAAAAATTATTTTTAAAAAATACCTTTTTCTTAATAATCTTCATAATTTGTTACACTAAAGCAAACTGAATTAGGCTACATGCTTTAGCTTAAATCTATTAAAATTTAATTCCATTATTCTCCAGATGCACTTTTAAATAATAAAAAAAAGCTAGTTTCAAAAGAATTGAAATTGCTCTTTTTATAAAAAATAATACTTTTTTGAAAAAAAAATATTAAACTTTTTCAGTTATTCCTTAATTTGGTTTTACAAAAGCAAATAATCCCATACCTAACACTGAAAAAAATAACAAAGTTAAAAACAGTAAAGCTGTAATATTTGCTAAACCAGGTAAACTTACAATAATAGCATTAAAAATAATTACAAAGCTTTTAGCTTTTTTTATAAGTCTTAAAACTCTTACAATTCTAAATATTATTATAAAAGAAATCAAAATCGAAAAATCCAATAATGAAGGTTATATTTCTATTATTATACCCAGATTAGAAAAAAAGACTATAAAAAAGTCAAAATTATTTGATATATCTTTGAAAAAATTCTTTCCAAAGGCAATTATTTTTAATATTAATTCTATTGAAAATATAATTAAAAAAGCTTAGTTAGCATGCTATACTATATACCAAGATATATGAGGTTATCTATTCCAACACATGCATAAAGCAAGCGTATTTAAAATAATTGTAGAAATAATAAAATTATCAAAAAATTTAGATTTTACAAATTAAAAAATCTTTTATCTAAATTTATTTGAACTTATTGAAATTTTCATTTATACATATAATCTTTATTAAATTATTCTTTTTAAGATCTCTACCCATTTTTATTATTCCTTAGTTAAAATATCAAGCCTACCTTTTATTTCAAATTTTTATTTTTATATTATATTTTTTATAAAAAAAACCTATTTTGCTTTTTTAATTATTAAATTAATCAACTATAATTCCAGCAAATAAATTTAATAAAAAAAAGTTGCATAATATCATAAAAAATATGAAAAATATTGAGCAATATACATTATTATTATATTTAGGTTAGAAATCTATACCTGTACTATCTATTCCTTATTACCTTTTTATTTATAACATAAAAATAAATATCAAAATTATATATTAATGATTTTTTTATTTACATAATATCTACCCATCCTTCTGTTGTTAAAAGTACAAACAATGTAATCATTCCATTTAAAACATTATCAAAATTTAAATACGAATTAACCCAATCTCCACCTAAATCCATACAATCAGTTTTATTTTCTACTTATTTTATTTAATCTGTAGTAACACAATTATAAAATGAACCTATTTTATTTTTATTATAATTATAATATAAATAATAATGGTTACCTTTAAAATAGCTTACTCCTATAATACTAAACAATAGAAAGAATATAAGACTTATAAAAAATAAACTAATAATAGAAGGTATTGATAAAACTAAAGAGTTAATAGCAATTTTAAGTCCTTCATTTTTTGATATAAGTCTAAAAGGTCTTAAAACTCTAAGCAACCTAAATACTTATAATTAGGATAATCCTGATTGTTTTATAGAATCAAAAAAAGTGAATAAAGAAAAAATAACAATAAAAAAATCTAATTAAAGTAATTTAAATCAATATATATAAATTATAATTTTTTAAAAAAAACCTAGTATATTTTGTGATTATCTGAAATAAGAATTTGGTCCATTAAAAAAAGCCCCATAAGCTATAATCTTTAATATCATTTCAAGGACAAAAATACATGTAAATATTTTATCAAATAAATCCAAATACCATTAATAATCACTATTAGGATCTTCTAAAGGAGAAGTTACGCACATAATAATAGAAGACAACACAATAGTAAAAATAATAAATAATTAAAAATATTTATTAATAACGATTTTAAAAATATTTTTCCTCAAACAAACATTCATTTAACAAATAAGCAATGAACTTCCTAAATAATTTTCATTAAAATTTATTTCGTTTAAAAATGCAAAAGTATTTTTTTCTTTTGATTAAAAACTATTATTTTTATTTTCTACTGAACCGTTTATAACTTTACTAACTGTCTCTTGAGCTGACTTATCTACTGAGTTTTAATTATTTTAACTACAATTAACAAAATATAAGAAATCAGACGGGTTTATATTCTGATTGTTTATTTTTTAATGATTATTACAAATTGATGAATGCTATTAAATATTAAAATTAATTTTTCTTTTTCGATTTTTTATAGGACTAGTACTAATAAGAGAATTAACAGCATTTAACTAGGATATGTTTTGCTCAATTTTAAAATGAGGAACATTTTAATTTATATTGCTTTATAAGTTTTTATTTCCTTATTTTTTTATATTTTATTTTTACGCATTTTAATCTGGTTAAACTTTAAAGGAATTCTCATTTTCTATTTATTTTTTTACTTAGGAAAAGTTTTAAAAAAGCATAGCTGAAAAAACCTTGAGTAAAATAATATTCCCAATAATAATAACGGAAACAAAATACAAAGCAGGCCAATAACTATCAAAAGATCTCATAAAGTCGTATTAGATAATATTCCATTATTCATTAGTTAATAATATAAAAACAGTAATCAAGCTTTGGCAGAAAGTATCAAAGTTATTTCTAGGTGAAACTCCTATTTGTTTATCATTAGTTGGATTATAATTTTCATCAAATAAAGCTTAATAAGCAAATAGCTCCATACCTAACAAAGAACTGATTACGATAAATAAAAACAAAAGAATCATAAAATTTAGCATCTATTATGCTGTTAAAATTATTGTTAGAAGGAGTTTTCTTAGATTTTTGAAGCTTCTAGCAAATTTAAATATACGAAATAATCTTAAAGAACGTAGAGATGTTATTATTGCTACTTATCCTTCGCCATTTTATTTTGTTAATACTAACATAATATCAATTATACTTATCGAAACTGAAAAAGTACCAAATACATTAAGGGCATCTTTAAAATATTATCTTTAATTTTAAAATGAGATTAAAATATAAAAATATATGTACATATATACATAATACTTGATTCCATAAGCAAATATTTTAAAAATCATTTCAATTGTAAAAATAAATGTAAATGCATAATTAAACATATTTAACATTTAAGCCTCTTAATTAGATATAGGATATCTGTCTAAGGAAATAACAATTATATTACAGGCTAAAGTGAAATTTATTATTATATTGAATACACTTGATTCAATTATTATTTTCATAAAATCTTATATTTATTCTATTTTGGAAATATTAATATTCTCACTATTTTTTTTGAAAGAACTTGGAAATTATTTTTATTACTTTTATACATCTTGATTTAATTCAAAAGCCGAACCTTTTTAAACTTATAAATTAGAGTCATTATTTTTATTATTTGGTATTTAATAACTCTTTATTTATAAAGGCATATCATTTAATTTAATAGCAATTAAAGAATTCATTTTTTATTGTTAATTTAATTGTATTTAAGATTAGTTTTTTTGATGATATTAAAGAAAACATTAATTTATAACAGCAAAAATTAAATTTTATAAAAAATATGAACTTTTTTTATTTATTTATTTATTATTTTTTAAAAAAATTATGATTACCCAAAGACAATTAAAGAAATGAAGTATATATACACAACAATAGGTTAAACAACATCAATTAAAGTAAATAGAATATTTGTCCATCCTTCTGTAGTAATTATTTGAAAAACTGTAAAAATTGATTAGGCCAGGTTGTCGAATTAAGTATATCCATAATTTAAAAATTATTGATTTTTTTCTATATTATTTATCTATAAACCTGCAATCGCATTACTTCCACAAAATTTGTTTTCGGGGCATTTATATATTGTGCAAAGTCTTTCTATTGTTATATCAGTTTCCCATATTCCATTTATTGGATTTTCGGTAAATTTGCATCTAAATTCATTTGAATCTGAAAACAGTTATATACCCATTATGCCAAAAAATATAATCACAAATAATAAAAAAACAAAAACGTTCCCTAAAAAAGGTAAAGATTCTATTAAAGAAGATACGATAATTTTTATTCCTAATAAAAAAATTATTTAATAATTTAATATTATGATTTATTATTTACCTTTTATTGCATTTATATTTTTTAAAGATTTTAAGATTCTTAAAACTCTTAAAGCATTAAAATTAATACTATTATTAGGAAGAAAATTTAGAAAACTATTTTAATATGATATTAAACATTTATATTAATATATTAATATATTACCTTTAGCATACTACTAAAAAATCTAAAATATTCCATCCATCTCTTAAATAGCTTCCTTTTTCAAAGGCCATACCCATACCAATTATTTTTAATATAAATTCGGCTATAAAAATTACAGAGAATATTAATTCAGATTAATCTATTAAATTTTTTCTCCATTAGGATAATAACTATGGATCTATTCTAAAACGATAGTCCTATAATGTTAAAATTATTGTGTTTGCCAATATTGCTGTTGTTATAAAATATTCAAAATAACTAATTAATTATTATAATTATAATAATATTATATTATAAATTTTAAATATTAAATAAATATAATTAATATTTCAGCTTAGAGTTAAAGAATCTTAATTGCATAATATTTAACTAATTTCTTCTGAAATTATTTATATACTAAAAAAAAAAATTGCAAATAAAATATTGTAATAAAGTAATAGTTAAATTTTTGCTATTAGAATTCCTAAACTCTAAACTAATATAATAAAAAATTTTGTTTACATCCATTCATGAAACCAAACAATTGATTTTCTCAAATAATTCTATTCGTTAAAAATAAAGAGGGAATTTTATGAAAACTTCGTTTAAAATAAATATAAAAATGTAAATATTTATAAAAAAATAATAATTTTTGATATCTATATAGATTATACTCTTAGCTATTTATTATGAACAAAAAAGTTTGGCTTAAATGCAAGATTTTTTTCTTTTTCTTGTTGTATCTCAAAATCATTATTCAAAATACTCTTACTTAACTTTGATTAATTTTTTTTTTTATAATTTTATTCTAATTAATTTAAATTGAGTTTTATTTTTAAACCTTTTGTAACTATGCAATAGCTTATTTTTATATAATTATTTTTTTATTATTGTTTTAAATTTAAATATTATTGGAATTCATTAATTATTTTACAATTAAAAATAATTATTATAATATAATATAAATAATGTATTAATATTAATTTAATGTAAATATAAAATTAATTTACTAATTTTTTAATAATAATTAAATAAATTTTTTAAAAATAAAAATTAAAATTAAGGCAGATTTAAATTATTAATAATTATAAATGATTAATTTTAACTTAAAATTAAAAAGCATATTTTTAAATATTATAATAAAATATATTTACAAATGTTTTTCTATATTAATGGAACAAATTAAGTATTAAATGCATTAAAAATTAAAGTTATATATTTTTAATTTTTAATTTTTTTTTTTTTTATTTTCTCTAAAATTTAAAATATTTATTTATTTTATTAAATTCATCATTAAGTTTGAATTCCTAATTTTTTGTTTCAAACGAAAAATCTTAACATAAGATAAAAAAACATATTTATTAATATAATAATAAAATATAAGTACAATTGTTTTTCAAATTTAATGGATAAAATTATGTAAAAATTCTTTTAAAATTAAGGTTATATATTTTATTTTGAAAAAAAAAATTATCCAAATTTAAAATATTTATTTATTTTATTTAAATTCATAAATTTTGAATTCCTAATTTTTTTGTTTGACTTAAAAAAAATGATATAAATTGTAAAATTTTATAGAATTTAATATTAATTTGTTATTTTGAAAACTTTCTATAATTTATAAAAACTTAAATTATTTTTAAAAATTTATATTAAGATTTATAATAAAGTTAATAATCAAGAGCATATATATATTTTATTAATATTTTAAAATAATTAAAGCTTAAAATAAATAATTTATTTTGTTAGAATTTATAAAAAACAGTAAAATTCTATATCATTTAATATAACCAAATTAAATAATAATTATATTAAAATATAAATAAAATAATAATTGTTTGGAATAATATTGATTTTTTTATATAACTCAATATTAAATTTTTTTATTTATAAATCATTTTATTTAATTATGTCGAAAAAAAAAAAAAAAATTATTTAAAATATTATGTAAATTTAAAACTTATTATATCTTATAACAAAAATATTATAAAATAATTAATTATTAATATTATTTTTAATTAAATATGAATATTTTTTTATTTATTTTATCTGTTATAATTATTTATTTAATAAAAATTATATCTATTTTTTAAAATTTTTACACATTAATTCATTATATTTACTTTTTATTTTGTTATATGATTTTAATCTTAATATTAATTATTAATTTGTATTATATTAATTAAAATATTTATATTTTAGAAATATGATAATTTCTAATTTATTGGATGTGAACCACGTAAAAAAACAATATTCAATTATATTTAATTAAATTAAAGTAAAAATACATATGTATTATTAATAACAAAATAATTAAAGAACTAAATAATTTAAAAATAAAAATTATTAAAAAAAATGTATTTTTTAATAATTCAATTAACAATAGTGATTCCCGTAATATTATCTTAAAGATGTTTTGAAAACGTAAAATTAGGAACATCAGAGTTTTAATTATCTCAATAAATAAAAGAATAAATATTAAAGAATTAAAAATTTGATTAAAAATGTTTAGAAATATTAATATAAAGAGGATTTTATAAATCAGCTTTAGTTCTTTTTGAAGATTATTTTATGACAAACAAAATAGATTTACATGAAAATATGCACAAGCTAACATCTAATCATAAAAGAGATTTAGACAAATTTTTGGCACTTCTTTGGAGTTCTCGTTAATAAGTATAACAAGTTGAACCATTCTTTAAATGGGCATAAAATTAAAATAATATATTTTTACACATAAAGCTTAGTATGAGAAGTGATTCACCAGCATGTTTACATTGTAAATTAGATAATTTCGAATTAACAAATTCCACACTTTATATGAGTTCTTCTGGGATTTTTTCTACATTAACCTGTTAAATTTATTCTAAATCTTACACTTTTTTAATAAATAGATCCATAAAAATCCTCTTGGAAAGAAGACTCTGTTGGTACTATTTTTATTAACTTAGTCAAAGTTTTTGAAAAAGAAAATGATTTTGATACTAATGAAAATTCTTTAGATTATAAAAATAATACTGTTGAAAATTTAAATAATACTACAAATAATAACATTATTGATTTTACTAATCATAATATTAATGATATTATCAAAAATTCATTAAATAATACTGACAATAATAATAGCACTTAAATTAATAGTAATGATAAAAAAATTGCTGAGGATGAAAAATTAGATGAAGAAGAAGAAGAAAAAATAAAAAGAAGAAGAAGAAGAAAGAAAAAAAAAAGAAGAAGAAAATATATAATTTTAAATAAAGTCTAAAAAAATATGGTTAAGATTAGAAAAAAATGAAAGGAACATTCCTATTTGGTGGGATATGAAAGATAAACATAAAGATGATATGAATATTTGGGAAAAGTTATGTGATAGAGAAAAAGAAAATAAAAAGTTGAAAATAAAGTAAGAGAAAAAAGATAATAAAGAAGATATTAATAAAAATAAAAGAGAAATTGAAGAATAAAAAAAGCAAAAAGATGAATAATAAAAAATAGTTGACGAATAAAATTAATAAAAAGTAAATTAGTAAAATCAAAAGAATGATCTTTGATATTTAAAATTTATTTATTAAATATTTGTTTATTTTATATAAATAAAAGATTTTAATTATAAATAAAAAATAAAATATAATATATTATAAAAAAAGATAATATTAAAAAAGTAATAATTTCTAAAAAAAAAAAATTTAAAAGATTATTAAAATTTAATAAATTAATAATAGTAAATCATTTTAAGATAAGAATAATTTTTAATGTAAAAAAAAAAAATATATAAATATATATATATATATATATATATATATATTATATATATTTTTAATTTTATTTTATAACAATATTTATATAATATTTAATTTATTTTAATTTATTTTGAAATAAAATAATTTATTATAGACACAAGATTACTTTGATAATTTATATTTTTTAAAATCCTTTTTTTATAGTTTATTAAAAAATGATTATTTTCCTTAGTTTTAATATTAATTAAGTATATCCTTTAAATTTTATTTTTTTATTATATGATTTAATATAATTTTATATCCATTATAAAAAATAAATATATTATAAATATATATATTTGAAAAATATAGTTAATTTAAATTTTTTTTACAGTTTTATAAATAACAACGAAAAAATGCCTGAAGAAATAATTAGATAAAAAGAAAAAAGTGAAATTAAAAATACGAAAAATAGTTAATTCGGTGTTTCTTAATATTCTGAAAAATCTATATTTTTAGGAAATGATATTGAATCGCAAAAAAGACGTTCAATTAAAAAAATACTTTTGTATTTAAAAAATTTTTATAAATTTATATTGCTATTACATATATTTTTTTTTGTTATTAAAATAAATTTTGAATTTTAGAATGAGTTCTATGGACAAAGAAACTATGAAAATTTTGTTAAAAATTTTATAAGGAAATTTCAAGAATATAAGTTAAGAAATAAAAGATAAATTAAAATAAAATGCAAGTAATATTTTAGATAAAGATAAACAAAAAGAATTAGATGCATTATTAGATTAATTGGAAAATACTGAGTAACCAAGCGATGTCTTTTTAGTAAATATAAAAACAAAAATAAAATAAAATATAATATAATATTTTTTATATATAAAGTAAATAATAAAATATTATGTATTATCTCCAGTTGAAAAATCTTATATAAATAAAATAGAATAAGAATTAAAAAAAAGTGTAAAATAAAAAATATTTTTAATTAAAAATATTTTACCTTTTATATTTATATATTAGCAAGAATTAGATGAGGAAATAAAAAAGGTTTAAGAAAATATTAATGTTGAAAAATAAAAAAAATTAGAAAGATATCGTGATGAAAAATAAGGCGTTTAAAAATCTAATAATAAAGAAACTTGTGAAGCATTATTAAGAGAAGTCTTTTAAAAAAATATTATTTATATTATATATATATAAAAATAAGGTAAGTGTTCATGAAAACAAACTCGAAAAAGCTAATTAAAAATTAAATGAAATAGTTGCTCGAAATAATTAATTACGTGAAAAAATAAATATCTTAAGAAAAGAAAAGAATGTAATAGAAGAGATTTACAACAAGTTAAAAAAAGAGCTAGCTGATAAAAAAGACAATGTCGAATAAACTATAAAAAGTGCAGGTGAAGCTTATTATAATAGAAATAGAGCTGAAGAAGAATTAAAAGCACTTTAAGAAAAGGCAGAATAACAGAAATAGAATTTTGAAAATGAATATAAAACATTAAATGAAAATATATAATATGATAAAAGATTTAAATAATTTATAAAATCAAAACAAAAAGAGAAAGAAGTACTTGAAAATTTAGAGAAATAGATATAAAAAAATTTAGAAATAATAGAAGAAAAGAAAAAAAACAACAAAATTATAGAAACAGAATATATGGTGTCAGCTAAAAAAGAACAAGAAATAAAAGAAGCTTTTGAAAGAATAAAAAAAGAAACAGGTATAAATGAAACAAAAGAAAAAGAAAGTAAAGAACTTTTGAATGTTTTTATTAATTTGTATTAAAAAAATACTATAATGAGTAAATTTGTTAAAGAATTGAATGAAGAAGTGGATGAATTAGAAAGAAAAATCGAAGAAAAAAAGAAAGAAATTTAAATGTATTCTACTAAAGGGGCCACTAATGATAATAAAAAAAGAGAAATGAAAATAGCTTTAACAAATAAAATTTAATAAGAAGAAAAAAAAAAATTATACTAAAAGCTTAATATGAAAAATCTATTGAAACTATAAATATTATTAAATCTTATTTGGAAAACGTTTTCACTGCAATTGATGTAGATTAAGAAACCATAGAGAAATTAAGAAGTGCTGCTATAACAGAAGAAAATATGGTACATTTTTTAGGAATACTAGAATAAAAAGGACTCGATGCTATTTCTGAATATTCTAGACTTATTGCTGAAGTATTAATTTTTTATTTTTATTTTATTTTTATTTTTTTCTAATAGCAATTAAGACTTGAGAAATAAGATTAACATGGTTTACAATAATAAAATATTGATGATTTAAATAATATTATTGCATATGAAAATGCTAATATTATGAATTACTATTCTAATGCGGCCTAAATAAAATAAGACTGTCCAGGTTTCTTAAATAATATTTTTTATTTATTTACATATAAAAGAGGATTTATTTGTGGCTTAAAACGGAGAAGAATAAGAAGAAGAGTAAAAATAATTAAGTGGAAATCTTAAAGATAAATTTTTTTCATAAGAAGAACTCAGAAAATAAGCATTAGATGTAAACTATATAGATTAATAATATAAATAAATATTTATTTTATATAAAATAAGGTTATAACGAAAAAATTCACATAAAATAATGCTAATAAAAACAATATTTCGGGCATGAAAACAAAAGTTAGATAAAACAAAAGTCATAAAACAGTAAAATAATGATCTTTTATTATAAAATTATGAATAAATATATATTAATTTATATTTAATATAAAGAATTTTAATATTTTATAAATATACATATACAAATATTAAATTTTATTTATTAATTTTTTAATATCTTATTTTCTTATTTAAATTATTTTTTATTCATATTAAATTAAAAAAAATATAAAACCAATATTTTTTATTAATTTATAATTAATTTTTATCAAAATAAAATATGAATAAATCAAGTTAAAATATATCGCCGTATTAAGCTCTTCCTAAAAAACTATTAGACTAAAATAATTTTAATTATAAAATAGAGGCAATAAAAAATTAGGTGTAAAAAAATAAAATAAAATTGTGTATATGATTTTTTTTTAAAAGCTAATAATATTCAAGTCAAAATTTATAGTTTAATACAGATATATCTAAGTCTTAAATTTAAAATTAAAATAATAGTTAATATACAAAGGCTTTAACTAATCAGTAATAATTTATGACAGCAAGCGCACTTGATTAGCCAATATACTGTAACAATTTATTAAAAATCAAATATTCTTTATATATCCTATAAACACATATATTATCTAAATAAATATTATAAACAATTTTATTTTAAATATTATATTTTTTCAAATACATTATTTATTATTATATAAGCATAAATTAATAATAATTATAAACCTGAAAATAATTTCATTAATAATTTCGGATCTCTCTGTGATAAGTAAACTAATTATTATTTTAAATTAAAATTTTATATGCTAATAAATAATAATATATTCATATATTAATACGAATTTTATTAAAATAAATTTGCTTAGGTCCTTTTTATCGAACTCAACTTTTTTCTAGATATAAAAATTTGGAAACAAAAAATAAAAATAATATTAAAGTTTCCAATGTACATTTGTAAAAGACTAAGTTCAAATTAAAAAAAAATAATTATAAGATATATTATTAGATAATAGAAAAATATATAGAAAAGTAATTGAATTTAATGATGAAAACTCTATTTTGTCTTTTGCTAGCTTATAAATATAATCAATTAATCAATAAGAAAATTAAGAATTAAAATAGAGAAAAAGTAGACTTTATAGGATATTAACATTTTCTGAATTATAATTTTTACTTTAGTATAACTTGGACGAAATCAATTAATTTTTAAATGAAGCAGTTTAAATAAAATAAAATGAAGATAATTAGGATTATATATATATAGATTTTGATTATTTTAAAAAAAATTAAAGGTAAGAAAATAAATAGGATAAAAAAATAAGTTTAAATTTAAAAAAAATTAATATTTAAAATATGTTTGAAGTCGAATTTCCTTATATAGAGTTATATATTGGTAAATATGCATATAAAAAGCAAATTGCTATTAGTATTTAAGAAATGAATGAATTATTAAATAATGAATTTTCAAATATATAAAAATATTAATAATAAGTAAATAAAGCAGAGTTTGATATATTTATCAAGAATATTTAAAATTTAAAATTATAAGATTAATAAGTATTATAGTAATAATCAGTTTAAACATAACAAGATTAAAAAACTTAAGCATACTAAAATTTAAATTATCATAATTTATAAATTGAAAAAGGTTAAATAAAAATGTTATGATAATTTTATATTATTATAATAGTAAGTAAAAACATTAAATATGATTAATTATAAATTTTGAAATAAACTTATTTCAAGTAAATTATTGAATAGTCAAATTAAGAACCATTAATAATATCTTTTTTGTAAATATATATTTCAATTATGATTAATATTATTATATTAAACTAAAAAAAAGCCCTTCTAAAATAATAATAAATAGTTCAAAATAAGATAATTAATAAATTATTCATAACATGAATTTTCAAGAATTTTATGAATGGTGTAACTTATCTTTGACATAAAATTTAAGTGGATATGCAAGCAAAAATATTTGTTTATAAGATTCAAATAATACTAATAAAATCTCAGTTTACATTAAAATGCCATAACTTATATGGGATAGCTAAGACTATATAATAATAAATAAAGAAAGTGAAAACAATGGATTGTTATAAGAAAATAAGATAAATTTAATTATAAATGAGAATTAATATTAAATGATTATTTGGTAAATAAAAAATTAATATTTTGATATATATTTATTAAAAATAAAATTTTAGCCCTCCTTTTATTGAAATCAATTTTTCTAATGAATCTAAAAGGTATTCTAAAGAAATTACAATATAATAGTTAAATGAAATTATAAAAAAAGGGTTTAATTTTTAATTTAAAATAAATTGAAATAAAATAAAATATTAAGTTAATTTTCTATTTATTTTTAATAAAAGTTAATAAAATAATTTAATTAATTAAACATTTAAATTTATCAAAATATAAATATTGATTTATTTTAGATATTTTTTTTTATTTTATTAATCTAATTTTAAATATATAAGTAATTAAAATAAATTTATTGATAATATTTTTAATATATGATTTTTATTTATATAAAAAAATTATATATTAATAAATCAAATCAAAGATATATTTTTAATGACTTTTTTTCATTTATTTATGATTGTAGTAATTGATAATCTATACCTGTATTTATTTTTTCTTAGATATATATTTAACTTTTATTTAAAAAAATCTAGGATTTAATTGATTTTATGTATATTTTTGGTATATTAAAATAATGGATTTACCTTTTCATTTTATTTTTTTATTAAAATTTATTTAAAAATAAAAAAAAAATTAAACATACATTATTATAAATATTCATTAAATAATTATATATTTAATATGTATATAATTAACTTCTATATTTTTACTAAATTTTTATTATAATAAAATATGCAATAGTATGAAAAATATAATTTTAAACTTTAACAATTATAGTTTTGTTAAATTTATTTTTAATTATCATTGTTAGGACTAATATATTTTTCTCGTATATTTAATTAACAAAAAGTCTTTTTAATATATTTAATTATATTTATTTTATTAAAGAAGACTTTGCTATTTATTTATTTAAATTATTAATATCAATATATATGATTATATAATTTTTTATTTATTTAGTTATATTACTAAAAAATCATATTTTTTTATTTAATAATTAATATATTTTTAAAAAATAAAAGATATTTTATATAAAAAATATAAAAACTTTAAATATTTTTTTTTTTAATTTTATTTAATATACACAATATAAAATTAATTATATATTAGAAATATTTATTAATTGATATTAATCTAGATAAAAGTTAAATAAAAATTGAGAAATTTTTATATTTATAAAAATAATATTTTTTAGTAACAATATATTAAAAATTAACTTTTTTTAAGTTTGCTTCACTTAATTCTGAATTTATACTGTTTCGTTTACTTTTTATAGGTAATTAGTATTTATTTGTCTAATAATATAAAAAAATATTTTATATTAATCTACTGTAATTCTTCTTTTAAATATTCCAACCTCTTTCTTTTGTCTAGCAAATATTACTAATATAAATATTACTTTTTCATGATATTTTTTTTCTTTTTACTTTGAAATAATAAAATTTTGACATTAATAAATTTTTTAGAGAATCACTAAATTATAATTTTTCTAATTCCTAATATAAATATAAACACATATTTATCTTAAGAATACAAAATTAAAAATTTAGAAATAAATCATTTATTTATATAAACATTTAAAGCTTTATTATCTAGCCAAATCATCTTTTATAACTATAATATTAAATTTCATAAATTTTATTTTTATTCTATTCGCTTAGCCTTTATTTAATTATTATTAGCCTTATTTTTTATTTAACTTATAATTAATTACTATAAACTGACATTTATTATTAATTTTATTTATACAAATTTTCTTTAATTCTATACAAATAATTATTTTTACATTAAATATTTTTTACTATAATTATATATTGGATGAAATTTATGCTTTTTTAAATAAATTAATTAATATTTTTATATACTATTGGAAAAAATATTTTCTTATTTATTTATCCAAATAAAGTTCGTTTTAGGTTCTAAATCTAAATTTTTCGATCTTTCTGTTTCAGAATATTTCGAATAATATTTTATGACAAATCAATTTATTAAAGTAATATAAATATAATTTTTTGTTAAAATGATTATCTTAATAAATAAATATTTATACCTTTAAATTATGTTTCTAATATAAGTATTTTAATCTTAAATTAACTGAGAGTATTCTATATAAATACTAATAGAACATCAAAACTATTTTTTGTAAATAATAATAAAACTTTTACATATTCTCATAAAAAAAATATTAACAAATACTTTTATTTGTCATAAATATTATAAAAATGAGGAACTTATAATTTTTACTAATTTAAATTTTCGTCATCGTCATATATTTTTTTAACTTAAATTTAATATTTTTAATTATTGTTATTTAAAGATAACTTTTTTAGTAAATCTATTAGAAATTTTTAAATTTATTTATTTCTAATTTATGAAATAATTAATACAATATTAATTATTTAGTAATATTAAAGGACTAATTTAAAAATTTAAAAAGTATTTTGGTAAAAATACCTTTAATAGACAGTCACTACCTATGTCTTTTAATCGAAATTTATATCAAATATATTTATTAGTCAACTATAAATTATGATTTTTATCTGATGCTTAATTAATTATATTAATAATTAATAAAATTTTAAAAAACTAATTAAAATTTTAATGTATAATTTTTAAGACTTTTTTATATTCTTTTTTTAGAAATTTAAAATTTAATTTAATTTCGATTTAATTCAAATTTTTTTTATATAAAAATTAAAATAAATACTTAACATATACTAAATTAATTTTGCTATTTAAAATATAAAAAAAAAAAATTAATAAATAATATTATTATAGAAAAATTATATTATGAAAACATTGGAAAATAATATATGTAAATTTAGAAAATCCTGATAATTAAAATCATTTAAATCAATTATATTAAAATAAAAAATATAATAGACATGCAAATTTTTTATTAGGTTCTAGTGCAAAGTCGGAAACAATTGCTCTTTTCTATACTAAATTTAAAATAATTTTTTTCTAAGATTTTTATTTTTTTCAATAGTTTTTTTTATGTTTTTATAAGTAAAACCTTATTTTTTTACAAAATTTCTGCAATAAGATTAAGAAACAAAATTATAATCTAATTGAAATTTCATATTATTAATGATTAGAGTCATTTTATAGTTTTATATCAATTTTCAGGGTTTATAGAAATTGTTTATGACTTATTATTACTCTTAACCTAATTTTTCATATAAAATAGGTTTATTTTTTATTAATTATGCATTATAGTTATATTAAATAATTATATTTCTTATTTTTTATCTAGAACACATAGTTTTATAAACTAATATTTTAATAGGAATTTATTTTTTCGTATAAATGCATATAAAATAGCTTTTAATAAAAAGTATAATGTAATATCTCACTTTATGCAATTTGATTTTATCAAATTATTATTTTTTAATATAAAATGTCTTTTTATATTTAATATTATTTATCTTTATTAATTTTTTTTAAATATTTTTATATTTATTTTTTCTTTTATTTATTATCAGTTCATATTTTCTTTGTTTAGAGATTTTTAATATTTTATCAGATTATGCCGTAAAACAGAACAAAGCTTAATGAAATTTTTAAATATATGTTATTTTTTAATATTAAATTATTATATTATTTTTTTTATTTATTTTTATTTTAATAAATTTTCTAAATTTATTCTTTTTAACCATATTTTAATTGATTTTTATAATAAAAAGTTAAACTGCTATCGTTTAGTTCTTCGAAAATTTAATACATTGATTTTTTGTTAATTTAATTTTTGTGTTTTTCAAAAGAGAAACATATTCTTCTATTGATTTCAATTGTGAACTACAAAGATACTATAAAATATATTTATCTTTGCTAGTAAATTTGTTATGTTATTTAATTTGTGGATAAGATACTTTATCCATGTAAAATATATACTTTGATAAATTTTCACGAATTTCTTTAAATATTTACTACTACACATATTATCTAATTTTAATATATAATCTTAATTGAAGATAATCTATTTCTATTTAATTTTTAAATTAAATAATTTCTTTCTATCTTTCATTTATTAAAATATAATTTACATATAAAAAAATATAAAAATTTATAAAATTAAATTGCAAAAAACACGATTATAAACAATGATAAAACTTCTCGGGTTTTCGCAAAAATATCTTCGAATTTCGGATTAATAAAGACATAAATATAACACTCATATAAAATTATTGATATAAAAACGACAATTTAAACCGTGTCTATTCAGACCAAACAACATTCATTATTATAAATTTATTTTTAACCATCTTTATAATTTTTCAATAAGATTTTAATTTTATGAGTATGGAAAATGTTACACTATTAAAATATAAGTTTTCTTTAAATGGACACGAATAAGAATATATCTACATATAAAAGCATCATTGAGTTTAAATTGTCAATATTCAATAAATTATCAATAAAAACGAAATTAGAAATAAAGTATAAAATTTACAAATAAAAATATTTATAAAGTAAAATCCGATTTTATATAAAAAAAAACTTAAACTTTTATAAACAAGAATAAAATATTTACAAAAACAGCAATTAATATAAAATTTAATTATATGATATTATAAAAAATCAATATATTTAAATAAGAAAGGCTTCACACAAATTAATAAATAATTTTATACAAATTAAAGTATCACTATTGCAAATATTTTATGTTATAAATATTTATATAAGTTATTTTTTAAATTCCTATATAAATTATAATATTTAAAGAAATTCATAAAATTAATAAATTATTTAAATAATTTATAAACAGTATTAATAAAATATAAGTTTGTTATTTTTGAACATGTTTATTTAATTATGAATAAATAAATATTTTTAATAGACATAAATAATTATATTTAATAAAATGTTTTTTTTTTGTATTAATTAATTAAAAAAAATATTTATATTTATTTAATAAATATAAAAATATAAATTACTATAATTTATTATATTATTTTTAAACTAATGCACTGTTTAATTTTAGTTTATATTTTAATATATATAAATCAAAACCTTTTTTTATAAAACAATATATAATTACTATTATTACAAATTTTATTTTCATCAATTTTAATAACTTATTAATCGTCATATAAAAACCATTAGTTATTATTTAGAGCAAAAGCAGTATAATGACCATAACCCATGTTTCCATAATGATTACTCACAGCATACAAATCGTAAATTAATTTTTAATTTTAATTTTCTTTCACATCATTATCATTAAAATAATTATGATTTTTATAAATAGAAGGAGGCTCTTTTTCTTAAACAAAATCTGTTATATCTAAACCATTTATAGGGAATTTAATAACTTTATTTATTTTGCTTTTAAAATTTCCATTTATATATTTAAATCTTTTAAGATGTATAATTAAAATATCAGGTACTCTATATATATGCATTTATTTAATTGCTTTCTAATGATTTTTACATTTATGACAATACCATTCATTTTATTAATCTAACTATTCTGTTTTTTAAAATAGTTAAAAGCATTCTTCAATTGTTATATCTGTTGTTTCCTTTATTTTTTCTTACTCTTAAACTGCATTAATATCTACATATTTTGGAGTTTCCAGATTATTTAATTATTTTAAATCAAAGTTTTATTAATTAATACATACAAGCTGAAATTAAAATAACGATGATTTATCAATTATTTTATCAACAATTTATTATAAGGTTATTTCATCTGAAAAAGGAAGTTCGCAATTATTACAATTACTATTTCCACAAAATCTATTTTTTTAAAAAATAATTTTAAAAAATAAAAATTAATAGTATATTTAATTTTATTACTAACATAATTAATTTTATTGATTTTCAATATAAATTGAGTATACATCTTTTAACTATTAAATAAAATTTATTCCTTTGGAATTTTCTTCAATTTATTATTATAGATTCTTATTTATAATATTTTTAAAAAATTCAAATATTTTTATGTGTAATTATTTGGTTGAGTTATTTTTTTAAAAAACAAATAATCTTGGATAAGTTACCGCCTATTTATTTTAATTTTATTATTCGAAATTATAAATAGACACTGGAATTAGAAGACATTAAGAAAATTCAATTTGGGAAGTATCTTCATCTAACTCATATAAAACAGGTCTAAATGAACTTTTTTTTAAAATAATTTATAAAAGTTTAGTGTCATTCTAATAAATCTCTATTAATTATTAAAACCTAAAAATTTTTTATATAAAAATAAAATAAAAATATTACGTTAATGAACAAAAAAGTAGTTTATTTTTATTAATATTGTGCTTTCTACTCATAAATTCAATCAAAATTTCAATAGTAGTGTTTTGATTGATATTAAAATGAAATTATTCTTAACAAGAAACTTATCTATTTTTAGAAAAAATAATATAAAAATTAATAGTAAGAAAATCTTTATTTGGAATTGGTAAAGAAAGCATTAAAAACGGATCAAAAGTGACTGACTATTTATTACATTAAGGACAAATAATTTTTGATTTAAATTATCCTTACATTAGGTCAACAATAACACTTGAATTTCTTTTTAAGTGATTTTCCCAATGTAATTTAGATAATAATTAATCATCTTTCCCTTCAGATTCAATTTCTTGAGTTAATATTTTGACTTTTACTCTATTTAAATCTTCGTGAACTACATCTAAAAATAAAGCAAGAAATTCCTAAGCATCGTGTTATTAATATCCATTAAACATTTTCTAAAATTAACCAATTGCATTTTTTAAAGACTAAGGATTATAAACATTTTAGTTTTTAATCCATAAATTCTTTATTAATTAACAATATCTTTCTGTTACCATACCTTTACTTCCTAGAGGATTATTTAAATTAATTTCTTAACGATATTTTTTCGAAAGAAAATATTCTGTTAATTCAATCGTATTACTTAAGCACTATAAAGCGCTATTCATATAGCATGTATTGCCAATATTTACTAATCCACAAAGCCCGTAAGATGAATTATCACTTTTTACATACGGCTATTCTCCTTCATCATCTGATTCTCTTCCTGCAAAGCTGCATATTTATTAATGATTTTCTTAATCTCTTAATTTACATACTTGATTACAATATGCTATTTTTTTACATGGGCAAGTTGCTTGTAAAATATTTGAAGTATTACAATATTTACATATATTCTCTATCGGGTCTATTAAGGATATAAAAGGGAATCCTCCTGAATCTTTTATGTGTTCTAAAATTATTATATCATCGTCTTTGATTTATAATTATTTTAAACTTTTATCTAAAGAAGTTTCTAAAAATGTTAATTCTTTTAATTAAAGTCTATAATTAAAAGTATTTGCTTAATTTGTTAATTTTTTTATATTTATCTTAAATTAATTTAAATTTGTTTCTAATTTCCATAATCTTATTGATTCTGATTTGATTTAAGTTAAAGGTTATGCATAAGATTATTATTTTTTATATATGTATTGAGGATTATTTGTAAAATATTAACATAAAAATTATTTTATTTTATTTAATGAATTATATGGAAAAAATTGCATTTTTTTGGATGTTATATTATCTAAATTTTAATTTTTTTAAATATCTATATCTTATAACATTTAATGAGTGACTAAAACTATTTAAATCTATTTTTTATTAAAATAATAAATAGATGTTTAAAAAATACTTATTTTTGGTATATTTGTATAAATCTATTATTTATTGTTTCGTCTACATAACATTATCTTGGAATTTTTATTATTTTACATTTATTTTGTTCAAAAAAAGAAATAATTTTTTAATCTATGATACAATAATCCTCATCTTCTTTCAGATTGGGTTATAAAACATAGTATCCTGGGTTATTTTAATCATTAATAATATAAAATTAATCCTAATTATTATCACATTCAAGTTAAATTAAATCTTGGTTAGCTATTTCTAATTAAATTGAATAAAAATTTTCTAAATTTGGTTATTTTCCTTTTAAAATTTGAGAATAGGAATATTTATTTTTCCATTTTTCTAACCAATTAATTGATAACAAATAAAAATATTCTTAATCTTTCTAATTTTAAATATTTAATGAATCCCAATAATTTTTAAATTAAAAAACATGATATTTTATAACATCACTCTTATTTTTATTAAAATAATAATCTTAATCTTCTATGTTATTATAATCTTGCGTTTTCTAATTGCTTAATTCTTCTTAAGGAGCTGCTGCTTAATTAAAATTTTGTTAATTTTATATTGAATCCTAATCTGAATAATAATCTTATAAATAATTTTATTCACATCCTGAAGGTGCTGCACTTTATATTTTTATTTAAGTTATTTTTGAATATAACAATATAATTAAGTTTTTGTTTTATACTTTTATTCTTTATTTTCGAAATCCATTACTTTTTATTTTAAAATTTGCTTATTTTTACTTTCAAAATTATTTAAAATATTTATTAAAAAAAATAATTTTTTATTATATTTTTAGTTTTTTCTTCATTTTGTTCGATTTATTATAATAGCAATTTTAATATTGAAATATTGATTTTATATCAATTATATTTAAAAATTATAAAAATTAATAAAAAAGAAGAAAAACGATTAACATGATATGTTAATAATATAATAAATAAATATTAAAAAGAAGAAAAATAAATTATATTATTATTTATTATATATATATAATATCTTTCTTAGTAAAAATTTTTATATAAAATACAAAAATTCTTATAAATTTTATTATAAATTATAATATTATAATTTTTTTAAAATAATTAAAATATTAAGATAATAAATATATTATCTTAATAAATTATTATAAGAAAATTAATATAATAAATATAATTTCTATTAAATAAAATTTATTCAAAAAATATTATATTAATTAATTTTCTATATATTGTCTATGTTATTTTTTTAAGTAAATACATATTATATAAATAATTTAAAGACACATTGGAAAATATATATATTAATTTTAAAAATATTTTTTTTACTGATTGCTCAATTAATTTTTTAATACTTTTTAATTTAATATAAATTAATTGATTTTAATACTTCTAATTCCTAATATATTAATTTCATAGTAAATTAATTCATTCGATCCAATAATTATTTCTATCAATACATAATTAATAATAAAAAAAAAATTCGATTATTAAATTAAGAAATATTTTATATAAATTTTGTTTTGTATAAATATATTTATATTCATATAAATATAAAAAGATATTGAGGTTAAAAAAAAAATTATATTAATTTATTTATATAAATAAATAAATGTAAATATTATTATTATTATTATAAATTTTATTATTATTATAAATAAAATTATTATTATTATTATTATTATTATTATTATTATTATTATTATTATTATTATATTTTTTATTGTTATTATAATTATAGTTATTATTATAAATTTTAATATTAATATTAATATTAATATTAAAATTAATTTTTATTATATTTATATAAAAAAAAATTTATATTTTAACATGTAATTTATAATTTTTTTGTTTTTATAATATTTCATTTTTATTATTATTAATAATAAATCAAATAATATTTAATAAATATAAATCTAAAATATCTAAATATATATATATTTTATTTATTTATTTAAAATAAATTAATTTTTATTTTAATAATACATAATAAATTTTAATTCTTAATATTTTTTTGATAAAAATAAATATAATTTTATTTAACTTATCTGTCTTATTAGTATTTTTTTAATGTATTTATAAACAATAAAAAATGTAAATATTTATTATTTCATTATATTTTAAATAATAATTAGATTAATAAAATATTTTAATAATAATATTAAGTATTCTTTTTTTTGTTACAATTAATTTAAACATTTTCTAAACTTATATTCTAATTAATTAACTCTTATATTTTAATAATTTCTCTAATATTTGTAATAATTTTATAATCATACTAATTACATTTATTTATAAATTATTGTTCTTGTTTACAATTTTATTTTGGTAATTATTAATTTAAATTTTATATAATGTAATTTACAAATAAAATTTTTAATTATTATTTGAATATTTAAATGTATTTTTCTTTTATTTTATGTTAATTTACTTTTATTAAGATCACCACCTAAATAAAATAAATTATATGAACACATTTAATTAATATTTTTCTTAATAATAATAACTATTTTATATTTTTTATCAATATTAATGAGAAAATAATAGAATTTTATTATATAAACATATTTTTTTTTTAAATTAGAATAAAGTATTTATTTTAGTGTTTTTTGTAAGTTAATATTTAATTAATTTATAATATTGTTAGCAATTTTATAAATAAAAAATAAATATAAAACATAGTATAGTAATAAAATGTTTAAAAAGAGAAGGATATTTCAATTTTTATTATAAATATCTAAAATATAAATTTTCAAATTAGTCTATATTTATAATGTTATAAGTAATATAAAAATTGATTTCTGATATATTGTCGCTAAGTATATAAACTTAAGAAAAATTATATTAAATATTCTAAAAGATAATAAACAATCAAATATATTATTTATTAATTAATATAATTAGTTATTTAATTTAAGTTTAAATAAAATTTATAATTTTCAACAAAAGCTAAGTTTAATAAAATTCTATATGGAAGAATAATATTATAAAACTTTTAAATTTAGACTATTTTCCATAATAACTTATGTAATACGCTTAAAAAATAATTTAGGGAGAATAAAAAGTTATTTTTATAATTATGATTAATTATTAATATAATGCATTTTTACCAAAATACTAATAATTTTTATTTTAATTAATAAAAAAGGTTAATGAATTTTTTTTTTCTGTAAATGATGTTGGCATATTTTTAAACAAACATTGGTCAACATAATTTTATTGAAGGCTAAGTTTATATACCCTTTTTTTAAGAAATTAAGTACCTTCTATTTTTTAAGATTATTTAATTTTAAAATTATATTATAACTTTTATTCTAAGTATCTTAATTTATTAAATGGCATTTATTAATTTTAATTATCTTAAGTTGAATAAAATTGAAATAATAATAATAATTTTATTTAATATAATAATATTAAAATAATTAAAATTAAGAAAATATTTCTACTGATTTTTTTAAAAGTAATAAAATGCATATCGAAATTTAATATAAAATAATATAATAATTTGATAAAAATAGTTTAATTTGTATTTTAAAAATTTTTAATATTGATATAAAAATTTATTGAAATATCTTTTATTATAATAAAACATCATATATAATGGAGTATATATTAATATCTATATTTATTAAAATTAAATTGATTGTATATAGAAAAATTATAGAATTTTTTGTATATATATTATTATTTAAATAACTTTTTAATTATTTCAAATTTAGCAATCTTAAATTTCTCCTGATATAGGATATACGAGAGTAAAAGTATTATTTTTTTCAAAATTTCCAGGATTTATTACAAATGATTTTTTTTTAATAATTTTATTATTATTCTCATCTTAAAATCCATCGATACTTTATTCCAATAATCCTTCATTTTAATCATTTTCAGTTAATTCATCAATTTAGAAATTAAATTAGTCACAATAATTATCTGCCAATACTAAAAAATCAGGATTAAAATAAAACTACAAACTATGATCAAGATTCCAAAATACAGGTTTTTACATCATTTATAAAGGAGAAAGATGTCTTTAAGATATAATAGTTTATATATAATTAATTTAAATATCTTTATTTTAATTAATTACAATTTGTTTTTTTCTTAAATCACGTAGAAAATCATTTCTTTAGAAAATAAAGGTTTTTCCAAAAAGAGAAATTCGACAAGGATTTTAAGCTAATTTTAAAAAAGGGATTTATTTTTTAATATCTTCAAACATTTCTTCTACGAAACTTTGTTTTGGTTATATATTTTGGGCTTCCAATATCATTTATATTAGGTATAATTAACCAATAAGCATTTTTTTTGAATTAAGGGTATTTATCTAGCATCAAACAAAAATTATTAAGGCTTTCTTTAATTTCCTCATTATCATTTTCACATGTTATTTATTATTTACTAAATATTTATCCCATTAAAACAAAAACCAATGGCTTTAAAGAATGCTATGTATATGTATATAAAATTTATTCAAACTTTTTAAGCACAGATCTATTTGATAAACAAAAGTTACTAAAAATACACAAAGAATATTGATTTTTATTTTCCATATCTACATATTTATTCATTTCAAGATCATAAATACCGATTTCTTCTTACATTTGCATTTAATTTTACATTTTAATTCCCTTTTCAAGTTCTAATTCTACAATTTTACTTAAATGTTTTTACACTTTTGCTTTTGTTCCGAAAAAATCGCCCTGTGAAGAACTTATTATATCATCATATTTTGGTAAAATAAATTCTTCTACTCTAAACTACCCAATCATTTAGTCAAATACTCCTAAAGCAATTACAATAGAACAAATAGCAATATATATCCTTCTTTCACAATTGTATTTTAAGAAATACTTATTTTTACAGAACTGAATAAGTCTTGCATATAAAATTCATTCGTGAATCCTTCATATATAATACCAAGAATATACTTTCTTTGTCCTTAACTACCTATAAGAGAACCTATTTCACTAATCAAGATTTGCTAATTTTCCTAATTCATGCTATTTCTTTTATCAATCTTACCAAATTTATAATATGAACTGCGCTCTAATTTCTATTTTATTAATAAATAACGGTTTTAGAATAAATTTATTTTTTATTGAGCAGAAGTTAAAGTATTATCATCTTAATTTATTTCAGGAATTATACGGTATTAGGATTAACATATAGAATATTTTAATCGAGGAATTTCCTTAAATGTATCTAAAATAACCAAAATATTTTATATTTTTGGTCTATTAAAGAAAATGGATTTATGAATCTTTTATTTCTTCTATTTCCATTGGATTCCCTTTTTCTTTTTAGCGAATTATTAACTCTATAGATGCCTTTATTGTATTCTCTTCTATTATTATTGAATTTTGCGGCTATAAATGTCGAATGTTTTGAACTATTTGGGATATCCTACCGAATGTTTGCTCACCTTTTGCTATATTCTCTTAATTTAAATGCTGAGTTATATGAGACAAGCATTCTGGACGAAGAGACAAACCTTCTTTTTGAAAAATTTAAATAATTTGGCGTATTTCAACCATATTACTATAATATATATATGATTTTTAATTAATTTGTTTTTTTTATAATATTTTATAGCGGGTAAAATATGCATTATTTAATGAAATAAAACATAGTTAATATCAAACATTATTTTTAAATAATAATATTTGCGCTAAAATATTAAATATATAATAGTAATTTAACTATTATATAATAAATTATGTAATTCTTAAATAATTTAAACTTTGAAAATTAAATTAAATTAAATTAAAAAAGAGGAAATAATATTTATTATTTAATATTTTTATATATGAATTTAATTTAATATTTTAATATGAAAATTAATATATTTTATTAATTTTTTTAATTTAACTTATTATTTTTTTAATTTATTTTAAATTATTTTTATTTATTAATTTATTTTATTGAATTTAAAGTGGAATTTCTATTTTTTTCTTATTCATATTTAATTTTGGCAAAAGAAAAAATTAATTTTTGATTATTATGATAAATAATTAATTCAAATTAAAAAAAATTCCTTTAAATTAATTAATAATTTTTTTAAGTTTTAATATATTTAATTTTTTATAAATGTAATTTGCAAATAAAATAAAAATAAAATAAATATTTTATTTAAAGCATTTTTATTTATTAAATATATTATATAAAATAAATTATAAATATAAGGGATTTAATTATAAATATTTTTTAATAAGAATATTTATTTGTTTATTAAAATAGTTATAGATAGGATAATAATGCATAGTAAATTTAAAACAATTAAATAAATTATTTTAAGAGAAATATCATTTAAAAAATTACATATATAATTAATTGCTCAAAAAAAAAAAATCTAAAAAAAAAATTATAAATAAAATAAAATAAAATATAAAAAAAATGTTGAAATTTTTTTCCAGTACATAAAGAGTTACCTTGCACAATAAATTATGTAAAAATTTTGTAGTTTTAGCAAAAGAACATCCAGAAAAAGGACCTTCATAAGTACAAACTAATAAATAATCTAAATATATAAAATATTATAAAATAAAATAAAAATTATTTATATCTAAAATATAATAATAAAAATAAAAACAACAAAATATTGATATTATTTATATAAAAATAAAATATGAAACAAAAGTTCATAACTAAAACTAAAAAAATGAAAAAAATAAACTATATTTACATAAAATAAAAAATCACATTATATAAAAAAATAAATATATTTAAAAAAATAAAGGGATATCTAACAAATAAATATACAGTTATTGATCACACATATGATGCAGTTGTTGTAGGAGCTGGAGGAGCAGGACTTCGTGCAGCTTTTGGTTTAGTTGAAGAAGGATTTAAGACAGCTTGTATATCTAAGTTATTCCCAACTCGTTCTCATACAGTAGCAGCATAAGGTGGTATTAATGCTGCATTAGGTAATATGACAGAAGATAACTGGAGATGGCATTTTTACGATACAGTAAAAGGATCAGATTGGCTTGGAGATTAAGATGCTATTCATTATATGACAAAAGAAGCTCCTGCAGCAGTACTTGAATTGGAATCTTATGGTTTACCATTTTCAAGAACTCCTGAAGGAAAGATTTATTAAAGAGCTTTTGGAGGACAATCACTAAAGTTTGGAAAAGGAGGTTAAGCAAGAAGAACATGTGCTGCAGCAGATAGAACCGGGCATGCAATGTTACATACTTTATTTGGAAGATCTTTAGGTTATAATTGCAATTTCTTTATTGAATATTTCGTTTTGGATTTGATTATGGACGAAGAAGGAGTTTGTAGAGGAGTTATCTGTATGTCTATGGCTGATGGTACTATTCATAGAATAAGAGCTCATTACACTGTATTAGCTGCTGGTGGTTATGGTAGAGCTTATTAATCATGCACCGCTGCGCATACTTGTACTGGTGACGGTATGGCTTTAGTTACTAGAGTTGGTTTACCTTTGGAAGATCCTGAATTTGTCTAATTCCATCCTACAGGTATTTATGGTTCGGGATGCTTAATGACTGAAGGATGTAGAGGTGAAGGTGGTAAACTTATTAATTCAAAAGGAGAAGCTTTTATGGAAAGATATGCTCCAACTGCTAAAGATTTGGCTTCTAGAGATGTTGTTTCTAGAGCTATGACTATGGAAATCTTAGAAGGTAGAGGTGTAGGTGAAAAAAAAGACCATATATATCTATAATTAAATCATTTGAGTCCTGAAACTCTACATACAAGACTTCCTGGTATTTCTGAAACTGCTAGAATATTTGCTGGTGTTGACGTTACTAAAGAACCTTCTCCTGTGTTGCCAACTGTTCATTATAATATGGGTGGTGTACCTACTAATTGGAAAACCGAAGTCTTGACCTAAGATAAGGATGGAAAAGATAAGGTATATATTATTTTAATTTTATTTTATTTATTATTTATAAAAAAGATTGTTCATGGATTATTGGCTGCTGGTGAAAATGCATGTGCTTCAGTACATGGTGCAAATAGACTTGGCGCTAACTCTTTACTCGATATTGTCGTTTTCGGAAGAGCTGCTGCTAAATTGGTTAAGGAAAAACTTAAACCTGGTACCCCTCATAAAGACTTACCTAAAGATGCTGGATTATTAAGTTTGGAAAGAGTTGATAAACATAGATATGCTAATGGTGATTTTACTACTCATTAAGTAAGAACTGCTATGTAAGAAACTATGTAAAGGCATGCTTCAGTATTTAGAATCGAAAAAATTTTATCTGAAGGTGTTGATAAAATGGAAAAAATTTATTAGTAATCAAAAAGCTTAAAAACCTTTGATAGAGGTCTTGTTTGGAATACTGATTTGATTGAAACCTTTGAACTAGAAAACTTATTATGTAAATTAATAATAGATTTATACAAATTTTTATATATATTTTTTAATTATTTTATAGTATGTGCTAAATAAACTCTTTATGCTGCACATAATAGGAAAGAATCTAGAGGTGCTCATGCAAGAGATGATTATCCTGTATTTTATTATTTTAAAAATTATAATAATAAATATGAATATTTTTATTTTTATAGGAAAGAAACGATAAAGAATGGATGAAACATTCATTATCTTGGGTCAAAGATTTAGATTCTGGTAAAGTTGAAATCACTTTTAGAGATGTTGTTAATCAAACTTTAGATGAAAGCGAAGTTAAACCTGTTCCTCCTGCAAAGAGAGTTTATTGATAAAAATATTTGATTAACTTTTTTTATTTTATATTTTATATTTTTTTAAAAAACAATATTATAATAATATTAATTTTATTTTTATTTTAACGAAAATAAAATAATGTTTATTCGAATTATATTAAAAAAAATATAAATTATAAATTTTAATTGTAAAATCAGAAAATAAAAAAAATTTGTTGATTTTAGAATAAAATAAATAAATATATATCTAAGTCTTTTTTTTAAAATAAATACATTTATTTTTAATAATATTTATTATTATTTTAAAATTTTACTTCTATTTATTACATCTTCATAAAATAAAAACAACTAATAATATAAGAATAACAATAATAATTGCAATAAATATTTTAATTCGAATATTTTTCCAATATTAATCTCTTCTAACGTTATTTGCCTATAAAAAAAATTATACATATTTATTTTCAAATTCTAAATAAATACTTGTTTCTTTATGTTAGATGCTGTTTAACTCATATTAACTGTTTTTTTAACTGCCATTTCTATTTTTTTTTCTTTTTCAAGAACTTTATCAATATTATCGTTCATAACTACTTTTATTTCATTTAGATTATTTTTTATTTTTGTTAAGTTATCATCAGGGTTAGAATTATAAAATTTCTTATTTTAAATAATAAAATAAAAATAATAAAAATAAAAAAAAAATACCATTTTTTATTTTATTGTTTCTTCAAAAGTATTTTTAAATGAATATTATAAAGCATTTTCTCGTTCTTCTTATTAAAATTAATTCTTAAAAAGACCTTTTATTTCATTTAAAAATGCAAAAGCAATTCTTTAAGGAAAATCAGTTTAAGTAATACATAAATATGTATAATTAATCTCATTTATATAATGGAACATATAACTTTTTCGATATTATTTTAATTAAGATAAAATAAAAACAATAATTAATTTATTTTTTACTCTTTATTGTATTAAAATGTAACTTTTTCATTTTTTTATAGTTTAGGTAATAAACTCTTTGTGATTATTTCAAAGTTTCCTGTTAAAAAAGCAAAGTCAACTAAAGTTGTATCGTCTCCTCTTGATATAATTGCATATACGATTGACATTTTGATGAATTATTTAGTTTTTCTAAAAAAATTTATAAATTTGAATATTTTTTAGTATATAGTATATGGATTTCTTTTTTATTAAATTTTTAATTGCAAGAAAATAAAAAAGTAAATAATAATAATTATTTATTATAATGTTTTTATTTAAATTTATTTTAATGTTAATTTATTTTTTCTAAGTTATATGATAAAAAATTTAATTAAAATTTAAAAATGTATTTTTTTAATTATAAACAAAGTTAAAAAAGAAAAGAGTAAATATAACTAAATCATATAATTAATGCAATTTAAATTATCTTACTTTTTTAAAAATCTTTTTTTTTTATTATTCGGTATTTTTTTAAAAAAAAGACTAAAATCCGAATTTTATTCCCATTTTTTTTTGTCAATTGTATTTCTTTAAAAAAATAAAGATAAAATAAATTTAATAATATTAAAATGTAATATTATTTATTAATAAATATTTATTATTATTTATTCATTAAATGTTTATATTTTTAATATTAATAGCATAATTACAGTGTAATTCGTACAAAAAATATTCTGAGCAAACAAAATTTTTGTATTTTCTTTAGAAATATTATTATGCTTAATTTCCAATAAAAAATATATTTAATTAAATTCAGATTAATATTACTTTTGATTAGAATTTCCTTTTATTTTGATTGAATTAGTTATTATTATGACATTTAACTTTACACACCCTAATATAAATCAAAAAAAATTACAGTCATTTAAACCTGTCTTAATATAGGGATATTTTATTTTTTAATATGAAATTTTGAAATTAATATTAATAAATATTTTTTAAATATTATTTGAAGATAAATTAATTATTCGATATTATTATGGCATATTTATGCTATTATGTTATGATATTTCTTATTATTTATCTTAGAAATTGTTTTTTTGTTAAGAAATATATAAAGTGTATCTTCGCTTTCAGAATTTTATTCACTCTAATCAGTAGTAAAAAATTATTTCATATTGTTTGAATATATTAGTATGTCGTTAAAATTAATTAAGATTTTAATTTTATATAAAGTAATTAATGATAAAAATTTATATTAATAATCTTTTATAGATAAATTTTAGTTTTGCTACCCATTGAATGTATTTTTTACAAATTATTTACAATCATTAAAATAACAGAAATTATAATCAAAATTATTAATCCTTTGTTATTTTTAAATTCATAACTAAAAGGTAATGAATGAATTATTTTAGAAAAATATATTAAAAAAATCAAAAAAAATTATTTTTTAACTGGGAAAAAAAATTATTAACTTCACTATTCTCAAAAATTATAATTTTTAAAATTTATATCAATAAAATATATTAAAAAAAATTACCTTAATATTTATTTAACTTAGAAAATTAATTTTTTAATAAATAAAATTAATTAAAATGAATAAAATGTAATATTGAAAAAATTGTATGATTAATAAAGTATTTATTTAATATTAGTAAAAATGAAATATATTAAATAAAATTAACATAATTTTTTTAAATTAGAAAATTAATTTTAAATAAATAAAATTAATTTTAAGTGAATTTAATGAAATATTAAAAAACTGTATGAATAATTTACTATTTATATAATGTTTGTAAACTAAAAAAAAAAAAAAAAAATGTATAATATTAATAATTAAAAAAAAAAATTATTAATTTATTAAGTTTATAATATAATATTATAAATAAATTAAATAAGTATTAATGCAAAAAAAAAAAAAAATATTATATATAATAGTTATTTTTTGTTAAAAAAATAAAATATTTATTAATAAAAATATATGTATTTATTTATTTATTTATTTATTTATTTATTTATTTATTTATTTATTTATTTTTTATTTTTACATTTTATTTTTTTTATTTTTAATAATATTATATTTTTTATTTTTTTATTTGAATTTTTATTTTATTTTTAATTTTTTTTTTTCTTTTTCTTTCTTTTATTTTTTTAATATATATTTAGCTTTATTTTTTTGCATAATTTTATTTTATTTTTAAAATTATTTTTAAAATAAAATAATTTTTTTTTTTTTTATTAATTTATTTTAATATTAATAACATTTATAAAATACTTTATTTTTTTAATAATATTATCATTATATATATTATTTCATTATTTTTATTGATTAATATTATTAACTTAAAATATTTATTTTTGATATTCAGACCTACATATAGGGCAAACTTAATTTTCTTTTAAATTATATCTTTCAAAAGCCTACATACAATTAACATGAAATACATGAGTACATGATAAAACATAAAGATTTTTTTTGTTATTTTAATCAAACAAAGAATTAAAGCAAATAGAACAATCTTTATCACATCTTTGAATAGATTTATCTTTAATTTAGTTCCATTGATTATCTGAAATATGAACTTTGTTATTATTATCTTAAACTTTCTCATAGTCTGGATGATTAAATACAATTTAATGATCTTTATCTAAAAATTAGTTAACATTTTTCATATTTCTTTCTTTTATATCTTAAATTTCTTTTATTTGGTAATATATATCATTAAGATTCTTCTGAATATTTTCATCGTATTTTTTAAGAATTCTTTAAGTATTTTTAGATTTTTATTCTAATGTATTAATTACTTTTGAATTAATTTTACCTAATTTATAACCTAATATTTTTCTTCTTAATCTTCCTGATTATGCTTAATATTTCATATTTAATAAATCATTAAAAAAACGATATCTTACTTTTCCTCCACGCCATCTTTTCTATATTAAAATTGCACATTTTATTATATACTTTTTATATCCTTCATCCCAACTCTTTTTATCATAATGCTATTTTCTACATATAGGACATGCTTTTATTTAATTATGCTTTTCGAAACTTTCCAAACATTTTTTATGAAAAACATGAGAACAACTTAGAATTGCTTATTATTAATCTTTAAAATCTTCTAAGCAAATAGGACATAATCCTTCGTCTCTTTTTTTTGATTTTTCTTCTATTATTAACCAGTCTTCTCTAGTTAATGGTTTTTCAGGTGCCTTAACTATTCCGAGTCTTATATTTATTATATTATTAACTTTTTTACTTTTTTTAAAAAATACCTTTAAGCTAGTGTTAGACTTTAATAATATTTTTACATTTTAACTTCATCTTCTTTTAATTCTTTTTCTGTTCTAATTTTATCAATTTCATCAGGAAAAAGAGGCAAGGAAGTTTTTTTTTTATTTTCCTTAAAATTATTATAATTTAAATTTATTTTTGCATGATTAATAATTATATTTTTGCTTTTTTAACCATTTCTTTGACTATTAATTCTTCTTACTCTTTGAATTTCACTGTTTGTAGATACAAGTGTTTATTCTTCTTGAATTTGTTCATTTTTAGTATTTATTTTTGGAAGGTTTTTATTAGAATCGGCCAAAGTTTAATTTGAATAATTATTTTTGCGACCCCATTCTAATATTTATTAAGCGCTTATTTTTAAAAGTTTTTAGTTTTCTTATTATTGAATTTTTTATACTGTTCGGTTTTTATTTATGAATTTTTTATCTAATATTATGTTAGCTTATCTTAAATAATGATCTTAAAGCGCTGCTGAATGAATATATGTAAGGTCATTTGTCTATTTTTTATTATTTTTCATTTTTTTTAATTTTAATTAATATATTTATATATTTTTTAGGTTTTAAATTTAAAAAATATATGGTTTGAAAAAGTTATAAAACAATCGGATTTTTATTTTGAAAATCTTTAATAAAAAAATTAAAGTTAAAATATTTGCTAAACCAAAATTAAATAAAAAAGTATTTTAATTATTTAATATTAACTTCATATAAAAAATAAGTAAATGATTTAAAAAGTCTACGAAAATTGATATAATGAGACTTTCAACAATTTATGTTCCATTTAAAATATAATTTTATTTTAAATAAAATATTAGTGTTATAAAACTATATTTTTTAATAAATTTATTTTTATATTTTTTGTTAAATCGTAAATAATATATGTTTATAAAATAATATTAATTTAATTAAAAGCTTTGTATTTTTGTTTATTTTGTTTAGCAAATAAACGAGTGATTATCTATCATCTTAATTAAAATAATTAAACAATAAACTTTACAATATAAAATAATATATTTAATTAATATTTTCCAATATTATTTATTAAGAGATTCTTAAATGCAAGAAACTGCATTATATACATGAAAAAAAAAATATAGTATAGAAAAATAATTATGATATATAGACATAAAAATAGAAATATTTCAATTTTATAAATTTATAAAGAAATCACTCTAATCTACAATTTATAATTCTAAATTATTTTCGTTAGCTAAATGTAAAATAGCAATTAAACAACTTTATAAAGTGGTTTTATAATGAATATTTTCAATATACCCTAAAACATCAGAAAACTTATAATGTCTATTATCATCTTAATCAATATTACTTTTTTATTCAACTTAACTTTAAATATTATTCCAAATATTCTTTTTAAGATCTTATATTTTCATTCTTTTGTTCTGATAACTTTTTTAACTGTAAATTTATTCGTCTTATTGGACATTATTAATGTTATTATTTTCATTTTATTTTTAAGTTTATAAATTTATATCTTAATCAATAATTTCATAAATTTCGATTTCCTCATCTTCATTAAAGCCTTTGTATTCTTCAAAATTATCTTGCTAATCTGTACATTTAAATTAATCAGTTATGTAATTTTAATGCTTATCTTCTATACAAATCAAATTCGTTTTGAAAAATAATCTTTAAGGATTAAATTAATAAAGCTTACCTATTAAAAACTAATTTTATAACAAAACATTATCTTTTTTCAGCTATCTTTGTCTTTTTTACTATTTTATTAAAAGTGTTTCGTTTGGTATTAAAATATCTTTGTCTAAAAAATTGATTTGATATACCTCTTAGCTTTTCTTACTTTATTTTTGTTTTCTTTCTTTTGATTTTAAAGCTTACTTTTTTATTTACCAATTAAATGGATGCTATTATTAA